GAACGTCTCGATGAACCCTGGCCTCCAGGTGACGTACTATTGTTCGAAGCGTTATCGAGACCTCCGTTGACTGCTGCCGAGATAGCACGCCTGACACAACAAGACAGCATCATGCAGAGGTTGTACAAGGCAGTGCAGGATGGTACAGTGGAGAAACTCACTGGAGATGAGTTTGCTCCTTACCGACGACGAGCGACCGCACTAGCACTACAGCGCGAGTGCATCACACTTGGATCCCGAGTGATCATACCGAGCTCAGCACGATCCCGTGTTCTGGCACTTCTGCATGCGGGTCACAGAGGCATGGTAGCCATGAAGAAGTGCGCAAGGAGCTACGTATGGTGGCCCGGAATGGACAAGGTGATGGAGGAAACGGTGCGACAGTGCCGTGAATGCCAAGCAACGCAAAAGAGCCCACCCAAAGCTCCTATTCCTACGTGGGACCGTCCCCAGACAGCATGGAACACGGTGCACGTTGACTTCGCGGGGCCACTACTCGGACGCACCTACTTAGTTGTTGTGGACGCATACACAAAGTGGGTGGAAGTCCGGCACGTGACACAAGCAACATCCGCGGCTGTAATCGACGTGCTCCGAAGCCTCTTTGCAACGTTCGGCATTCCCCGAAAGGTCATCTCCGACAACGGAAAAGCATTCATCTCCAACGAGATCAAGCAGTTCTATGCGTCGAACGGCATACAGGCTGCAACCTCACCAGCATATCATCCGGCAACAAACGGCCAGGCAGAACGCTATGTGGCGGAGCTGAAAAGAGCGCTGTTGAAAGATGCAGACAAGTCCATACAGTGCCGACTTGCAAGATTTCTGTATCGGCAGCACACGACAATACACACTACCACAGGTATGACACCGGCGAGAGCGATGTTCGGACGAGAATTGCTCTGCCCTCTCGATCTTCTTAAGCGGGAGACGGATAAGCGAAGTCCTGAGAGCCAGGAGGCATTGCAAAAATCACGCCGCTTCGCTATAGGGGATAGAGTGCTTATCCGGCAGTTTTTGAAAAAGCCAGATTGGATTGAAGGCGAAATACTGCGCCGCGTCGGACCACGATCCTGGCTTGTAAAAAGCGACCAAGGAAAGGTTCGGCGTCACCTCAATCACATGAGGAAAACGAGTCAGACCAGACAAACAACCCAATCGCGGACAGATTGGAGCGCAGCTGACGATCTCTTGGACGCAACGCCAGAAGAGACGCCATCGAGCTCAGCTGCTCAACCGCCTGAATCGCCCGAGATGCAAGATCACACTCCCTCGCAACCGTCGACGTCACAGGCAGTGGCCACTCGGCAACTGCGACCACCAGAGGTTAGGCGACCTCCAGACCGCTATGGAGACTTCGTCTAAGGGAGGAAGAGTGACATGTCGCCTTAGAAGACGACATTAACGAAGTGCGCGCGGGGCACTGGCGCTGTGGCACGAGCGCGAGCCTGGCGTCGAACGCTGGCCAGGAGTGACTCCAACGCCTGGGCTACGCTTTTGAACTTGTTCACGTTTCCTGTCCTTTAATAAATCGTCTACAGTCACAAGCGGCTGTACAGACGTAACAAACGGCAAATGGGAGCACGATGCCCTTGCGTTCAGTAAAAACAGGGGATGGCGTAAATACCACCGTGGCGTCAGGTTGCGCCACACATGAAAGGCTAATAGGGACTGAAGCTTCCGGAGGCAAGGTGATGTCGTCGTCAGCGATGAGTTTGCAGAGCAGTGGTGAATGGTCGGGCGATGGAAACTCACAATTTGGCACTAGGGACACTTCCGCACGGCAACAATCGATGATAGCTTCATGACCTGATAAGAAATCCCAACCCAGGATGAGGTCATGAGAGCAAGATGGTAGTACGAAAAATTGGACGATGTACAAAACGTCTTGGATGACGACGCGCGCCGTACACACAGACGAGGGCTGAATGCGTTGCGCGCTAGCCGTGGACAGCACGATGCCACAGAGAGATGTGGTCACTTTCTTCAGTTTGCGACAAAATTTTGCGTTCATCACAGAAACGGCGGCCCCAGTATCAATTAACGCTTGTGTGGCGACTCCCTCAACATTGACATCAACAACATTTCGCGGCGAAAATGGAGGCCTTGATAATTGCGCAGAAGTTGCAGTTCTTGCCTCTGGAACTGCACTGATTAGTTTCCCTCCTCAGGAGGTGGTCTACGACGCATAGGAGATGGTGATCGGCGACGAGGAGATGGGAAACGAGAAGTTGATGGGCGACGATCCGAGTCAGAGTGCCTCTGTTCGTATGCAGACGAGGTGGCCTGCTGCGACGCATAGGTAGGAGTTCCAAAGGAGGCGTACGCAGGTGTGGGACGGCGGCGGCAGTAGCGTGCAATGTGGCCAGCGATGCCACACGCGAAGCAGATAGGACGGTTGTCATGGGTGCGCCACTCATTAGATTGACGGAAAAAGCGAGGTGAGGGCCTGTAAACCGGTGGCGCTGCCGGAGGAGTTGGAGCCGATAAGGCGACTGGATGCGGTGGGGGCCGCGCGACCACAGCTGCGTAGCTGAGAGGTGAAGGCGGCGCAGTTGGTGCGTAGCCAGCAGTTGAGAGATCAGATGGCACCGAAGTGCACGGGTAAGAGGCCGGAACTGTAGGGAGTGCATTGCAAATTTCAGTGCGTATGGCCTGCTGCATATTCGAAGGGAGGCTTGTCGTGGGCGCGTCACTATGCGGCAGCAGGGAAAGCTGTCGGGCGACTTCCTCCCTGATGAAGTCTTTAATCTGGTTCGACAGAGTTCCTTGGTGAACGTTGCCATTGGCGAGTGCGACGGCCGAGATGGAATCTGGTGATGGAACACTTTGTCGGGCGATGGAACGCTGACGACGCAATTCATCGAAGCTCTGGCACAGGCTTACGAGGACCGCCACCGTGGTCGGGCTCTTCGCCAGCAACATCTGGAATGCGCCATCCTCGATGCCTTTGAGAATGTGTCGAATTTTCTCTTCTTCAGGCATGGATGAGTTAACACGCCTGCAGAGGTCGAGCACATCCTCAATATAGCTAGTAAAGGTCTCACCAGGTTGCTGGGCTCGGTGGCGCAGACGCTGGTCAGCGCGGAGCTTGCGGACCTCTGGTCGGCCGAACGCTTCGGTCACGAGGGTCTTGAAGGTGGACCAGCTGGCGATGGCGGTTTCGCGGTTGGTGAACCATAGCTTGGCGACGTCAGCCAAGTAAAAGATGACATAGGCAAGCTTGGAGTCGTTGTCCCATTTGTTGCTGGCACTCACGCGTTCGTACAAGGAGAGCCAGTCTTCGACGTCTTGCTCACCACTGCCGCTGAAGATTGGTGGGTCCCGCTGACGGGTAGCACCGGGGCAGGTCGACGGGGCAGCCGATGGTGCTGGCTGGGCTGGGACGGGCTGGTTGGCGACTGCGTCAGTCATGTTTCGCGGTAGTCTTTCAGGCAACTTGCGAGAGCGGAGCTCCAGGTCTTCTTGGGGATCTCAGCACCCTCCACCAAATGTGATGACGTTTATTCGAGCCGAGAAGTCGCAGCGAGGTCGCAACGGAAAGTGGGCGTACGGCAAGTCTGGCAGAGGCGGCACAAACTCTCGCGCAAGCTTGTTGTTGTTGTTGTTGTTGTTGTTGCCCCTTCGCACTGGCACATACCCACTATGGGGGATTGGCCATGAAATCTAGAAGTATCCTAAATGATATATATTAAAAGGTTTATCCTTAATCAAAAAAAACTAATGATGTAATAGAAAATAATCATTAACTAAAAAGGAATATTAAACTAAACAAATAATTAAAGATTGAATCAAGAAGAGAAAAGGTGAGGTAATACTACAGTGGAAGACAGAAATTTTGAGTAGACCAGACAATCGAGCTTATCTCACCCGGTCACAATCAAATGAATATGCAAATTTCATTCAAAATTAGACAAGTGTCGTCAGAAATATATTTAAGCAGGCATTATTATGACATGCGCTTTGATTCTCGAATGAAATTGCATACAGCATCGAATACGCTCCTGTGGCAATGTCCCAAGCTAAAGGCACCGAAACTTAGAACATTATCTGCAGTTAAATTTAAACCTACTGCTTGAAAAGGAACGATTAAAAGTCTTTTCCTAATTAATGAATAGTTTTTACTTTGCGCAGAGGCGGTGTCGTACCCAATGAAGTGATAACTGAGGGGCGACTATTGCTAGTTGAAAACTCGCGCAAGCAGAGCGCGGGCTTTTTTGTTGTCTTCCGAAGGCGCATACGCGTTGGTGCGTATGCTCCACTACACTACTACTATTACTACTACTACTACTACTACTACTACTACTACTACTACTACTACTACTAATAATAATAATAATAATAATAATAATAATAATAATAGAAAGAGGTTAGTCATATGGTGTAGTAGCGCAAATTCACGGGGACGAAGAGGAGAAGAAAACACGACACTCGCTTTCTTGTCCTCTTCGTCCCCGTGAATTTGCGCTACTACACCATATGGTTAAATGATGTCTTACCAACTAGCCCAGCTCTCAACCCTACTGAAAGAGGTTAGGTTTTGTGCAACCATGCAATCATGCACAGTAAGCAAACGACTTCAATAAAAATAAAAAAATAAGACGGGTTGCTATTCTCTTTTTTGCATTCATTTTCGAATTGGTTGTGCTAGGAAGACACGCACCTCAAGCAGTGCACCGATCATAAGATGTTCACTTAAGTTTAGAATAAGTAATATGTGCAGCAACGTCGGCATTCTATATCAGCGAAACACAAAAAATAGTTCGTAGATTCGGTGATAAAGTGGCCACTCGAGGCGTATGCGTGAGCTTCGATATAGAGTGCGGTTTGAGGGTACACGCAGCTACCCAGGGTATCACACGCTCTTTGCACGCGTTGTACGAGACGGTGTGCCACATGTATAGCGTACTAGACCAGGTGATCATCGCGAAGCTTCAGTACATTTTGAGGTAGATTAATTGCAGATATGCGCATACGTATGCATGCATAAAGGCAGGCACCTTGATGTAGAGGGCGAGGCAGCGGGATATGAGCCACAGTGGAGAGTAGAAGAGGTTGAAGTAGACGGCCATTTGCAGCGGCAAGCTGGTCAGTAGTTCCTCACCTGAAACATGTGTGCACGTGCAACGCGAAGCGCTTCTTTAATGAAATAGACTTTAGCTTGATAACAAACTGATAAATTCGTCGAAGGAGGGGAAGTAGATGGGGAAAAAACTGCTAGCACGCATGCAGTGCCACCCCGAATCTATTCCGTCTTCTCCGTTTCCTGGGATTGATGAGCATAGGTCGGCGAATCTACTCATGCGTCGGCTCAGTCGAACTCGTTGAGACTCAGACTCACAACTTTGCCTGAGTGAGTCCGGGTGAGTAAAATTTTAATGAGTCTGAGTGAGTCCAGCTGAAGAAAATTTTAATGAGTCTGAGCCCGAGTGAGCCCACTGCGCAAATATATTTTGGGTGAGTTCCACTTTCTTTTGCCGACCTAAGGTCCTATCAAGTCATCTTCAGCATCACTGTCAGTATTACTTGGATTTGCGTTCATACTCACGTCTATTCACAGGTATTCCAGAGCAGTGTCACTCATACACCGTTTCAATATTTATTTATTATAGGCGTGAATCACGTAGGGGGTTGCGCCTTGACCTCTTCCCCCCCCCCCCCCCCACCACCAACTTTTCAAGGGAACTTCTTGATTATTATATCTTATGCTGTCGTATATTCCAAGCAAAATGACCTTACTAGTTTGGAAGCACTGAGAATCTCGCTTTCTAAAATATTATGTCAAATGGCATCAAGAAGAGCACCGATTACGTGAGATATTGGTTTTAAAGAGAATTGACACCGGGTTCGGTGAAGGGAACTTTAGGCTAACAGACTCGTGAATAGACTCACTCAACTCAGATCTAACCATGAGTTTGAGCCTCAGTGAGTCCGGGTGAGTCCGACTCGGGAAAAGTTTCGCGAGTTGGAGTGAGTCCAAAGCTCAAACTATATTGCATGAGTGAGTCTGAGTGGGGCTCCACAGGTTTTGCCGACCTGTGGAGCCCCACTCAGACGAAGTGCATGAGGTGACAGGACCGAAGAGCAAGCTTTGCAGAAGCAGCTTTAAACAATGAGTAATAATGTCTAATTAGACCACACAACTCCCTGCCTTTCCCTCATTTTATTATCTCTCTAGACCACACAAGGTCTGTTGTCGTAAGTTGATTGAAATATTTTTTAATGCATTCGCAAAGTTCTCAAGTGAGGTCATTCTGATGGAGAAAGGAGATTAAAACGGCCGGCATTGTAAAAATAATGTTGCTTTGACTCACGTACCTGTTGCTCTTGGTTAGCATAAGACCGCATTCACATCCGGCTAAATGTTATCAATATCGCTATCCTGTCGTTGCCACTCAAAGCTGAGCTATAGTGTTTCAAACACTTGTTATGGTTTGAGCTGCAATGAACTGTATTGAAAAAAGTTATATTGTAAAAGCCTTTGAGGGGTTTTGATTTTCTTTGACGACACCATAATCCGCATAACTGCTTTGCTGGACATAATGCCACACGCCCGGTACTTTGATACCACGATCGATCGGTGCGTGCGCTTTCGGTTTGAGATAAAATTCTCGACAACTACGAGTTACTAGCGGTCTTTGTAAAAGGCTCTTGTTGTAGAGACTACATGCGCATTAGGCCGGAAATCGTATACGAATGAGTTATGTGAACCAATGAGATTACAAATGAATGCGAGACCCTGTAAATTACAGTTTGACAGTGGGGCTGGGTTATTTAAGATCGTGAGCACAGGCCTTAAAGAAAATGAAAAAAAAAAAACGAGCAAGCCAACTGTAATTTTGATTCTGGCTATCACCGATTAAAATACACCCCAAAGAGTATATTTTTTACAATTTATAATACACTAGAGAACATCAAAGGCATAGCGGGTACATGCGACAGCGCCGCTTTGCAAGCTACCGGCTGGTGAATACGGCTTCATGAAATAGTAAATTCTTACCGTGCTTTAAAGCTATCGCCCTTGATCTGCTACAACTAAGGTGCAGGCCGGGGAATATCTGTTTCCGAAACTGCTTCGACCAGAGTTCTCAGTGACGCCATGCTTCTGACTTCGTTGCCCTACAGCGTGCTGGATATTGTCATTCAACAGAGCACGTTCTAATGTTTTTGTTGTTATGAATCGTAACCTAGGCAACGACCATAAGGACGTTTTTTAAAAGTGGCGCCCTATCGCCACCTTCCAGCGCTTCCACGACGGTCTCCGCGTCAGCGCTATTACACACTCAGCTGAACTTCAAGAAATCTGGCTCCTCGTATATTGTTCGCGGCTTCATTGTACAAAACAGTACTCTATGCACGTGACGAATACCTAACGCCGCGTAACGCAACAGGTGGCGTAGGCGGCAGTGAGATCACCGAACAAATAGCAGCGTCGCTTGAGAGCTGTACCTGACAGGTGGCGCAAGGTGGTATTTTGAATTTTTACGCTTGCGGATGCTGTTGAGTGACGAGGTGTGGTCGGTCGCTGCTGCGAGGACACCGTGAAGTGGGGGAAAAACAAAGTGATGTCTACGTGACAGCGACGAAATTGAAAAAAAGGACTGTACCGCCTCAGCCGTAAGTGACCGTGCATCGTATGCCGATTGTGTCGGTAGTACGAAAGGATCTATCGCATCTCCCGAGCTCATCGTCGTGTTTCAGCTTGTGGCGTCCGCCACGCTACAGCAGGAATGTTGTGGCATGCTTTTTCGGAAGTGGTAACCCGATGATTCGCCCGTCGAGCCGCTCCGGCTGATTGAGTAGTAGTCATCTAACCGGCTACTTCTCGCTACACCCTTCAGATGGCTACCACCGAGACGGCGAGGCTCGGCCTGCTATGTTTATTCTTCGCGAGCGGTAAGTGTGCATACTTCTATTCGATGTGTGTGTGTCACCTCTCTCAAAACGTTGACTCAACGGCTGGAGCACGCGTACACACCCCGTTTCTCGGAGTAAATTACTCGCGAAAACAATAGGCGGTCGGTGTTAAGTGCGGTGCGTTTGAATGTCCTTTGCTGTCGCGTGGAGACTTCAACTGGTGTGCCGTTTTAGTCGGAAAGGAAAGGAAAACCCGCTGTCGTTTGAACGGGAATAAATTAGCGCGCTACGACAACGCGCGTACGTAGCCACTTACTACGAGGATGTTGCTTCGATTTGTGTCACGGCGCATTTATATTCCTGCGCGCCCTTTCAAACTAGTTCGTGCGGTAGCGCTCCTTTGAGGACGGCGTTGATGGCATCATCTACAACGTCCAAACCGATGTGCGCTCATCACGTAAACAAAGCGGGCGCAGCTTTTTGCCCCGTGTGATCGTACTTGGTAGGTCGCGGCGTTAAGCCGTGCAGCCAACAAGTGGCGGTTTCTTGTTGCTCCGTCGCAGATAGGCGGATCGATAATTGGGGCAACACACATGGTGTACTTGTAATCGCACTCGAACTTCTGGTTTCTGACGGGTTAACTTGTGCAAGCTGCGAAAAAGAACCAATCGCGAGCGAGCAATGCGATGCGTATCAGGCGCTTGATCGCGATAGGAAGTTGATCGTGTCACATCCAGGGTAATAACTAGCAAACGTATGTGTGGCGGTCGCCCATGTATGCGTATGTGTTATGTGTGTAGCTTGAAGGGAAGTTCCGCATATATTTTTACAGCTAAGTGTGCAGGCATTTTTGCGCCGTATCTCCATCAAAATGTGCAATCAGGAATTGAACCAAATACCTCTCAATCGTTATCGAAACATCATAGTCACCAAGCCACCGCAGAACCACCTCGTATCAATAATAAAAGTTCTGTTAACATAGTTAATGGCATATGAATTATATTCCTGTTGACAATACCATCACGCTTCAAATCACAGAAAAAGGAAAGTGTTTTACATTTTGTAAATATCTCAGTGTTTTATGTTTCGTAGGAAAGTGTTCTACTTTTTGTCAAAGACTATTTTACGGATGGGTTTTGGTGGCCCCATAATGGGCTGTTAACGCTTCCATTTTGTACCTTCAACAGCTAAACAAACAATGCTACGATAGACACATGCATATGAGAAGGGTTGAGTTTGAGCATTTGACGTTACATGACCATATTAATTCATGGTGAAATATTCTAAAGCAAGAACACATTCGTAACAGTCCAAGGTGGTATTGCCCTTATGCCCTATATAAAATGAATAGTCTGTACTCCTAAGTATCATTACTATCAGTTCTAATTTCCATAGCAGGATGAAGACTTCTCGTAATGATTTCTTGTGTGCCTGCCATCTACAAGCTGAGCTGATCTTGCGTTTGTCAACTTCCTAGTTTCACCCTGCCACATAGTTCTCTAATATTTATTACTGTGCTTCCAATTATTATAGTGCCTATACCATTCTAGTAATCTTCATCTCTCTAAATTTTGTGGGATGTCCAATTTCATTTTTTTTTTCTCTCACTGTCAACAAGAACATTAGCTATCTTTTGCTGTGTAGTCGCGTGCTTTCTGGCTGCCCCTTAATGTTACGGCTAAGATTTTTCGTTTCATCACTCCTTGAATGGTCTTTAACTTCTATAGCTTTTTTTTGTTGTTGTACTGAGTTTCTGCTCTTTATGTTAACACCAATTGAGGACAGTGATAGTATTTTTTTTTCTAATGATGGCTAGTGCCAAATTGCCAGTGATGATTTCAGGATATGTGCCGTAGAGGTTCCAAAACATTATATTGCAGACTTTTAGAAATACACTGCAAACAGGAAAATGAATAAGCTACTGTAGTTATTCTCTCCACGTTTTTCTCTCCTTTTGTTTGTAATGCTAGTAGACCCATCTAGTCTCGTGTCTACATGTCAGAAAATGGAATGTTTTGCTTGTGTAGGCTGTCTGAGCATTTTGGGAAACATGCCTCACATGCTGTAATGCTGCTATTGCAGAAAGTATTGCTCGTAGTTGGCAAGCTCTGCAGGGAGTTTGGTTTGTTTTATTTGCTTTTGCTTTTCATGAGAGCATCATTTTGGACTAGATGGCAATCCATTACTTTGAACAATTGCACAACTTATCAGATACGGACAACAGAAAAGAAGACTCGCCTAACGCTGATTGTGTCTTCTTCTCTGTTCATGTCTTTTTTGTTGCACAATCGTCCGAAATAGTCAGTTATAATCATGAAAATTAGGGGCAAGCGAATCCAGACAATGTGTGGCAAGGTTGCTTGAAGAAAATCCTTGTTAATGCCGTGCAGCAGAAAGGGACCTTGTGTGCAAAACATTAAGATATGACTAACAGATATGACTATCAGTTATATAACACATATAACAGATATGACTAACAGTGAAAGTAGGGGAATTTTAGGGACTCGTTTTTGTTGATGGAACACACTATTAGGGAGAACTAATGGGTAACAATGGCAAGGAAAACATGTAGTGTGTTTCTATGGTAACTATAATGTACGTGTAAAAAAAAGTGGGCGAAAAGATAACTTGCCATCGGCACGGACCACACATGTATTTCGAAGGTTGCAAGTTCGATCCCTGCTGGTGAGAAGTTAGTTCTCTTGGCATTCTCTTTATTTCCTTTTTATTTTTGTAATAATTACTGCATATGACATCTCTTACACTTGTCATTATTGTCTGTTAATTCTCATTAGGAGCGAAAGAATCATGCAAAACCATAAGCTTAATGGTTGTGTAACAAGAAGCTGAGTGTGCATTTAATGCCCCTTAAACAATGTGCTAATGGGTCTTTTGGCAGTGGGTTATGGCGAGTGTGGTAACACACTATAGGACATACAAATGAAAGGACAGTACTGGATGATGCACTGTTTCATGGTTCCGTTGCCATCCTGTCTGTGTTACATTGACTTTGTCCATGTGTTTGTTCCACGAGATGGGGCGATGTTGTGTGTTCTGATTACGCTGCTTTCGTTCACATGATGAAGTATGACAGAGCTGAACTGCAAAAAAAAAGGTTTCAAGAAGTTGTTTTGCAGCACTTATCTCAAAGAGTTCATCTGTAATTGAAACTTACAAGACATAAGACGAAAGGAAAAATTGGGGCCGTAAAGTTGAAATTTAGGTGCAATATTTATACATTGAAAGCTTCTAATAACAAATAGTAGAAAGAATTGGAAATTTTAAGGGCTCGTTTTTCTTTGTTAGACGCGATAATAAAGAGAACTGCCACCGTATCTCAGTCAGTAGGGCATCCGACGCATTATTTGAAGATTGCAGGTTCAGTTCCTTCCCACAGCAAGTTATCTTTTCATTCACTTCCTTTCAATGTTCTACATTACAATTTACTACTAATAAAATCTCCCATACTTTCCTTGCCGTCATTGTCGTTTAGTTTCCATTAATAGCTAACAGTATTTGATATGTTTCATGCTGCACTGAATTATAATAGTAACTATATTCTTGATGCGTTTAGTTTGTGATGAGGTGTGGATGCTTTCAATTTCACTTCTTATATAGTTGAAGAAAGCAAAATAGAAATGTGACTAGGCCGGTGAATGAAGTCACACATGTGACTAGGCCGGTGATGTTCTTAAAGTGTGTTGTTGTTGGGGTCATCTGCCTAGTCGTGTGGGGTCAGGAGTGTCCGCGCGGATGGGTGGACTATGGCCAGTCGTGTTACAAGTTCAACCGCTCTCCGTACCGGACACGGGATGGCGCCAAGGAGGCCTGCCAGGCGTACAACTGTGAGCTGATCTCAGTGAACACGTTCGAGGAGCACCGCTTTGTCGTCGACTGGTTGCGGGAGCATGATCCCCAACATCGGAGGCAAGTTATCCCTGTGAAATCACATCCGTCGAGCATGGTGTTGTGGTATTGGCTTCTTTAACCATTGTGTGCGATTAAATACAAACAAATCACAGTATAGCAAACTCGCTGAGATAAAACTTGCCGTGAATAAATATTATACATGTACTAGTGACGTTATAGCTGCGCCAATTGTGCCAAACTTTGCCAAGCGGTGAAACCGGCAACAACCTGCTGCATCTGGGCAAAAATTTCATGATTTGCGCCAAGTGTGCTTTGAAATTCGCATTCTTTCTGTGAGAAACATGATGGCAGGTGTTCGAAGTCTATACGTTACCCTTTGTAATTTCGAGTGGTCTTATCGCAGAGTGGAAAGTGCTATGTGGTTGAAGTAGTTCCTGGGTGCTAGCTTTTCAAACAATTGCAACTCGCTCATACTGCAAGCTTACCCTGTTAATTTTTCATTACTACTAGACCCTACTATGAAATGACATTACTGAGTTCAATAAAATAGCTTCTGACTGTTGTGGATACAGTCAGACAAACATAATAATGACCTAGCTTTTTTTTGGACAGCAGTCTGACTGAACCTACTCTAGTAATTACGGTAATTCAGTATGCATAAGTAGAAACGACTGTTGCTTTAATAATTTTTTTAATTTGTGGTATTATTTATTCTTGTTAATTCCAAAATACTTCATGCAGGGTGATTGAGTTTTAACTGTTACAGTAGACAGATTTCATCAATAATACCACATGCTCTGTAGCCTTGCTGAGAAAGCATGGTGTCCCAGTATTCTGGTATGCCTCGGCTTGGCCCCTTGACCTCGCAACTGTGCATGTCAAAAAGCGTATCAAATTTAAATATGCACTCCCCCTCCCGCATTACCATAAGTTTGGCTAAAAATCGAACCACTGCAAAAGTGTCAGCACTACAGAATCAAATTTCTAGTTTGTGCGCTTCCCACGTGGACTCGTTCTGCAGGTGGTTCACGAGTGGCTTTGAGAGTGGTGACAATGTGTGGACCTGGGAAGGAGACAATGCTCAGTTCAGCAACATCGACAACCTCTGGCTGCCTCAGCAGGATGGCTACCTTTGGAAATATGTCTCCTACAAGTAAGCAAGTTATTCATTTTTGTGTGCGAGGAACTTGCAGAAGTAGTGTGGAAACATTGTATTCATAGCTTCCCGGAGTCTCTTGGCTTCTGCCAAGAGAGTGGCTTCTGGGATGGCTTGTGATGCGAATCGTGCACATTACAAATGTTAGTACGGTAGCTGATTACAATTATATTTCAATTAGAAATCAGACTAGCAATGACCAATTACTTGCCCTTGAAAGTGATAAAACAATTACAAAGAGCAATCAATTACTTTACCATTATTTTTATAGCAAGTTTTATTAAGATCATATATAGAGAGCTTTAGTTTGCTTAATATTTATTTTTGAGGTTGAATGGAGCATGAGTCTAATAACACTAGATAGGAATCAAAATGATGGTGTGTGGTAGTTCGTTGATGATTTGAGGCCTCATGTGCTTTTTTAATGTTTTATAATTGATTATTTCAAATAATTTTTGCTATTAAGACAGCTGGGACATTAGTTTTCTAATTACCCTTATTATTTTTTTATTCATTTATTTTTATACATCGCATACCCACTGAAGCTATTGCATCAATGTGTACTATATTTCATATCAAGTGTAAGTGAAAAAGAAATGATTTATAGGCAATTAACAAACTTCTATCATTGAAGAATTCCTAAAGTTGTGATTGTTACAGAGAAAAGAAGATTGTATTTGAACATACTGTATCTTCTGTATTTTGAAACACTGAATAGTTGTGCTGAAGGTGAAGGAAAACGACACATGATGAGAGATTTCTAATAACGGAGAGGATTGATGCTTGCCACAACTTTGCCTTTGGTGACCTTTTTACTCTGGAGCCACTTAAGTCTTATGTATAGTTAGTGCAGTGCAGCCGTCATCACTTAAGTGTGGTATTCGCCCATTTTTAACAACCCTCTCCCAATTTTCTCTCTGTATTGTGTAGCTTCTCAACCGAGCTGAACCGCTGGGGCCTTCAAAAAGTTGCCCCGGAGATGAGCTGGCATTCATCTGCTGAGATTCCCAAGGAAAGACTCTTCCAGATTTATATTCAGGAACGACCTCTCGGTATGTGCACCATTCATTCTCGGTCTTCATAGCTGTCCAGTCCTCGTTTACGTCGTGGTGCAGTGCAGGTGACATTAACTGCATCTCCTGGTGTACAGCCTGCAATGGATGTGATGTGGAAATATGTTTAGTCTGGGCAGATCTTATTGGTATGCAGCTTGGTAGGCACAAAACCTGATAGGCACAAGGGAATCAATTTACTGCATTCAAAAGCTCCAGTGAAGTGCAGGCATTCCAAAAAGAGATGGTATTCACTGCTTTTAGATTGCTTGTTCTTCCTGTAAAGAAATATGTATCTGGTTTGCAAACAGTATCTGTTTGTAAAAAACTGTGTAACTTGCTAGCGCAATACTGTTAGCTAGATTGGTGCAGCCAGCAAGCATCTGATGCCTTCTGAAATTTACAACTTGATGAAAGAGGATTCGAAACTTAGTGTCCCTTGATTTCTTCTGTAAACAGCTTAATTAGCCCAAGCATCAAAAGTGTTATGCACAGGACGAATACACCGTGTTGTTGTCAGTGCCGTTCGTCATGCTGAATGTAGACCAACTAGCTGAGTTCAGAACACTTCGCTACAATACTTTCGTTGCTCCTCAAATCGGGGCATTGTTTTAACTGTTGCTTGATGACCTCCTCTAAACCTCCCCCCCAGACTTTGGGTACATTCTGACCAACCGAGAGGAGGTGCCTCAGGGTCCTTACTTTGTCGAAGAGCCCGCGGAGGTCATCTTCGACCAAAGTGGTCGTAGCCAGACCAACGACATCTCCCTGCGCTGTGTGGCCGAGGGAAACCCGCCGCCCTACGTACAAGTGGTTCAAGGTGGGCACACGCAGTTACAACTCTGTCATGTTCAGTTACCTGTGTGTGCGGTAGGCGTAAATTGGTCTGCAGTAAGTGCAAAGTTTGTCACAATAAAGGTTACATTTGTTATAGTGAAGTTGTATCTGATGCTAAAATAACTGTGTCCTACTGTCATATTTGTTGTGCTCATTCTGGACGGCAATCGCGGCATAGTTAAATACGTCGGCAATTCATTACGCGATATAAGCTGCACGTAGTATGCTTCGCTGCGTAGTACTTTTTACCCTCTAGTTGTACACTTCATTGCTTTACAAGAGTGCATGGCAGCAAAACATATTAACTGCAAGTTCGTCATCAGGTGGAGCATTCTGTGTCATGAACATAGGTTTGCGCAATGTTCCCCATTGGGGACGAGGGAGGGAGATTGCTCACTGCCTCGTGCCGCTCCTCACTAAGTCAATGTATGGGGCAGATTTTGTGCCCCTCTTAGGTGACTAGGAGGTGCAGCTGCCCCCTCCCTCCCCTTCCCCCGTAATTTTTTGTGCCCATGCCTATGATCATGAAGCAGGAGCAGTTCACATAATGTGATGTGCACTTTGGTCATATTTCTTTAGTTGCAGAATTCCTTTCAGATTTAAAGAGCCGATATACAACCCCAAGGTCCAAATATTGCTATCAAGAAAAATATGTGCACTTTTTCTTTGTGAACATGTTGCTGCGAGAATTTTGCAAGAACAAGCTATACTAAGGAAGTTACAGGGGTTAGAACATCAATTTCAGTTGGTTTTTAGTTTTTTTGTCGCCTCGCCACCCTTCTCCCTCACAGGGAGGGAAAGATGTAGCCGGTCGTCGTGACTGGTTTAGACCAGTCACGACGACGGGCTACACCTTTCCCTGCGTGTGAGGAAGAAGGGTGAGGTGTGTGCTACGTCAAGTCCCCGATCCGCCACTTTGCGTCACTGTGCGTGAAAGGAAGATTAATCAAGCATAGGAAAGGAACACAGGATTTTTTTTTTTTTTTTTCGAAATGGAGGCTCTGTGCGGCGCGAAGCACCGTAATATTTGAAAAGCACGATCGCCGCGATATGCTCTACGAATTGCCGAGCTTCTTTGAAAGGTGTCATAAAATGTTAGAGCCTGTTGAGTGGCCCTTTAATGCCTTAGTTAACAGCGTTTATCAAAACAGTGTCATTTTGCTGCCATAAATAGTATTTCCAATAAAGAGAGAAAATGATTGTGAAATTATCAGAAGTGCACTTGTCGAGGCATGCTGCCTGGCCTAACGGAAGGGATGGTAAGCTTTCTTTATATATCACTGAGGTACGAACGAAAAACAGAGCTAAAATCACAGTACAAGAAAGGATACGGGAACATGCCGTGGTCTCGGGCCCGTTTTTGTGATTTCTTTTTAGTGCCGATTTTCACTCGTAATCATCAATCAACCAACTCCAATGCATGCACTATCGCTAAACTCTTTCAACAGCATTCCAAAGGGATGTTAGAACTGTTCTACACAGACAATTTGATACAAGTGCTTTCGGCACATATGGGTTTGGCTGCATTTAATGTTCACTGTTAACATACATATGCCCACAAGGTGATGCCAGCAGCCAGAATTTAAGATTTACTTCGTTGTAAGATGTTGCAACTGTACAACCTAAAGAAATAAATCTGATGCCATCACATACCTGAATTTTTCATAAAACTTTATCACATCATGGCAACAAAAGGACATAATCAGGTGAACCTTTCAGGGCATAGATCCTGACTGGTTCCTTGGGCAAATGTTCCCTTACTAGTTTTGAGCAGTTGTGGTTGCATCTGGAGTTTACCTACGTATACAGTAGTGTCTCAGTATATAGAAATCTCTTGGAAAGAATTGCTACTGAAATGGAACAACTGCCTCTAATATAGTAGACTCCTGTTAAACCCTGAAAAAACCAGAAAAATGTTTCGTTTTGCTGAAAGATAAACATGGGTGTAGAATTCAGGTACAGAACCAGCCAGATTAGAGGCATTTATTCCATTTAAGTCGTGATTTGATTTATTTCAGCTATTTCATTTAGGAGAGTTTTGTTTATTATGAATCAACTGTATAATTGGTTTCCTAATTTTGTGCCCCAGTCCATTTCTCACTGAATGGAACTCTTGTGTGTGCTTTTATATTTTTCATAGATATGCTCCTACACAGTATGTGTTTTAATTTTCTGACTAATAACCTGCAATGACATAACTGTACTGGCTCTCTTTGGCCTTAGATGCCCTTGCACCAATACAATTTAATCTAATAATGGACCTCTTGTGAAGGGGAACATATTTTGCTGATCTCTTTAGGTTCCGCTATAGCATAGTCTAAGACGCGAGTCGAAAAACTGAAGTTTTTTTTCCAGAATTACCTATTTTTTTGGTTTTATTTGATTTCACAAGTTTACCTTTTCTACTTTCTTGACAAAAAAAACACTAAAAGTTGTAGTTAAACTCATAGTAGGTTAAGAATGCTTTTAAAGAGCACAAGGTGGCTACTAAAAACTTAAAAGAGCTCATTCTCTGGAGTCCCCTGGAAGTGGTCACCTGGCCACTTGCCATTGCATTTTGCATGAGGAGTTCACTGAAGCCACATGCTCAGAGTAACCATAATTGCCAAGCTCTCATGGTGGAAGAAATCATCGTAAAAAACTTATCTTTTCTGCATAGGCAAGCTTTCACCTATACCTTTAAAATGCGTTTTTTTTTAAGATCCATTTTTGGGCAACTTCTTGAGTTTGGACATCTTGTTTAGCCTGATCGGGATGAAATTTTGCCCACATATTTCTTAACATGTGAAGGGTGCGAGTTTCTTCTTTCAAACATGATATCGACTGTATAAATATTACAAGCCAAAAGTAAACAATTGGTATTGGCTGATAATTGTAAGAATTGTCACAATATAATTTTTGTTGTTCATCAAAAGGTTCTAAATGCACTTTCTTGGTAGTTATTTGCATTTTACAGTTAATGCAGAGCAGTATGAAACATTAATGGCTCAGAACCATAAATCCCTGCCTTCCTTTTTTCTCGTTTCTCAGAACCATAAAAGATTAGTGGCAGAAAAAGTTTGTCCAGAAAGAGCTATGTCATGTTGACACATTGTCATGGCACAAAACGAAAACTGCGCAACTTACTATAAAACTAATTACATATTTGAGGTCAGCATAAAAGCCTATATGTAACAGCAAAAGTTTAATTGCCCTGATCTACAGATTAATGCAACTTTTTTTTTTTGATCTCATGTCTCCTAAATGCATAGCAATGCATTTTTATGTGCTTGTCCTCATTTCATTTTGCTTTTTTAAACTTTTTCTTCAGGAGGAGTATGCGAACGATGAGCTCCTCAATATTTACATTGACCCACTCTCCAATGGCCGTTTCACGCAAACGGACGGGACCTTGACGATTCATTACCCGGATCAGGTAAGTTTTTCAGTCTTCTTGTTGTCCTTTCTCTTAACCAAAATAGATTTTCATTATTACACAATGGTTATGTTAGCAATAATTGAGTCCTTGCTCTTTCACAAATTCCTAGGGTCAACCCCAAACCCTTTGCATGTTTGAATAGTGTCTCGAGATTTTGCACATACAGATCAAAATTGTCCATACACTCGATATTTAAAAAAATTTGCCAGGCCAGTGCAGCTGTCTGCAAGGACAGGGCAACTTGGAAATCAAATAACTAAACAATAAAAAATAAGTACTCTCATACCTCATTACAACAAAGTTACGTCTAAAAAAAAATAAGTTTGTTCTATCCAAAAAGTCACTGTAAAGATTACTCCTAACACTGTATCTATTGCAAAATTATTTTTCACTTACTTCATTATAATTGATAGTTCTTTATATCCATGTTCATTGTAAGTGTAGTCCTTGCTACAGTGTGGAAATAATAAATGAGAAGGAACTAAAGCTTCTGAAACAATGGAGCCGAAATTTTGTTTGAAATGTTGAAAAAGACAGTTTACAGTTGTGTTAGTGTCTCTGGGATTGGGGACTCTAACCAGTTCGTGTACATTAGAGACAGCGTCAGAGCAAAGTGGGCTGATGAGGGCTTATTTTGACATGAGAGTTATGTTACATGCGCCCCTGCTTTGAGCAGACAAGAGCTGTTTTTTTTAGGGTGGGAGGGGGTAAAATTGTGCGTGTTTTCCGTGTCTACGACCCTTTTTCTTTTCATCCCATCCAGACCAGAGACAGGGGCAAGTACCACTGCATGGCCGAGAACAAGTACGGCAAGGTCCTCTCTCGCTCTGTTGCTCTCGGTTTTGGCTTCATCGGAGAGTTCAACAAGAACCGAGCCGGTGACAGTGGCAAAGAATTCTGGGGTAAGCTTCAATCTTTGTCGAACCCCTCCCGTTGTTTGGGGCGGATGCCTCATCATTCGCTTCTGGACATTTTACCAGTGGTGATTTTCTTGCTCTTGTGATCGTTTTCTGCAGGTTTTGTAGAACATTTTTATTGTAGCATGGTAGTATATATTGTTGCGATACTAGTGCGCCTTTGTGTGTTTGCTTTTAACACCACGAATTAGCCCTCTTTGAGACCTCTGAATTTACGATTCTAAGGGACACATGGGTCTTGAGGTAATTTTTTTAAATTCTTTGTCGACTGAGATGAAGCTTTTGGAGTTTACAGAGATTTGTGTGCAGATTTTAGATATGCCATTATTCTAGTGCAAGACATATATCTTATAATATTAAACATTTCATATTCTTTTTGGGAGCAAGAGTTTGTATGAACTGTGAGATTTAAGTCAGCACAACAGAATAATTTGAAATGAGTTATATGCCAGAAAACTAGAATGGATGTTCTAAACTCATCTGAACAAAAGTAATCATGTGTTGAACGTGCACTAGTGAGTCTATATGAGTTATGAATATCCAGCGTACTGTGACTTTTGTTTTTGTGAATCTGTGCTCACCAAGACTTAGCTAGGCTGAGCAGTTGTAAAGTCCTAATGCATGGCTTTTTTTGCTCCGCGTAGGGAAATCGGTGTCGTGCGACCCACCGCAGTTCAATCCAGCAGTGCACTACTTCTGGGTGCGTAATGCTTTCCCGGACTTTGTGCAAGAAGATCCCCGTGTGTTTGTGTCGCACGATGGCAACCTGTACTTCTCGTCCCTGGAGAAGAACGATGACGCTAACTACTCCTGCAACGTTCAGAGTCGCATCTCGTCAACGGGCCGCACGGGACCCTATTTCCACCTTTTGGTCGAGCCCGCCTGTGAGTCGCCTGTTGTTTTTGCTACTTTTCCTGTTGTTGTCTTGGCATTACACTCAGACCTCGATATAAAAAACCCGCATATAATGAATCATCAGTTATAATGAAGTATATAAAAAAACAGTGCTTGCAATGAATACAGTGATAGAAATATACCTCTATAATGAATTTTCAGGTACAACGAACTCATTTTTATGTGAGGTGCAACTTTGTTTTAACGAAGTCTGAGTGTACTTTTCAATTCTGTAGCCTCTGCGAAAATGAAAAGTGAAGTGGTAACATCAGGATTCGGGCCAGTTGAGCTTGCCTAATATAAGCAAAATGGCACATTCTCTGAAGAAAAAAAAAAGCTTTATAAAAGGCAACAGGAAGATCCTGGTGCATATTTTTTGTTGTTATCATGTGCAGTCATGCTTTCCCTCTGCTTTTCCCTTGAAGAACTCTTTGCGCCATTCTTGTGCCACCCTACAGCAATAGCAAATGTCTTATCCTGGTTCATTCACAGACAGGTTCAGCAAAAAAAAGGGATAGGGGTGGCTTGCTTTTTTTTTTCTCCCAGCTGGTATGTTAGCATTTTCAAACTTCGAGTGCTCACTTAGCTGGGTATACTTGTGTATGATTTCTTCACTGCTCCCGTACTCATACCGCATCGATGCTGTATAAATGAATGAATTAATAAACAAAGTAATGAATGACTGAACTAACTAATTAATGAAAGTTGTCATGTGGATCACCGATTCAAACCTCTAATTTTCAGCGAGCGGTCAGAAGCTCCTGTTTCCCAACAACTTCCCGAAGTCGTTTCCCGAGGCCCCACTGGCTGGCAACGATGTGCGCCTGGAGTGCATTGCCTATGGATAGTGAGTTGTGCATTATTTCGTTTGAACATCTCTTATATGAATGCTATGAAATTTAATTTCTTTCCAGGGTTGTGCACATTGTCTTTTTACCTTGAATTCAATTCATTCAAGTTTTGATACTGTTAACGAAAAAACGGGCACTGACGGCATATTTGTAAAGCAGAATAAATGTCACGGTAAAATATACAGTGCCATCTAAAATGCAGAGCAGATAAATTGGTGCTCTCATCACTTTTGGATTGCCAGAGTGGGACAGCTTGTAGGAACCCTGGCATGTGCAGTATTTTACCAGTTTTTAGTTCCATAATCTGTGGTGCACGCCCCGTGCATCAGCACCCAATGTGGTTACTTGTAAAAGTGCTTCGGGGCCTCTTTAATTTAGGTTTTGATTTAACGCAATAGATTGTAGATCTTAGTGACTGTTGTATCAAGGTTTAACTGAACCTACCATTTTATTGTTCTCCTGCTCCTTGAATCGTCCCTAGTTTCTTTTCGCAAATTTTTGTTGTAAGCTGTCTTTTCGACTGTGCTGAAAAAGTGTTGCAGGGGTCCTGGAAGCCCAGCTAGGGGCACTTTCCCATGGCCGTCAGAACACCATTTAACCACATCATGCATGGGCAATGTCATTCCGTCTTATCTTGCACATTGGCTAGCATTGATTCTCGCTCTATCAAGGGCTACATGCAAACCCTTTTATGCTTTCTGTGGCCTTAATATCTGTTGGCCTCACATGGCCTGTAGATACAGTTGTTGAGTGTTTTTCATCCATCTGTACTCTTCTCCGCAGTCCCGTGCCCAAGTACAACTGGACCCGTGTGGGAGGCCCCATGCCAGCAGGGGCACAGATCAGTTCACACGGCCGTGTGCTACTTCTGCCTAGTGTGCGCGTTGAAGACCTCGGCGAGTACGTCTGCATCGCCAGCGCCGATCAAGACAGCATTCGCAAGGGTGTCACTCTGACCATACAGGGTGAGCTAAGTTGAAAGCTAACGAAGTGCTTGATGGGGAAATAGGCAAAGCTTATTTATATTTTTTTTATTGGTGCCAGTTTGCCATACGGTATAAGTTGAATACAAAGAAAGAGTTTAGTTTCCTGCATAAAGGCCAGAAGTAGTCGATGCAGAAGACGGTGCATTCAGCGTGTTAAGTCACGTGGTCACATGGGGTAGTCGTGAAGGCCACGTAAGTGGCGAGTGTGAGCCTGAGGAAGGCCCAGACTGGCCCCAAATAGGTGATTGAGCGTTGCCTCTTTGGCTGGAGCAACTCGGAAGGGGCACATCATTAGGGGTGGCTGTGTACCGGATGTCAATGTAGTCTGGATGGCAGTAGTCAAGGGTACGCCCACACGAATCCTCCTGAGCGCAACTTCTCGGCGAGGGAAGCCACCGGGAAGGTCTGATCCATGTGGAGGAATGAGCAGGCGTGGAGCGCCAGAGGGTTTCTTCGTGCAGAAGCAAGCTGTCCTTCGGGACAAACGAAGTAGAGACAGCTGGCGTTGAACTGCCGCTGGAAGGCAAGCAGCATCCGTGTCCAATTGAGCCGGTGTCGGCAGCGGGTCCACAAAGCTTATCTAATGAGCCTTATTAAATTGGAAAAGTGTGTAAGTGTGTGGATCTTTCAAAAGTTTACTGTTTTGGTTCATAACATATACTGGCTCATACCTGCTCATCCTCTTCAGGCAGTTGTGCATACCGATGTTTTCCGAAAAGTCTGTGTAAAATGTTTAGAAACCACTAGGTCTTAGGGAACTTTGAAGTCCCAGCAATTTGTGACTGTTTGGTTGAACTGTGCAGTACACATTGTAAGTACGTTTTAGGCGGAAAATATAAACTCGTGACTGCCGGGGAATAAAAAATGCATATGGGGGATAAGAAAAAAATACGGGAGATAAGAAAATGCATACGAGGTCCCCTGCCTAAAAGAGACATCTCGTATAAAAAGCAAGAATTGCTGCCAGGAGCATGCCTCTTGTAAAGGGATTTGAGTGTATTTGTCATGTCTCGTTTTCCATAAACTTTCAATCAAAACATTTAGTTAAAGACTGCATCAAAAGCTAAAGTGTTGAGTTGATATGTTGAGACGGTTGTTTGGGGAGTTGGTGATTCATGATGGATTGAAGTACAATCGCGATTAGTAGACAGGGACAGGAAAGACACGGACAAGTGCTTGTTCGTGTATTTCGTAGGTCCTGTCTATGTATCGTGCTCTTATTTCAATCCATCATGATATGTCGAAGTTGTAATTAAAATGCATGCGTTCAGCCTCCAACACTTCTAGTGAGATTCATGATGCAAGCTTCGATGATGCGTTACATGTTTTGATTAAGATATGCTGGAAGATGGGACTGCTAAATACAGTAACACCTCATTAATTCGAACTTGGCTATTTCGAATTGCCTCTTAATTCAAAATGTTGCCACGGTCTCATATTTTGCACTGTTAGTTTGGGTGTATCATTTGAAGCGGCGGTAAGCACCAGTTCGGTTATTTCGAAAGAGTTTGGGTGCCATGCTCGAATTCCCGACCCATATTTCACCGCAAATCCGCGGAAACGATGGCCCTTAAGAGCCACACCATGTAGCGATACTAGTGAATGGCAGCTGGAGCACCCCAGCATCGTTACTATCAGCGCTAAAGATAAAAAAAACGTTCTTGTGAACGATTGAAACGTGCGCCTGCGGAAAACAAGACATGCTCTGCTGCAACACAGCGGTGGCGCACGGCCAGCATATTGCATGTTTCTTGCTACGTCAGTGCCTCATGATTTACTCATTCTTTGTGGGATTGTAAGGAAATTTAATAGAGGACAGTTTGGAAGAATTCACGATGTATGCGAATCTCCAATGTCCGGCTGCTCCTGCAATTTGCGCGCTTGCACCGCTTGCGGAGTTCTTTCCTGCAATGCCTACTTCAAAAACTATAAGTTCAAAAGCTTTAATGATTTTTTTTCCAGCCAAAACAAAACGTGAATTTCGTCACACTGGTCATTATTAAATTCATTTTACCTGAAAGATTGGGCAAATGGTCGCATCATGACATGCTGACGCAGTGAGGAGCAGGTGACATTCTGCCCTTGTGTCACTACTGTGTCACAGTGAAGCATATCTTGTTTTCTTCTGGCGCGCATGTCTTTCTTTTAAATGTGGAGCATTCTTCAGTCGGCAGTGCCGTTCACATCTCCACTGTGCATGATCGCGTTTCTCGCCGGCTCAGGCAGATACCCGCAAAACTACTACTCCAGGAGCCATTAATGGGTAAGACACCACAGTTTCTTCAGTAAGCCGAGCATGTGCAGTGGGGGTGCGGACCTCTTCCCCATATTTCTCTCTCCCTCGAACACGGCCGGTCTGTATATAAGTGGGGTGGTGTTTATATAAGTGGCAGAGCGCGCGTTCGGAATTAAGTCAAGGGCGTCTTTACTTGGCTTTCCCTTGACGCTTTGCTTTCCTTGAGTAGATGCAATGGAAGCAACAGTACCTTCATCCAGTAGTGGGGCAAAGCCGTACATCAGCGTCTTACCACTCATTGAAGGCAACGCTTCTCCTGCATTCAATAAGTAAGAACAAAAAGTCACAGCTTTGCCACAAAGGCAAAGCAATGAACGTGATAGCAACAAATTGGAAAGTCACATGAAGAAATGCAAGCAGATCAAAACGTGCCCCGCGTTTCTCACGCACAAATGACGCATGAAAACGTACAGATGGATGCAAATAAGCATCGCAGTTGTTACTTCGCTGTGTCTGAGAAGCGTGCTCTTTTCGCATATGAAGACTGTGCTACAAGTGCAGTGACCATTGTGCGCTCGGTAACTACGACAGAATCGTTCCTGTGAAAGCCAAAGGCGTACATACGATTGTCCCTATTGCGAGATAAGCGAGCCCATGTCAGAGCGTCCTTCTCCGCGGGGAAAGTACACGTGTACGCGTGGAAAGTACAATCTGGCAACGCTTGCTCATTGCGCTATCTTTCTCTGGTAATGCTGAGAACGATAGTAGTTCCCCCGTGATGCCTATTGCCAGCGAGAAGTGGTAGATATAAATAGCTTACCGCTTGAACGTTGAAGGAGGTGCTCCTTTGTGGCTCAGTGGCTAACGCCTTGCACTCACAATTCAGAGGTGGGAAGTTCGGTTTCAACGGCCGGAGCTTTTTCCTGGATTATTTTTTTTCTTGCGTTTTTATATATATAGATACGTATAAATATACGGTGAATGATGGCAACGCCGGTGGCAACCAGCCAAGAGGGTCCACATAATTGCTATTGCAATAATAAAGATAAAATAATAATTAAGCATTCTCAAACTATACCCAATTATGCAACATTCATGCGGTACCCCCACCACTCTGCGATGCATTTACTGGAGTTCCTACCATGAGAAGGTGCAATTAAAGATCCCCAGGTGGTCGAAATTTCCAGAGCCCTCACTACAGCGTCTCTCATAAATATATGGTGGTTTTGGGACATTAAAATCCACGCATCAATCAATCAGTCATGAAGTTGATGCACACCTGTGTTTGTGTGCAACTGGGAAAGAACCATCTTTTTAAATGAAACAGAGGTCGTGAAAACCAATGATCATAACTGATCTCTCAGCTGAACAATCTACACAAGTGGATGCGAAGTTTACACGAATCTTTCGGTTGCACCAATTTTGCTAGTTATTTTGTTTCGTGTTTATTGAGTGGGTGCTTTTGCTTAATGAGAGCCGACCTGCAGCGATGCCCGAGTTCACCATCCCGCTGGAACACCAAGTGGCGGACGAGGGTTCCCGACTTACGTGGACCTGCGAGGCATTTGGCATCCCTGAAGTGGTGTACCACTGGTACCGCAACGGCGAGGTGCTCAACACCAATAACTCGAATGACATGCGAGCCCGATACAAGGTGCGTGTTGACTGTCCCACACTTAGTATGCCACCGTCTGCCTGCTCGAATTCAGACACGATTGTAGGTCCACCCATTTCATCCTAACTTGAAATTCGAAGTTGGGGTTCGATCTGGCATCGAAAATTAGCTCCTGTTGTGAAGTCTTTCTTAAAGGGGTCCTGCAACACTGTTTAAGCGTGGTCAAAAAACGCTGCTGATTGGTAGTAGAGGCTCCTGAAAACACGCGAGCCGAATGTTATAGCACAGCACGCGGCCTGAAATTAACAATAAATTATCAAAGTCGGCTGGAAATCGCTTTCTCTTTCCTCGACAAATGATGGAAGATGCTCAAAAATTACACGAAGAATGCCCATCTATCAGCCATTGGTGATTTGAACATGGCGCGCTAGATAGATACAAAGATCGCCACAAGAGGCCGTCACTTGTCCACGCGTGCGCGCGCGATTGCACTGAAAAGGTTGTGTATTTGAAGAAAAAAAAAACAGAAAAAAAAGTGCTCAAGGCCACGAGGCATGCGTGATGTATTTTGTTTGCTCCTCTCATCCCTCCCTGCTTAGCTTCAAGCGCTTTCGTCGGGACGAGAGAAGAGAGAACGCGATTGCAGCGTGCGACAAATCTTTGTAACTCCACTCGTGCTGGACGGATTCTTGAAATTTTTGTGGCATTCAATTTGTGAGGCAATAAGCTCTTCAAGTGAATTAATTTCATGGTTACTCAAAAAAAGTGTTTCAGTGCCTCTTTAAAATGATCTCCGCGTATTCTTGGAAAGCTAGCTTTTTTCACAGCTGTCGAGCACTGCCGTGAAGCCACCTTGGCACAACGAAATGGGATTTTGTTTTTTTCAGCGACATCGTATATAAAATTTTTTTCTGTTGGCTTTGGCAGGTGGACGACAACATCCTGGTCATCGAGGACCTCAACCGGGCTGATGAAGGCATGTACCAGTGTTCGGCCACGAACTCTCTTGGCACCAGCTTTTCCACGGCGCAGCTGAGGGTCGTCAGTGAGTCACATTTCACCTCTGCTCTCAATGTGTTGTGTGTAATATTTAGCACTGATCAACCGTGTTGAGTAAGGTTAACCAGCCTGCTATCCTCCTGTCCTGTTTCATTGGCCTTGGTCAACCTTTATCGATGAATTGATCGTTGACTTTGGATGCTGTCTGTCTGACTTTCATTTTACGTTATATATCAATGCTTGAGCTTCGAGTTATCGAACTTGAAAGGAATCGCAGGATAATGAGCTGTATTTGCAATTTTATGTAATATATATAGACAACTTGTCTTATACTATACTGCATTGGCAGCTCAATTACTATCTTGCATGTAACCCCCATAAGGCACAAGGAAAATTCGGAGCAAAGTTTGGGATGAGAGCTATGGCTAATTTACTTTTTAGATTAAAAAAAAATATATATTTACTTCTCGCAGTTTTTAGTTGGGGGTGCAGGTCATAAGCAGGGGTGAATTATGCGCAATAGCGTTTTTTTTTTTTATGTTTCACTTCATTGCGCACCTGTGTTGCAGGGAAGCTTAATAGGTTAATTTTTTATCATGGAGCAAAAGTAAAACTCTTGCCACACCTGTATAGTGAGACATGCTCCCGATCTTTCTTTTTTCCGTGAAATGCGATTCCTGCAAATTCTATACCTCCATTAACTTCTTGAGATTAAAAGCAGTGCTTTCTCTCTGGCACAAACATTCTAGATTACTCTGAAGGTGATTACAGTGCCATAAAAGGAAGCCCGCATGCAGGGGTACAGTGCTTCATACACATATGAATGAAGTGGTGAATGTCATTATGACGGACATATAATAAAGAAGTATACTTTTTTAAGGGTTTCACAAGGGAGTGTAGAACTGTTACAATCATGGGATATAAAAGCAGTGATTTACTGTATAGACCGGACTATAGGTCGAGGGGGAATATAGGTTGACCCCCCAAGTTCAGGTTACCGAAAAAGAAAAAAAAGGAAAACGGCCCTACGTTGCCGAACGACATTTATTTGCGTATTGGGCGCACTGCACTCCGATCATCGGAGCTCCCCTCAACCACCATCGCAACTGTTCCTATTCGTCAGAGAAGCACCACTGTCTTCTGAAGACGCGACTTTGTCTCTGGCCGTCTCCCTTAGTGCGTTGTCTTCCATGCCATACAGTGAGTTGTTGATGGAACATTTCTTAAAAAGCATTTTCCGCCATGGAACCTGGCAAGAAAAGGCCAGGCGGAAAGCACCCAGCCACTAACGGTCGCAAGCAGAGGCCTCTGTAGGCGGCCCGTCGGTGTCTTTGGGTTGTTGCAGGACATCCACTTTTGCTACTCCAGTCGCACTCGGTCCTTGAACAACGTCGATTGGTTGGAGCACGATCGGTTTAGCACATTGTCGATCGGTTGGAGGGTGGACGTCGTATCACCTGGTATCATGGCGAGGTCCGTTTTTCTATTGCCCAGTGCGCGCTTCACAGCGTCGGTTAAGTGACCACAAAACGCATCTAACACCAGCATGCTGCAAAGACGCAGCAGTGCACCTGGCTGACGATTCCCTCATTGATACTCGTATCCATTCGAGCATCATGGCCTCGTTCATGTATCCCTTTTTGTTGACGCGAATGACAACACCGGGTGGGAACACTTCCTTCGGCATTGCCTTACGTTTGAAAATGATGAAGGGTGGAAGCTTTCCACCATCTGCCATGCATGCCAGCATGACGGTGAAGCGCGAGTGCTCGTTGCCAGTGGACAACAGCTTCATATCCTTGGCGCCATGCTGCATGATCATGGTCGATGAAGGCATGTCAAACCACACGGGGATCTCATTGGCATTGTCAATCTGCCCCATCATGTAGTTGTTCTGCTCCCGAAGTAGGTTCATGAAGCCCTGAAAGTTTATAAGCTTGTCCTCGAACTTGTCTGGAAACTTCTGACAGATGGATGTGCGCCACCAGAAAGAAAATCCTTTTCGTCTCATGAATCGACACACCCAACAGTTTGGTGCACGAAACTCTTCTCTCGTTAGCCCAGCTTCTCGAGCGAGTTCCACGGCTTTCCTGCGAGTGGTATGCACGGTCACTGGCAGCGAGCACTTCATGAACTTCCCACACAAAGTTCCCTAGCGCATTCTCCAGCTGCGGATGAACTGCGCTTCGCCCACGAAATGACATTTTCCGAGAATTGCACATCTGCAGCTTCCCTTTCTGCACCCTCCAATAGCGCACGCTTTTTTTTTTTACACCAAAGCGGCGCTGAGCAGCCATATTCCCTTTCGCTTCTGCGAACTCAACAACATCTAGTTTAAACACAGCTGAGTACTGCCTTCTCGTACCGCTACTCATATTCAGTGAACGAAAAAAAAACTACTAAAAATGAAACTTAATGTCAAGCGGAGCGAGAACTTAGAACAGATCGAAGGCAAATCACGAACACAAAAAATACAGACGAGAAAAAAAAAAAAAACCTGCTATTGGATTTGAGTGCAAATATGGCCGCCGTATCCAGCTTCTCATGCACATGCAAGCCACATGTTGCCAGACAGCGGTGCACTGTCGGGTAGACAGCGCTATATAAGATGGGGGGCGACTTTAGCTCGTTGTTTTATTGAATTTCGCTGTGCATTCAATGAGTAGCAGGACTAGTACAGTAGGCCAAGTTATAAATGGTGAAATGCATTAAGTGTTAAATCTTTCAATACTTAGCCCTAATAAGCCTATGTAATTGCTTTTGATGATTTAGAAATGTTAACTGGGCTGCAGGTAATGGGTACAGTTAATGGTAACGTATTGCTTCACGACAGTAGGGATTTTCTTTGAATAGGTGGTTTTACGACGTGGTGACTTCACACTGCAGTGAAACCACCTTTTCCGGCGGGTGACTGAAATTTTAGAAATTACGAACTCTCATCAAAGTGAATTCTAAAACTGAAATTTTTACAGTGAAAACTGTTATAGCATCAGAACGCAGTTTAACAAGCGGCGCCGTAGTTGTTCACCGCCGCCGCCGGTGTGCTTGATATGTATTGAAAGGAAAAAAAATGCAGTAAATAAAAAACACCAATGACAAAACGGGGCCAGCTAAGTATTCTACCACTGAGCCACGCCAGTGCTTGGAACTCATTTCTAAACCGGCCTTAGGCAGGCTTGATTTCTGGAAAGCAATCTTGTTAATGCGAGTAATAAAGTGCTTTAGAAGATCAAAGGAATAGCCAGGCATCACACAATGCGAATAGCGTAACGAGTGAGTCGTTTATTGCTCCAACCCATTAGAATACTTGTTATTGATCACCTGTTAACTGTGGCGCTTACCGACTTCAGGCATAATTCTTTGTCGACGAATGATGAAGGATAACATATTCAATGCTGGCCTACTACACAAATATAATTATTTATGGCGTAGTGGGTACCCAGCAGTGTGCTTTTAGCAGTTGCACAAAAAGTGTTGAGAAAAGGCTCTGAAAGGCCACTCTTCTAGCTTTTGCTGTGACTGTGCTGCGTGTTCCACACAGGCCTTGCATTTTTGCTACAATATTTCAAGCGCTTGATTATTCGCACAGGTCCATAGTTAATCAGGATTCTGGGGTTCAATGTGGCCACGTTTGACACCTCACATTAACAAAAGCTTGACTGTTCACATCCTTTTTAATGTGTATGTCTAAATGCTGTACGTGTTCCACCTCTTCTCTCGCTTAAATTGCGTATGGCACTTTGCCTTGATACGCAGCCATGGCACCCAATTTTGCCAAGTACCCCCTGGACACGGAGATGTACGCTGCCGAGGAAGGCAACATCACCATCCCTTGCCGTCCGGAGGCGGCTCCTTACCCGGAGTTCACTTGGCGAAAGAACGGCTACACCTTTGCTCTTGGGGGTAGGACACAGGTACGTCCTCTCTGCTGTCATTTGTAGATTTTGCTGAGAACTAACAGACAACAATGCCTAGGAAAGTATAAGGGATGTTGTTAGTAGTAAATGTAATGTAAATGTCAAGAAAGAAAAGTGGGTGAAAAAATTACTTGTCATGGGCAGGAACTGAACCTTCGACTTGGTGTGGGCAGGTTCGGTCCTTGCCCACAGCAAGTTGTTTTATTGTACACTTGTCTTTCTTCACGCTTACAATACATTTACTGCTAGTAATATCTTCTATACTTTCCCTGGCATTGTTGTTTGTTAGTTCTCATTATTATTGTGCCTAACAAAGAAAAACCATTACCAAATCCAATAGCCAGATGAAGGGAAGGCCTCCAGTTTTGCTGTTTCATCAGCGTCTACGAAGCAGAACTGGTTAGTCTTTATAGTAAGACGGTAAGTTGGGCCAGTTGGTTAGGATCCATCGTGAGCTTACTTACAGCGCAACACCAGAAAAAATACAGGACAGGGAAGGAGCAAAAGAGAAAGAAAAGACGGCGCTGTCACAACTGTTGTTTATTGGAAAAAACGGGCTGAAAAGTATATATATAGGTACTGGCAGCCTACATCACAACATGCGCAGAATACGAGTTGCACAGAGGTAGCGTTATCACACTCATGGCAATAAACAAAATTGGCCTAAATAACTTAACTCTTTTTCATGCAGTGTGACGGATGGTTCACTAACGCACTTGCTACCTCTAATCTTTATATGATATGCCTCAGCGATTTCTCTTGTTAGCTGGTTAGGATGCTTGAAGATGATGGTGGTTCTCTCAAAAATGGGACGACAACCGCATAACCTGCATTGTTCCGGCAGATGAAGTCGCGCGATCCCTTGAAGAGATAACTCATGCTCCCTTAAACGAACATTCACACATCGTTTCGTTTGTCCCACGTACTCCCTACCACACGATAATGGAGTTAAATACACAGCTTTTTTTACAGCGCCGTCTATTCTTTCTCTTTTGCTCCTTCCCTGTCCTGTATTTTTTCTGGTGTTGCACTGTAAGTAAGTTCACGCTGGTTAGTCTTTTTTTTCAATACTTGAACTTGTGCACAAACCCAACAGGGCATACATTAAGGTAGAGGGCCACAATAACTATAACAAAGCAGTAATGTCGGCTACCCCTTCCACTACTTTAACTAGGTTCAAGTTTAGCTGGTTGGTTGCTGTTGTTTTACTTCACATCCTCGCACCCTCTGATCAAGCTCCTAACAAGTACTAAATGTGCTGGATGCATGTTGTTGGCTGTGTGTAGATGCTGAGCAATGGCTACCTGCGGATCGATCCAGTGCGGCGGGAAGACGAGGGCAACTACACGTGTGTCGTCAAGAACCAGTATGGCACTGCCAGCAGCACTGGTGCCCTTGTCGTGCTGTGTAAGGGACTTTTTCTGTCCACTGTTGTAGCTCCTTTTGGCAGCATTAGCGTGAAGAAGCAACAGTGTATGTATATATCAGGTCCAGAGTTTCTGTTAAATCCATGCGGCACATTACCAAACGATTTTTATGGCATCCAGGTGCAATTAATGATAGGTGGAGTAGAGAACTTCTAAATTCACTAGCATGTTGGTGTTGTTATTGTATGTCCTTATGTGTAGGATCATTAAAGTTTTTGCAAGTGTCCGAGAAAAGTCACTCGTACTCTTACTGGATGTTCAGTGAACGCAAAGAAATAGTTTTTATCGAAATAGAAATAGCTTCATTGGAGGGACAGACAAGGCTGTCAGGACAGTGAAATCAAATGTGCCAGCACCAATTGGCATGCACTCTCTTGAAACTCTGTTTTTTTTTGCAGATGAACATGGTTATCGAAACCACCTCAAAATCATGCATTTGAACATCGTTTTTGCTGCATTAGACATAATGTTGTCTCCTTGTTACAATTTATGGGAGTAAGAGTTGGTTAGCACGTGGACACATTAAAAGGCGGGGAAACAGAGAACGATTTCCCTTCTCTTGCATTGTGTGTGTGTGTCCAGCTTTTTCTATGGTGGATTCCTGCTACGATTCATTCAGCATGCTTTTTTCCTAAGCCCGTAACGATGTTGTTACAGCGTTGCCGCGCAGCGTGGAAACGCCTCCCCCGAAGGTGGTGGCCACGGTGGGGAGCCTGGAGGAGCTGCACTGCCATGCGCTAGGCGCCGCATATGCTCGACCTGTCCTACATCTGGCTGCACAATGACCTGCGCATACAGCCACATGAGTGGCCCCAATACGGAGTGGTCAGTACCTCGACGAATAGATGCATTTTTTCTGTCTCTTTTAAAGGGGTACTGACACTAACATTTCTAGTTGTCGTTTTCTTGTGTCAAATGAAAGGCCAAGCTAAGAGCCTTCAAAGTATAGTGGTAAGCCTGTATGTGCCCTACTTTTGGCTTCTACTGCACCCTATCATGACATTTCGTGACCGTTTCCACGACTGCTCCGCTCTCTGGCTTCTTTGTTAATGCACAAGCAGCTATTTTGCATATTTTGGCGCCCGACCTCGTCACTGACTAGCCATACTGGTTCGTAGGATTCCCTGGAATAGACATTCTAGCTTGATGTGATGCTAGTGCCGATGTCAGCAGGCAGTGCCATGTGAAAATCGACTTTAATGACAAAGTGTAATACGTATTAAGCATTGGATTAGCTTCGCACTCGCTCAAGGCGATCTCTGTGTACAGGAAGTTTTGATGGCACGGTAAAGTCAACTCCGAAATTTGGTATTGGCATCCCTTTAAAGCAATGCCATTTTTACCAACCATATTTAATTTGCCTGCTGTCTGCTAAGTATGTTAGTTTATCGACCTTCATGGCATAGGACGTTTACCAACTACACTCAGACTTCTGCTACAACGAACCTGGATATGATGAAATATCGGTTATAGCGAAGTAAATGAAGAATACCCTTGCAATAGATACAATGTTAAGAATACAGTCGACTGTTCTTTTATCAAGAAGTTTGAATTATCAAAAAGTTTGAAATATCAGAATATCTCAGGTATATGACTCTGGCGAGGTAACACATTGACTTTATCACATGTAAAAAATTTTTAAGTGTTTTTAAACCCTAATTGCACCCAATGGACAGAAAGAAGAGTTGTAAAGTCCACAAGTTTATTGGCCATTTACTGCTGATCAGACCTTTTAATTGCCTACTGCCTCTTTGCTATATGTGCCTTCAGCACGAAGCTCTCTATACCAGTTGAGAAGCATCATGGTTTACCATGCGTGTGTTTCATTTCAAACATTTGTTTGCTAGCAAAGCTTTTTTCCTTGAAAGCCTGACCTGCTTACTTTTCATTTTTAGACTGTTAGGATTATATAAGCACACATATTTTCAAATAGTAGTGGGAAAGCAGCAGATGTTTTCAGGTATAGGAACTGCAAAAAGTATGAATTAACCAAAAGATGGAATAGGGGGACAACCAAAAAATCTAGTTTCGTTTGAATTAACCAAGAGCATCAATTATCAAAGTTTAAATTATCACAACTCGAGTCTACTGTATACTCTTATAAAGAGTTATCGATATAACGAACATATTTTTGTATAAGCAGAGGTGCAACAGCTGCGCCGAATACCATGAAATTTGTCAAAATTGCGCCAGGCGGCACCTGACCAGCCTCAAAATTTCCTTAGTTGCCCTAATTTGAGTGAGAAATAAAGGGCACTTTGGCCACCTGTAGGTTCTGTCAATCAATAAATTCAAGCGGGCAGACCCTAACCCTAAACCACAGGTGTAAGATAGTTGCTCATCAGGCCAAGACACTCGTGAAACGCTATCGACCAGATGAAGTAACGACGACGGGCACCCGTTGGTTCGCTGACCGCAGTGGATGTCTACCTGCGGGACGATGTATCCTCAATACAAAAATGTGTTGCCGTAACCAGCAACACTTTGCGGGAAATATGAATTGCCTAATCAGCAAACGCGACCATGGCATGTTAGGAACCAGGAACTAAAGCTGTAAGCATACAAACTCGCAGTACGTCGAATTTGTATGCTCCCAGCATTATTTCATGTCATGACCATGTTGGTTGCGATAGCAACGCCACATGCGATAGATATCTCCGGTGCCGTCGCCGGGCCAACGGGCGCGTGCCGTTGTTACTATATCTGGTCAAATGCGCCTTGCAAGCCAGCCGAGAAGTTGGGCCCTAAACCTAGCCCTTTATGAAAAAAAAGAAAAAATTGGGGGGAAGGGGGTAGTGGTTCGAAAATTTCTTGGTCTTGTTCTAGCCCGTATTGCCCCGCCGCGGTGGTCTAGTGGCTAAGGTACTCGGCTGCTGACCCGCAGGTCGCGGGATCGAATCCCGGCTGCGGCGGCTGTATTTCCGATGGAGGCGGAAATGTTGTAGGCCCGTGTGCTCAGATTTGGGTGCACGTTTAAGAACCCCAGATGGTCGAAATTTCCGGTGCCCTCCACTACGGCATCTCTCATAATCATATAGTGGTTTTGGGACGTTAAACCCCACAAATCAATCAATCAATCTAGCCCCTGCCGAAACAACCGCCTAATCGGTCATTGCCGCTGTACATGGATGGCCTGGGGAAAAGCGTGTCAAGATTCCGAAGGGGCTTATAGTCTCTAAACACAGCACAGTTTGTTCAATTACTGATGTGTGTATGCGCCGCATAATTGTGAGTACTAATAGGATCGCTGATGTCTAAAAAAGTTACTGGCAAAATGATTGTAGGATATTTCTGCAGCCACAAAAAAAAAATCGAACAAAACTATGCACCAGTTTTTTTCCACTCTGTCAAACAATTTGACAAGCATGGTGAATTCTACTGTGGACCTCATCATTGTTTGCTGAGTAGGGTGATTAAAGAAAATACTACTTTTGTTGAAATAGCAGCGCTCATATTCGCTCTGCCTGATTTATGAAATGTTGAATGGCTTGTACAAATATATTTATTTCTAAATCTGAGCCCCCCCCTTTTTTTTTTCCAAACTGCTCCAAATTGGTTTTTCGTGATAAAAAATGAATGCCTTTTCCCTGTAACCTGCTCCAAATTGGGGTTTTAGTGTTCTAAAAGTAACATTTTGCTGCCCTTAAAAATTGTTCCAAATTCCAATTTGGCTGTTGCACCCCTGTGTATGGTGTCACTTTGTTATTATGAGGTTCCAGGTAGTGCCAATGAACACCGCCCCTGTTATACATAATTAGACAGTGAAATATTACATAACACTGAAGGAAAAATCTTCAATGCACCAGACAGCTGGGCGGCCTTAAGATTAACTCCAATCAATACCGATTCCAAATGCAGGGTTACCGGCCAGGCTACCTGGTCATCTACAATGTGAGCTTCGCCGAGGCTGGTCGCTACACCTGCATCGCCAAGACGTCAGTGGGCAAAGTGTTTTCCAACACTGAGCTGCTGGTTTTGGGTGAGTATTCCTGCTAATTGCAGTTAGGTGTTTCTTCAGAGTTTTTTTGTATAATTATTTCGTTATTGAAACTTTTTGTCACACTAATGCATGGCTGGGCAGTCAAGTTTGTCCAATGTTGATGGTCTGGGGGTGTCTTTATGTGCACTGAAGGCATGTTATATTTGTGCCTTTTCCCTGTCAATCATGCTGAAATGCAACCAGTGCATCTGGGAATTTATTTAGTGACTGTACGTTCACCAGCATGAGTGAGTGTGGGGCAACCAGTAGTAGTGCTATAATCAATGAAGGTGATTAGCTTGTTGCTATATTTTTTTAATTATGCATTTGAAACCAGTGCAGCCCTTTAAAAAAATGTGCTTGGTGATGTGATGTGTAACGTATTGTGAATAGAAATAAACCTCAATTACCATAGAACCTTGTTGATGCGTTTAAAAAATGCAAAACATAAATGTAAGATCAGGGAAAACATACGACCTAAATCCAGTAAAAATTGAAGCTGACAAATACATATTGAGGCAAGGGCGAAAAACACTTGATTCTCAAAAAAAAAAAAAAAAAAAACCATTGAGGGACTTCTTGATTTTCAATCTTCTGGCATCTCATTAGCAGCCAAAGGTGAGCTAGCTAGTTCCGGTCCTGACAGCACCAGAGCTAGCTGTTGTGGTCACGTGCATTGAAATCTCGAGGCAACCCAAATATTTCAAGATCGAATGCTGGGACAACCAGCGTAAACGTAAGTTCAGCGGAGCTGAATGTATCTGCCAAATACTTGTATTTTCCAGGAATCTATCGACTGGAATGTATCACTCACAGTTTTACGGGGCTATCTTTAGTTTTCGAGATCGCGAGCATGGGAGCTGGGAAATCGTATTAAGCGGGAATGTATCAACGATATTCTACAGTACTAACATGCACTTGTTCTGAGCTGAACCACTGACATATTGTGAATGCAGAAAGAGAAAGGGAGGTGGGAGATGGAACATATCGCAGACTGCCGACTGTATCAGCACCGCATCCTGTATTCTTTTTCTTTAGTTTTCTTTTTTTCTTTCATTTCTTTCTTTCTCCTTGCACAGTATATCAATAGTCTGGTATGAACTATCTGGTCTGCAAGGAAGTTTTGCTTTCCTAAGTTCTTTTTACACAAGCCAGACCAAATATTGAAGCTTAAGGGGAGATGCGGGTCGAAAAACGCGAGTTTTCTTAAAAATTATCGATTTTTTGTTCTCGCCTGTTTTGGTAAGATCACCTCTACTATTGTCAAAAAACAAATCTATGTTGAGACTCGACTGGAAATGGTTTAAAATTGCGTCTGAAGAGCACAAGGTGGCTGTTAAAAGGCTGAAAGTGTGCAGTCTTCGCGCACCTTGCCTCTGATAATGCGCCGCCGCTCGCCATTGTCGATCGCACGAGTCAGAGTCGAGCCTAACTCTTCAAATAATGACAGTTTTTCTCGCTGATGTGGCACAAGAAATAATGAAAAGAACCGCGCTTTTGTCGTGGTTTTTGGTGTCACAAGTGGCTTTTAAATCACGTGGTTCGGATCGGGGACCGCCATTGGCCACTGCGCACCTGTATGTGCTGTGAAGCCTACTTGCGGGGTTCCATGTCTTGTAGAGCAACGCAGTTGAACAACGCTTTTCTCGTGTGTTTATCTCTATTATAGATGAAGAAAGCTGTAGCTTGTGTGATAGCTGTGCTGTCAATGTGAAAGCCTTTGTGGCAGCCCGCTCTGTAGGATTGGGCTACGAGCAGCCGGTTCGATTTGCGACAATTGGCTTGCAAAAGCCAATGCATCAAAAGTCATTCACAGCTATCAGCCGGAATGTCTGTGATGCGGCAGTGGATGCTATCTGCGCCAATCTTGTGAGGTCAAAGGAGCTCACAGTGAGGAAAGTTAGCAGGGACGACATTACCGCTATTTACGATGGTACGCAGCACGAAAGCGGTTGCAAAGTGGCATCGGCACTGTTATGTTCCTCGACACTGGGCTTTCTTTAGATTTCCCAGTCCTGTAAAACTTCTCCCTAGCTTACAGTCAGCACCAGGCCTTCCCAGATGGAGCGAAAGAAGTTTGGCAAACGTTTATTGGCCCTGTTTATGAGAGAAATGTCTGCAAGGAGTCAGCTTGAGAGTGCCGTGAGGGACAAACTTATGGTGGGGGTGCATATTAGTGGCAGCGGCCACTACAAGAAGTATTGTTCTTTTTTGTGGGCAAGTTTCACCACATATGATGACATCTATCATAAATAAACATTCAATATCAACTTTAAAACTCATTTTTCTCAAAACAAAAATTGCGCCTTTTTTTTTTTTTTTTTTCAATGTGCTCCTTCTTTTTTGGGTACTACTTCTGGTGCTTGAATCTGCATGAAATTTCGCCCAAATTTTTTTCGAAGTATGAGAAATGCAAGTATCTTGTTCAAATTTCACTATTTTCATCATATAATAAAGATTCTATGTAAACTTTACCAGGGTAGGAGAAATATGTACTTTTTCACGTCTATTGCATATTTTGTAGGCACTTCCTAATTAGTTCTTTGTATTCTACACTTTATTCGAGACATTATGAACTATCAGTGGTAAAAAATTATGGAAGTTTAGTGATGGAAAGTGTGGGGGGGGGGGGGGGCATGTTGTCATGTTGCACAACTAAAAGTATGCGAATCGCAAGAAAACTAATTATATATTTGATATCAACAGGAGAATTTCTACCAGCAGCTGTAGTTACACTGCTCTAGAGTGAATATTAAAAAATAAATGTGTCTTCGAGTAGCATCCTCCCTTATGGTTTCTGCTGGGTCAAATTGGGGGTCGCCCTGCTACCATGTGACCTTCTCTGCTTGCGTGACCTCTGTGTCACAGGGCCCCCAGGTCAGCCCGGTGCAGTGCTGGGGCACTCGTTCAACGCCACCTCCGGCTTCATAGAGTGGGCCGACGGAACCAGCCATGGCAGCCACATCACAAGCTACTCCATCGAGGGCCGCACCAACCATAACGCCACCTGGAGGGAACTGCTGAGTCAGTATCATGCCCCACATTTCCTTCGTTTCATGTCGTCACAGAAGGGTACCATGCACGAATAAAAAAAACAGAAAAAATGTAGGCCCGTGTTTCAATGAAGGGTTAACATTGTACAGCCCACGGTCTAGAGGGGAAAAAAAAAAAGACGGGGATTGTGCAAATTGTGCTGGCTTACTGATTTCATGATCACTCAATTGCAAGTGAAGTGGAGGCTGTCTTTGTGGACAACTTTTCTTGGCATTCAAGCGAAGGCTACATTGGCAAACAGTCAAACACGCATATTCTACTGCCAATGAATATAGTTCCCCAAGTGCGTCGGTATTTTCTATCTAAAATGCAAAAATCGGTCCTCTGTTTTGTACATGTAGCTCTTTGAAACAGCACGTACCTGTGAGATATTTGCATTTCACTTTATACATTAACACTTTGCGTTTGTGCACGCATGATAAGTCCAGCCTTTTAAGTGTGCTTCAAACGCTAAGCGGCATCTGCTTTGTTATGCAACGCTGACGGAGCGCAGCCATCACTTTCCACAGTGGTACGAGACGCTCGCCGAACCGAACTACTTTGCATCGAAGTACTTTTGCTGAAGCTCCATCCCTGTAGCTTTCTCTTCATCGCGAAGAAAAGTTGTAAGTTGTCCGCGAGTGTAGCATGTTGCATCACCTGGCAATCAGTACGGGAAGCTGACCACCAGAGCTGGCTAGTTATTGCAGTGGTTTGTTCGAATTATCTGTGAGAGATTTTATTTGCATGGGCATTAGGGAGCTCTTTAATACATGGGATTTCTACAGGGCTTGGCTAGACTGTGCCACTTAGTTCGAATCGCCACAAAATTGAATTAAGGAGGTGCGAATTAACAAACTTTTACAGAACTAGCACTGTTTTGTTCAAGTTTGATTGTGTGCCACTCAGCTCAGATTAATATCTTATTGCAATACCTGGCGAGTTGAACTGTCTATTTTCATTAAGAAGTACACTCAAAGCTCACTGAAATCTCATTACTACAAAGTTGCATCTTGCAGCAAAATAAGTTCGTTATATTCAAAACTTCATTATAAAGGTACTATTGCAAGGCTATTCTTTATTTACTTTATTATAACCAATATTTCATTATAACCTAGTTCGTTATACCGAGGTTTGAATGTACTAAGTGACATGTTTGTTTCAGATGTGACGTACGCCCCACCTTCAAAGCAACACCAAGCATCAGGGCCGGCGGGAAGTGGAGCTCGGCAATGTGTTATCACCATGGAGCAAATACGAGTTTCGGGTGACCGCTGCCAATATTCTGGGGGTCGGTCAACCGTCTGATCCCAGCCCGCAGTACAACACGGCTGTAGACCGACCCTACATTGCCCCGCGCAACGTCGGCGGCGGAGGAGGCAAGGCAGGCTCGCTCACCATCACATGGACGGTGAGTCTGCAGTTTCATTGACAACAGCAAAACCTGGCTGGCGTCGGAATTGGATGACACTCGTGGGAGGAAATCTGAGAAGTTGATGATATGCAAAACCTGCAATTGTAGTTTCCACACGCCCCGTTTGACAACTCATGGTATATTGGCAAAAAACACCTCATTTTCTTGTTTTTTAATTAGCGCACCATTTTCTCATTACACTGGTCTACTGTGGCAAAAGTGATGTAGGAGCATTTTAACGAGAGAATGCCCCTGTGTACCCTATAAGATGGACAGAGGGACGACCGCTCAGTTGGTAGAGCATTGGGCACGTTCGGTTCTTGCCAGCGGCAGGTCATCTCTTTGTTCACTTGTTTTTCTTTACATTCACTTAGCAAAGTGCACGTTCGAACTCATTGGTACTCCATTGAAACTGCTACAGCACAAACTTCAGAGGTGACAGACAAGCGTGTGTCGCATTCTCTTGTCTGTCGTCTCTGAAGTATGCGCTATTGCATTTTCTTCAGATTTACATTGGAATTGCTACATATAACATCTCCTATACTTTCTGTGGCATCATTGTCTATTAGTTCTCGTTAATATTGCATCTAGCAAAGAAAGATGAACCCTCCACTTTCCACTTCTTTCCTGAATGAAAGAAGGAGGTGCTTTAGGGCACGGTTCTTTGTCCGACTCAACATTAATGACCTTATCTGCTAGCTTTCATTTAGAAGTGGTTGGCGGGCAATCTACTCAGGCCACACTGCCTCGTTCTTTTCTCCTTTGCTTTCAATCGATACGTGGTTATTAGTGTATGCAGTTTGGCTAGTTCGGCTACTTTGTAGGTCTGCAGTTGGCTTTACTTGCGTCTTAGTGATAAGAACGCAGACATTCAGTTGAAACCAACAAAAGCGGCAGAGGTTTTGTGGCACAGACAGGCACAAAGTGGGAATTAAGCAAATCTATGCAGTAGAGCAGTTTGATTTAAACAGACAGCTTTAAAGTACAGAGAAAACGTGATGAGACAACCAAAATTTGAAATTCGTTTGAATTAACGGAAAGCTTTAGTTGTAAGAGTTTGAATCTGCTGTAGTTTGTCATTTTTGAGCATCCCACCTTTATGTACATCTGTAATAACGCTAACCGAACGCTAGGATACTTACGCCGCAACTTTTCTCGCGCTCCGCTGTCCCTCAAAATTCTATTATACCGATCACTAATTCGCCCAAAGCTTGAGTACGCGTCCGCTATATGGGATCCCGTGCAGCAAAATTTAATTAACGCGTTAGAATCTGTTCAGAACCGCTCAGTTCGGTTCATTTGTTCTAATTATTCCCGTACTGCTAGCATATCGGAAATGAAATCTAACCTTGACCTACCCAATTTAACTGTCCGGAGGAAACTGGCGCGACTGCATTTTTTTCATAAGATATTTTTTCACAATCCATCTATGAAGCGAGACCTCATTTCACAACCGTCATACCACTCATCGCGCATTGATCATCAGCATAAGGTTGCCATTCCGTTTTGCCGCACCAAATTTTTTTCAGCAGCCTTCTTACCGAAAACAGCCGCCGATTGGAACCACCTTCCCTCTTCCGTTGTATCAATAACAGACCCTTTGTTATTCAAGACTGCAATTTCTCAGCAATGCTTGTAACTATACGCAGTTTCCATTATCTATCTTTGTCTTGTATGTGCTTGAATTCTTATACATTTTTAGTTGACTTATGTTGCCTTCCTGATTTGCGCATCTGATACTTGTTTCTTTATTTTGTCTTTTTTTCTTGTGTGTTATATATGTTGTACCCACCCTCTCTGTAATGCCCTAGGGCCCTGAGGGTATTCTAATAAATAAATAAATATGCCGAAAACGTTTTGACTATTCCCTTCGTGCAAAGGGGAAAGCAGCATTTTATCTCTAATTGGCTTATAAGAGAATACTACTTCATTGATAAGCTGCGCTACGGGCTGTTTAGACTGTTCATTGTATTTCTACAGTTTGATGGAGAAGAAACGGGAGTCGGTGACAGCACAGGATTCTTGCTACATTTTTTTTTTCTCACAGCCGCTGTCGCCGGAGGAGTGGAACTCGCCGGAGGTCTGGTACCGCGTGTATTACCGTCCGTCCGGTGACCGAAGCGAGCCGAGAAAGAAGGACCTCCGCAAGCTGGGAAACGTGGGCCTGTACGTGGTACCCGTTGGCGAGGAGAACTACTTCTCGCCGTACGAGGTAAGCGCTGGCAACCTCGAGTGCGCTTGGCATTAGTCTTCTAGGCTGTAGCCGAGTTTTCTCATCGCCGAGCATTGTGGGAATTTTTCGGCAAATTATGGACGCTGAGGTCGGCAGTGGCATATTTGCCTTGGCAATTTGCGCATTGCGATTGCGTTCCGCTTGCTAGATTACTTCTGTGTCGTTCAAGCTTGAGCAACCAATGAATGACATTGTATGCGTATGTGTAGAAAGCATGTAGTATTTTACTTTTGCAACTGATACTTCAAGTAGGCCATCTAGCTGTGCTGGATCAATTAGGTACTGTTAAAGAAGAATTCATCAGGAGTAAAAAAAGGGGTTTCACGTGTGCTGGCTGGTGTATTGGCAGACAGAATCTGGTGGGACATGCTGGAGAAGTGTTGTGCGAGGACCACTGAAGCATGTGGCCGTTGTCACCATCTGTGCCTTGATTTCATCGTGTAGAAATTTGAAATGACCGAAACTGGCACATGAATTGTCACTCTTGGCAATCAAAAGACTTAGAGGTTCTCAAGGCCTTTTATGGACAAAAACCAGGCATGCTAAAGAATAGAGAAAGGGAGTGGGAGCATTTTAGTCTGTTGACTAGGCCACTGCCTCACAAAAAATTAATCAGGGTTTTGACCGACTAAAGGTGTGACGACAGTTTACGCCGACATTCTGAGATTGTCTGAGAGGAAAGCTTTGTGTTCCGTAATTCCACTGGGTATGGGCACTTGAGGCTTGCTGTTGTTAGCCCTGATAGTCATGGTGTTCATTGCTACTCTATGCAGGTCCAGCTGCAGGCAGTGAACGTCGTGGGCGAGGGTCCCATCTCAGAGCCGGAGATTGTCTATTCAGCCGAGGGCATGCCTCAGGTGCAGCCCTCTGGCGTCTACGCCGTGCCGCACAATTCCACCGCTTTGAATGTCACCTGGACCCCACTGGACATTACCCGGGAGAAGATCCGTGGGCGCCTTATTGGTCACCGAGTGAGTGCTTTCACCCCGTGACACGTTGTTAGTTTCACGAATCGGGCAACCGCCTTGCGAGTTTGTGTCACCCATACTGTGATTGTTTGCTTCGTGCAGTGTGAGGCGATCACAATGAATTATGTTCCTTGTTTATTGATCATTTGCCAGCTCTTTTAAAAGAACACGTACTACACGATGCCTGCTGGCAAAAAGGGTGTTCCACGCTCAGTGTCATGGTTACGGGTGGCACTGGCTAACACACTGTTACATGCCAGGGAAGGCCCAGTAATGTGAACAGGAGAGTGATGCTTCCATAGCTCAATTGGTAGAGCGTCAGATGTGTTGTCTGAAGCTCGTAGGTTCATTCCTTAATAGGGCAAGGATGCTTTTTCGTCCACTTTGATTCTTTTCAATTTATGTCATGATTACTCAGGGTGTCTACCAGCCTGGAAAGTCAGGGAATTTGGACCATTCTGGAAAAGTCAGGGAATTTCTGAAAAACCTGGCCAAGTCATGGAAACTGACAGCAGTAATGTGCGGCCATCACAAAAATAAGCTAAGCTTGAAAAGTCTCTCTTCCAACTGTAACTACAGTGAGCTTCTAGAATAGGTGTGCAAAAAGAGACGGGGCTTAACTGTTGTGTCTTAGTGTAAACACGAAAGAATACCCCGACCCATGGAGAACAGTTTGCTGATGTTTTGGCACCCGATATGGGAGAGAGCCTTATTCACAATAAAAGCCATAAGAAAAGCACAGCTTATTTAAGTACGCCTAAATATGTGACGTAAGCAGCGAGGGTAGCATCCCATCACTCTTATTGATGGTATGAGCAGTCATCTGTATCTGGATTTCAGGTGCAGGCATGATGCAAGCCTCTTTTAAATGCGAAGCATTTCATTGTTGCACCTACTCGCAAATCCGGCGTTGGTGGTGATGTATACACCCCTACTGCGCATGCTTGCGTCTCGCGCCTCGTGCCAACTGTCGCTTCCTCCCTCTTACCTCGCAAGACCGACGCAGGCCGCATCTGCTAGTAGGAACCAGCTGCTCGCGCTGCACAGCTGTTCACTGGCGACCTTATATATCCGATGGAGTAGATGCGATGGAGCAACAGTACCACGGCCGCTGTATAAAAAACAAAGTTTTTTTATCCAGTGGCTGTGACAGTACCTTAAGTCAGTAGTGGGGCATAACCTAACATCAATGTCTTACCACTCATTGAAAGCAAGGCTTCTCCTTCATTCAATAAATACAAATAAAAGGCGAAATAACGATTAAGCATTCCCAAACCATACCCAATTATGCAACATTCACGCGATATCCCCCCCCTGTAAGAAGATATTTATTTTTTTTTTTTTGTCCGAAACACACGTGTTTGACCAGGCACATTGGTAGTCTGTAGATTCCAGGTGTTCAGCGAAGGCAGTCGAGGCCACGCATTGTTTCGTTGCGCCATATTTGTGTTTAACTTTTTTCTTGAAATCGCCAGTTTCACTTATGTCACTGATGTCACAATTGTGGCAGCCTATGGCATAAACATGACCAATGAAATCTCTGCTCGGCAACTTGTCCTTCACGTTGGCTAAAGCACTCCTTAGCTACCATGTTGGTTCATGTACTATTTTTATGTGTTGCCTTCTACATATCACATGGCATATCTGACTTTCGAACAGAAACATTACTCACATCTGTAAATTTGTGCATGTTTGTCTAGGCCACGATTTCGGCTCTGCTTGAAGGCCGTCTGGATTGTCTAGGCTAGAACTGCCATCAGCTGAGGCTTGCCGGGCTACTCATGCCTTTTGATATTATTATTATTATTATTATTATTATTATTATTATTATTATTATTATTATTATTATTAGTGATTCAACAGCATCATCCTCAGCTACACACTTATTGCTTGCTGGTGGCTCATGTTTCAAGGGTAGCACTTGTGTAATTTCGGCTAAATTACTCATTTCAGTTTGGTGAGATTGTATAAATAAATCTGCAATTATTTTTTAACGTGATGTCATGACCACAGAACAGTACGTAAATCAAGATAATGTGCTGACATCTGTGATTCATCCGTGGAATCAAGGTAGGTGTTGCACATAGATTCCTTTTTGCCACCACATATTCAAACTTCAGCACTTGAAACGCTGTCTCCAGCTTTCGGTGCAGCCGTCCGAGGACTTCCGTTGCACTTCAAGCGTCAGAGCTCAGAGACACAAAATACAAACATGCATGTGCTTGTCAAAAAAAAAAAAAAGTATGAAAAGTTTGCAGTACGGCTCTGTTCCTCCAACGTCGTCGTTACCCGTTGTCAAAGCAAGGTTACACACACTACGCGAGTAGGAGTTATTCATTTTTTTTTTTTTGCTGAAAAGTATATTTTAGAGGTGCGCAAGTAAGGTGGGGACACAAATCAATAGTAAATGCAGCAATCCAGGTCGAATCAGATCTAATCCAATCCATATCCTAAGTAGTTGAGTCAGTAAATACAGAAGTTTAGGTTGATCTAATTCAATTCAATCCAATTCACATCCTAAGCGATGTAAGCTACAGCCATGAAAGTAAACTAGATCATATTTCAGTGGCAGAACTGGCCAGGCTCTCGTGTCCTCATTTTACACGCATGCCGCGAGATGGCACCACTTCTGCGTTTCCTGGCAGCTTTGACTGCGATGTCGGACTATCACAGGCTCCTTCAAACTTTCATCTGTGGTTACTTTTAACTGGCATGTTTGCTTCATGGTTCTTCTGAACATCAAACAGCTAACTTGCACACTGCCTGGCTCAGGGGTTTCATTTTGGTCACATAAATGTTTTTCCACATTTACCGCACGCACTCAGAACATTCTGAGTGCGTCTGGTAATTATGTTTACTTATGTAGAGCGCCTGTTTTTTTTTTTTTTTATCATTCGAGGGTTTGTAGGCTGAAAGGGTGCTCATTATTGGTCTCGCTATTGGTGATTCAAGCTCAATTTTAGGCTCACTCTTCTGTCGCCACTCACTGTTGTTGTAAATTAGGAACTTTCCCATATACAACACCAAAAAAGCTGTTTTTTCTTTCAACTGATCACAAACTTGATTGGAAGTGAAGGATGCGAAAGTAGGCCTGCTGGCGACACTGTGTTGAAGCTCCTTCATCTGTACCATGTGACGTTATGGTTCTTGAGGATGGTAGGCTTGCCCTAGTTTACTATGTATTGGTAGTACACTCAAACCTCAATATAATGCACCTAGATATAACGAAATATTGGTTATAGTTAAGTAAATGAAGAATAGTCTTGCAATGGATATAGTGTTAAAAATGTATCTTTTTAACGACTTTTTGGCTGTAACGAACTTATTTTAGTGTAAGATGCAACTTTGTTATGAGGAGGTTTGAGTGCGTAATGGACTATGCCATATTGTGATGTAGCCCTAGCCAACTCTGCAAGTTTTCAAAATGCTGACGGAGCCACAGTAGTGCAGATACAAGCCCAGTACTTTGAAGTTTGTGGCATCATTCTGACAAGCTGATGCTGATGTCTCAGTATGTTCAGAATGTCTAGACATGTTCAAATATTTCAACTCGCTTTGACACAAATTTAGATTATTTGAAGTTTAGAAGTATTTGAAGCAGATAAATATAGATGAACATTTGAACTCGTGAACACATTGATGTATATTCAATAGACTTGTGCGATCATTCGAATGCTTCAAATATTTGAACAAATATCACAGTATTCGGATTCCTCTCGAATTTAAGTTATTTAAAATTTCGAAGTATTCGAAATGAATGAGTTGGTGTATATAAGTGCGTTTGTAACCCCCATAAAGGTGGTTTCATTGCAGTGGAGAGATGCAAAGCCGTGAAAGCGCTTATATAGATATACCAGGGCACATGTAACTTTTTGTAAAGGTGGTTTTGCTGCAGTGAAGGGGTGTGACGCCGTGAAAAAATCTATTTATTAGAAATTTGCGTTGCCACGACGGCCCACTTCAAAGTTAAATGGACATATTACTACCCTCACATCGGTTAATCATTTTTGACGTTTAAAAGCTTGTTATACAGTCTTATATGGTCCAAGTATAGCAAATTTTGAAATGTAACGTATTTTGCAGGTTATCACTTGCATTCTATTGAAAGGCATTTGTGCTATCTTTGTGGAGGTCAGTTAGATCATGACCAGTATGTTCATTTTTCTTTATAACATGTGACGTATACTAGTTGGATTCGGTTGGAAATTATTCGACCAAAATAACTATTCGCTTCGAATCTGAAATGCACTATTTGCACAAGCCTAATATTTAACGCTGTACCACGATGGAACTACAGAAAACTCACCACAATAGCACCTCTAAGCTTCACACTCCTTTGCACTCACTGGGTCTCATTTTTTTCGTATGCAGATCAAGTACTGGCGCAGCGACCTGGACCGAGAATTGGACTCCCTGATCCTGCTCAAGCGAGGCATCGAGAACTGGGGGCTCATAGTGGGCCTGCAGCCCAACACGGAGTACCGGGTGGCCGTCATGGCATACAACGAGGCCGGCTCGGGCCCCGAGAGCGAGTTTTTCGTGGCCAAGACGTTCAAGGCCGCGCCCCTGCGTCCCCCGACGAGCGTCAAGGTGCATGCCCTCTCCCCCACCAGCGTGCGCGTCACGTGGCGAGGTGTGGTGCCGTCCATTGAAGAGGAGTCCATACAGGTGAGTTAGGCTGCGATCCTCGTGGGTGTGTACCACGGGGACATAAAAGATTGCGCGAATAGTGAGGTGCTTCAAGGGGTCCTTGCAACACTTCTTGAGCATGATCAGAAAATGCTGCCAATTGGTAGTCGAGGCTCCCGAGAACATGTGAGCCAAATATTGTACCACGTCCTGAAATTACAATAAGTTCTCAAGGTCAGCCACGAATTGCTTTCTCTTCTTTCGACAAGTAATGGAAGAAGCTCAAAAATCACTCGTCATGGCTGCTGTATCGGCCGTGAAGGATGTGCTTCAGGATGGCTCAGTGGTTGACGTCTTGCTTTCACGATGCAGAGGTCCCACGTTCGATCTGCTCGCCGGAGTGTTTTTCTTTTTCTGGGTTTTTTTTCTTTCTTGCATTTTCTTATATATAGATACGTATACATATACGGTGAGTGATGTCGGCACCGGCGGCAAAATCCAGCCTAGAGTGTGCATATAATTGAATAAATATTCAATTTCTTTAATATTTCACAGCTTTAATTTCGAAACATTGACATAAGGAACAAGCTGTAACAGAACTTGTTAAAACGGAGTCATGGTGTTGTGTACCAGGCTGTGGTTTAAATGGCGATGTATTTTCCATGGTAATTTCAGGGCTATAAGGTTCGATACTGGGAGGCAGACCAGGACCTCACATCGGCCAAGGAAGTCTACAAGCAGCTCGACGGTGAAGACCTGGAAGCTGTTGTGTCGGGCCTGGTTCCCGGCAAAATTTACAAGCTCCGAGTGCTTGCTTGGAGTTTTGGTGGCGACGGAAAGATGTCCTCGCCTCCGTGGGAGTTCCGTGTCGGTACGTCGACCATCTCGTTACATTTACATTCTGTTGTCACTTCATCCTAGATTTTCTACTGTGGTTGTAGCTGTTTGTTGGCTACTTGTGCCCAAACGCCGAACTGTGGAGTCGGGAAAACTTGAAGGGCACCTGTTGGGTGCACAATTAAAAAAAATAATTGTGCAAGTTAGTTGGGCTATAACATATGCGCTAATATTTTTATAATACGTGATATATACTATTAAAATGATTTAAAAATTATTCGACCAATATTATTATTTGCTTTGAACCTAAAATTTACTGTTGGCACATGTATCTCGTTACAAGAAATGGTAAAAATAAATATAGTTTCGTATGTATGAGTAAATCACATTTCCACACCACCAAGTACACTACTTCTGCGGCAAAAAGTGATTTGGTAAACTGGAAAAAGTCTAAGAAAACATGACAGCTGATGACCCTGCCTTGAAGTTTTTGCTTGAGTCTGCAGTGACGTTAAGGGTTTCGATGGCATCTGGAAGTCCCTAGCTAAGTATTTAATGGCAAAAAAAATTGACTAAACTATGCTCCAAAACGAGTCAAGAGCGTAAACTTGCAAGTTTGTTTCAAGAACATTTACTATTTAGCAGACAAGGCCCTAATGCGAAAAAATAGTTCAGATCTGTGGCGTAAAACTGACATATCGGTGAAATGTCATAATGCAAAAAATTTAACTTTGGCTTTCACATTTATCTTCCAGTAGGGTAATCAAATCAATAACGATACAGCTTTTAAAGGTTAATTTATTGGTCTCAGCTTCCTATTCAGCAGGTTCCCTAGTTATGTGATGTTGGAAGTTATTTTAGTTTTATATAATTAGATGAAACATGGTCACTTATGAAGTTTGATAAAACAATCTGACATTTCAGAACTGCGTGCGAGTTCCAAAACATCAGATCATTTCATCAGACTTGGTCAGTTACCGTGTTTCATCTCATTCAACTCCTGACCAGGCAAACTTTCATCGAACTTTTGACTAGGTTTAATTAATGGTGCATGACTGTACGTTCTATATCTCATGGCATTTTTCAAGTTACGAATGAAAACCAGAGTCTCTGAATGCCAGGCATTTCCCGTTTTGTATTTGTGCAGGTGATGGAGCAGCATCCCCCTACAGGTCCAAAGCCTCCATCACTGGCGGAAGCATGCTGTTGTTATGGCTGGCCTTCCTTTTTGCCAAGTTGTAGCAGGAGCGGGCAAGAGGAGTTTGGTGAGTGCAATATGCAAGTTTTGTAGCTTGTCGGCACCGCTAGTTGACACTGGGAAGCATGAATGGTTGCTTTTTAAGGTGACTGACCATAGCAAAGAACTGCATTTTGATATCGAGTCTTGTGGGACCTCCTGCGCTCAGAAACGAGGAACACTTTGCTCACTAGTGCAAACAAACGAAAAGGATTTGTGCTTTCTGCACAGAAACATACATAGCCGAATTATACAAGCAGTGTAGCGTGCCAATGTAACTTGCGGTGTGGAAGGCATTTAAGTTTGCCATGTCATGAAATGAAGCAACTAATGTCTGGCTCTGCCAGAATCCCGTGCAGGTACGGTTCCTGGATGGAGTCATGTGAACTTCCGGAAGTGCGTTCAAGGAAACTGAAAAATGTGCGCTAGACAATTCCACGTAACTTTCTATTTCTAACATTCGCACGATATGTCGCATCACTCTACAGTTACATTGATCTCGGTTCAGCCTGTGTCATAAAGCTAGGCCGGTTTACAAGGGAAGTGAGAATCGGAGAAAACAAACTTATCAGTTGATGAGAGAAAGTCGATAGTCCCCCTCTATGTAACACGTGCAGACGATTCCAATTTGCATGTGCCAGAGGATTCGGGGTTGACGTTATGGTAAAGCTCTTGTCCCGATTTTTGCGTTTCGATTTCAGATATGCGGGTGGAGAGACCGGGTACCTGGATCAATGACAAGAGTGGTTTCACGCATGCCTGCAGCGCTCATCGACAGAAAAGCGGTGGATAGTTTTTTCACCCCTATTTTGAACCACAGGAGGCCGTGGCACAATGCTGGCAGATTCTCATCTGGAGGAGGGGAGCAGCTGATGCGTAGCGTAGTTCACACTGGTCTTACGGCATAACCCAGTGTGTCGGCCTCAGTGTCATAGTGTACATACTCCTGGCGGTCCAGTCCGAATGTATTAGTGCCTGATCTCTGTGGTGAAAATGCATAGAGTGCGCACACTAACTCTGGCAGGAATTTATTGACAGACTGCTATTTTAATGCAGATTGACAACAGATGTGTTTTAGCTTTCTTTTTCATTTTGTAAGCCTGTCTTTTTTGTCACTGGTCTGCTGAGGTCTTTTTCATTCGATGCATTGTTACGGCAGCCTAATATTGTTACATGTCTATTCCAGGTTCATTCTTTCCGCGCTTTGTCGAGAGTGTTTCAAGGTCGATGTCTCCAACACAAAAAGGCGAAACGAAGAATGTATCAAACCAAAATGAAAGGATTTAGAAAACGTGGCCTGTGATCAATTGTTTTCCCAGCGACAGTGAAATGGCAACTCCAGGCATGGGGAAATCATGGGGCTTACTTTAGTGTGGATGTCATGAGCTGGGCAACACTTGATTGACATGACGTTGTGGAAGTTCGGCCCTAAAGTGTATGTTAAAGGACTTTGTGTTATTTGACAGGTGCATTTTTAAATGAATCTCGTACCGCACAGGCCTATAAAGGACATGGCTTGCTGCAGGTTTTGCATCACCTTGTATGCAATGTCTTATTGCCAAGGAATCGCTTAGGTAGATTTCTTGGGCATCCAGATACAGTGCTATAAACAGTACGTACGAGAGCTGACATGCTGTGGTTTATCTATAGTTGAGTCGCTAACTGCTGCTGCAGGAACCACAGCGCAATTATGATGAAATGTGCATTTCATTTACTGCTTATTGCAGTCAATCCTTTTCAAATCAAACCTGGACTCTTGTGATTGCCTATACTGGACACTGGAAATCTTAGAAGTACTTGGAGGGAATGAAACTGTGTATGTTGAAACAGTACGTTGCGTTCATGCCTCCCCATACGTGTTTTTCTTTAGCATTTTACATGCCTTCATGGTGTTCTGTCAGTCCTGTATCACTTTTCACATATGTGCTCCCGTCTACGTGGTGCTCTGCTGTTGTGTATGAGCGACTGCTTGAGCAGTTTGCAATGCTGCAAACGGGATAAAATTACTTCTGATGTGTCATGATTTAATTTAGCTCTTGTGACACTTTTACTCCAGGAGTGAAGTCGCACTACTCTCATCAAGGAAGTCGAGCCGCCTTCATGCAATGTCGTATGGAAAATGGACATTGGTGTGCTCCACGCAGCTGACAGGTTGCACTTTCAGGAACTTGTCCAGTGTCCAGTACTCAGTATCTGTCCTAATTTATGAAGCTCAATTTATGAAGTTGCAAACTTACAGAAGCATGACTTCACGCATTGAGTCTTTGGTATTTGTGCTGAGAAATTTACTATTGCCCTGGAGTTCAGTTCAGCTTGAGCTCTATTGTAGGCATTGATAGATTCTCAGTGAGCAGAAAATGCAATGTTGTGCTAACGAATCTCATTCCCAGTGACAGCTGTTTTCAGTGTTTTGTATCTATTTTTCTCTTATGGCAGCTCTCAGTTTTAGCAGCTGTATATGACACTTAGCTGCAGGCGGTATTTTGAAGACAGGTAGGCAGCAATGTATTTTGAATCTCGTCCTGAGATGTAAGCTGGTTGTGACATGTTTTTTAAAGGTATCTCGAACTTTTAGTTGTACATTCCATGCAGATGTAATTTCGAGAAGCGTTTGCCCCTAATGGATTCGAGTGCTTACTGATAGCATCAAACCCGCTTTTTTTTTTAAGTATTCACCTTGCAAACACAATTGTGCAAGCTTATGTTAAGTGATTTGCCAAGTCAAAGAATTTGCATAACTAGAATGCTAAATAGATAACCTAGATGAGCACAAAGTCATGGTCTCCTATTAGACAGCTTTTGTTGTTGCATTGTGATGTTGATGAGGTAGTTAACAAGCTCAGTACTTGCTGTCTCCAGCAGCGTTTCTGAAGTAACACTGCCAATGTGTTTCATAATGCATATCTTATCTTGACAATCCTTTTAGCGGGCTTGTCTTATCTCGCAAGCATTGTATAGTACTTGTATCAACTTATTTTAGACTGACAAAGTTTGCTTAGCCTCCTGGGCAATTTGGGGATTGCAGACAAGCCACACTTCTGGGTAGGTAACAGTTAGACAAGGGCAACAGAGTTTGTGATAATTCAGATCTGAAGTTTTGTGATGAAGCCAACAGATTTAAAGTTGTATGACCTAACTGTTCAATGCTGTTTTAAGTTGGCGTGGCCTTCTAATAGTATTGCGAATAGCATGTCATTGTTTTACACAACATTCCTTTTTAGTTCCATCCACTTTTTATCGCTGCACTTTGTCTCGCGTATATAGGACCATCTTGTTTTACCTCTTGTAATGCCTATGTCCTCGAGAATCGTATCATTTATAGAAATGGGAAATCAATTGGTTTCGCGCTTCTAAGGCTGTTACTTGTCGTCTGACATCATGAAGTGTATGCCAAGTGTTTGATGTTAATGCGCGAGGGTTTAGTTGTGCACTTTGATGCTTAGAGTTGTCGGAAGCGTTAGGTTTATGCCCTTTTATGATATCTATAGAAAGGGTTTCAGTGGTTGCGGTGTGAATATTGTTGCCATGGTGCAGTTTTTTTTTTTGTCAATTTCCGTCCTGGTTTGACCAAACCATCATCTGTGCAGTTTCTAAATATTGAACTTTAGTTTCTTATTTGTCTCGATATCAGGAGTTCAGAAATGCTTTACTCAATTGCACGCACATCAGAGTTGCTACATAAAGCCAGCTTTCTGTAGCAACTCTGATGTGTGTGCAACAGACCCACCAGCCACACTGTAACCCATGCCTGCGAACTGTAAGGTGTGTTTTTTTCACAGTGCCTACAGCAATTGCTTTGGCACACTCATGGCTAACCGAGAATTGATTCTTCAGCTTGGTTATTAAACAAGTCTGGCACTGTTTTTGTTATTTTCAATGGAAGCAGATTTAGCTTGTCTGTTGACTGTTAAAATGGTAACAAACCATGTGAATTACTTTTGTCCCTGGGACACTTTGTGTAGTTGTTACGCAAGTCGTATAAGTGTTATTGAAGTCATTTAAACTATGTAAATCATCTGAGACTTATGAAACAAGAATTGAGGCATTGTCTCATTGCCTGCCATAGAAACACCTAGTTGTCTGATTGGCCTTAACAACATTCGGCACGAAAATTTGTTGCATAATATTACCATTGTTGAAGTGTGATGGGACACTTTGCCGTCTCCATACTTCACCTAAGCATCCACGTTAGGACGCCACACAAGCTACCTGTTGATGCACTGCCACAGAGTAACTTTTTCCATCAATTAAGTACTTTAACGTTTAGAAGCGTGTGAGAAGGATGTGTGTGCATGGATTTATGCCAAAATTCATGCCTGCGTTCTGATGTTTCTGACGTGGTATTTGCCATTGTATCATCTACATTCCTTGCACCCCTTACGCGTAATTGGTCTACATTTTTGGTACTCATTCTGCTGTGTGTCTGTCTTACTGGTGTGTTGCGCATAACATGCTAACGTTGCTTTAGTCAGGCCTGCTGAAACAGTTGACTTAGGGTTTTTTTTTTTTGCTGTACTTACTATTTTGTGGAGCTTGTGTTGCTGTTGCTTCTAATGTGTTTCTTCGTGAACATGTGTTTGTGCATCAAAAAATGTTTAGTGTGGTTACATTATTCACTGTTTTTTTACTGAGGGGCAGCTAGCACGGTAAGGTGTGTATCTTCAAACGAGAGTGGTCAGGATCTTTTGAATTATTATTGCAATACATCATAGATGACCAGATTCTATGCGAAACAGTGGAAACCACTGGCATTGTGACAACAAAATGTCGTAGCAACTGGGAACATCTTCGAAATGTTATGATGTTTAGGAAGTTGTGGTAAATGTGTACTATTTGATCACACTAGCTAATGCGTGTCATGTCTACAAACACAGTTTTATTACTTCATCGTCCACCAAGGGTAGAAGTTAGAGTTTGTGTTTGCAGTACGTGGGGGAAAAAACAGCTTTCTTTGAAGCCTACTGAAAAATGAAAGTTTACATACCAGAGATGTTCTGGCTCTGTAATAGCTTGTTGTGACAGCTGTTAAAAGATTTTGCCACTTGTTAGCATTGCTGAATAGTTGTACCTTTTTTTTCTACCCTTGGTCCGTAAACCTGATGTTGCATCTCATATTCAGCTCTCATATAAAAAAAACTCTAAATAAAATTTCACACTGCACACCATTAGTACTGGTCAGGCATATAAAAAAAGTTGCCAAGATGACTCAAATGAACTGTTTAAACCTCAAACACGACTAAAACTTCATAAATAAAACGCCCCTGTTGCTAAAAAACTTGTAACTGTGTAGGAATGTGAAAGTGTTAGCCATTGCCAAAGTCCTCATCTCTATGTTACCTAGAGTGTAGCATGTTAGTGCTTAGTGTTTGAGATATTCAGTTTTATTGGTTTTACGGGTTCTTCAGGTTTTACAAACATTTAGCGTTTAAACAACTGTTTGATGTGTGCAACTTGAAGGGGCTATGAAGGTTTTTGACCTCCTTGGGTGCAAGCCTCATCTTTATGTTTCTTGCATGGAATCACCGCTAAATTCATAATTGCACCCTTATTTAACAGCTTTTGCTTGATATGAACAGTTATATGTCGCAAGGCAAGTTAAGCAGTTATTGCATACACAAATCTTTCACTGCCCTTTTTCCCGGTATGTGGTAATCCAGTAATGATTGCATTCACATTGCAATAACTTTAATTTGTCAATGAAGGTATTCTTTCATTTCTCCGCTTCTTGCTCACTAAATGCATGGCAAAACACAGTCTTCACGGCTAATGTGCCAACTCATATTCTTATCATTCCAAACATGTCAATGTGTGCTTCTGTGTTTTCTTTCCTTTTAATGCAGGTGATATCGTATAAAGCAATATTTGAGGTCAAATTTAGCCCCGTATTTTAAGATGTTCAAGCACATTTAAAACCTTTCAATCAGCTAAATAAAACCAAGGCCCAAGAGCAGCACATATATGCAAATTTGAGCCATGAAAGTTTGTTCTTAAGTGTCCACTTACGTGCTTCACAATCTTCTATTACGCGGTCCTCCACGCATAATTTTGCCACTGTTGCAGAGACTGGCAGCCAGATCTCGCAGACTTGGCGTGTTTGTTACTTGTTTTGCTGGCCTGCAGCACTTGGTTTCCTAGCACTCAACTGCACGCTTGATGAACGGGCACATTGTCTTTACAGCTGCAACTATGTCGTACGTGTGGTATGGTATTAACTGGCATCTGTTCATCCACATGTTCTGCATAATTGTGTGATCCTTGTCAGAAGAGGTGTTTAAAGCATTGATAACAGTATGTTTGAGCCCTGTGCAATAAAGACATAAATGCTAGAAATCACAAAGCTACGATAACATCGTTAAACCGTTCCAGATTGTAAGAAATATGTCGAATACACGTATTGCTTGCCTGCGACGAGTTCGCCCAAACAAGTGTCACGCAAATGTGCTCTTAATGAACCAAATTGCTACACACCTCTTTATTCAAGTACCAACATAGCTTTGGAGTGGCCCCAGTGGTGCCCCATGTGAACATTGGGATACTCTGCAATCTCAGTTTGGCCTTTGTTACTCTTCATTCTCATTACAAGAGTGCTCTCTTTTTGTTCATACTGCAAACACTATGAATCTCGTGAAACCTGGCACAGGAATTATTGTGCAAGAAGCTCTCACAGGCCTTGGTAACCTGGTGGACAGTTAGGGCCAATCTACATTTTAATGAATTATATTAGCAACGAACTGGAGACTTGCAGTGCTGTTTGAACATGCTTATTTAAATGTAGCCATCATTTCTATATATAATCGGCGTACCGAATGCACGATGAGTTGGTTTTGTATTTTTATACATACGAGAGATCGGTACACTTACAAGTGAAGTGGTGTCTAAATGAATATGTAACCTGTCATTTCTTGCAATCTTTTTTGTTTGTTTGCATTGCAGAGGCAAAAAAAAAAAAAAGACGAGTTTCATGTAAGTTCATTCAAAACATTCCAGAGACTACACAGATTGTCCAAACAGATTTCACATGTACATATGGCAATACCACTGTGTGGAGGAATGCCTGATAATAAAAGAACATATTTTTCAACACATTCTCGTTCAGTCTGAATCTGTCTCTGAAAGTTTGAGGCCGTATGAAGGAGCCCACGTTTCAGCAAGGTTATCATCAGGATTGTTTATTTCTCACACACGAAAATTCTCAGGTGCTATAATACAGTGCTTTGTGATGTTAAATTCACTCCTTCAGCATTATTTTTACGAAACATGACGTGCGCCAATTCACACAATTTCTCCAACTGAATTCAATTTTTATCATTCTTCACTCGCTATGGCAATGACAGCAGCAAGGATAACGTCAGGCAGAATGAAATGAAAAGCAATTGATGCCTGGCGTTTCATGTTGCAGAAGCATGACAATATGAGACGCCGAAGAAAAGCAGTCATTACATCAATTCACTATATGCATTTTCCAAGTGTTCAACACATGCGTCCTGTGTAACTCGTAATGGTATTGACAATGATCAGAGGAAAACTAAGAACAGTGCAAAAAAAAAAAAGATGCTACAGTAAAGCAAGGACTTGTGAAAGGAAGAGTGCTTATTTTGTGTATGACCAAACACAGTAAACTTCCCAACACTTTTACCAAAGACAATACCAAAGTAGGATTGGTGTGCATTGCGTCCATTCGCATACTTTATTTTTCGTCTTTGCATTCAGACAAAATAGGCACCCTGCTTCAAACTAGACGCCCCTTCAGTTGCGGGCTATTTTTCCTGTAACCGTATTTTAACAGACAGCAATTTCTAGAAATGCACCACTTAGGAAAGGATTGATTTACAGATACATAATTATACAGTTCAGCTTGTCTGTAAATGCACTTTTTTTTGCTGTGTTTAGCAGAAGCCAGCTGTAACGAAAGACAGTTGCTCAAGTATCATCTGTTGTGTGAACAATAATCTGTTTTGATGCATGTCTGGCTTGCCCCGTTTCGCCAATATTGTACATTGCAAATTACATTTGATTTCCACTGTGGACAACTATTTAGTTTATAAACACCATGTCCACTTAAGACGAATGGAGAGATCGTGAAAACTGAGGGTTATGGCAGCCTACTCATTGCAGTCGATGCTATGAAAGTGCCCCCTTTAGCCGAGAATGACCAGCTACGACTAGGCCGCTGCGGACTCGAAAGGCTCCCTGTAGTGAACGACTTACCTCCATGTGCCAATGTTAGCCAAGCCATTGAGATTACCAGTCAAACAGCTGATGACAAGCTGTGGTGGAGCACTTTGTATTGGTTGGGCAGGTTTAAAGGTGTCCACCCTTCACGAAACTCAAATGGCATGACACTTTATATGTACCACAAATGCAAGGCGAAAATTCTTGATGCTGCTAGCAATGACAAATAATGAACCTTCGGTGTGCCCTTTGTAGTGTGAGGGAAGCTGATGATGAATTCAGCATGAGCCAGTTTTAGTGGCCTATCAGCTTTGAAAGTAAAAGCTCATGCAATTTACACAGTGTGATGGCATCTGGTGCAATACTACACATCTGACATGATATGTTTGCATGGCTGCACATGCGTATGTATGCACCCAAAAGAATGCCTTTGTAATATCTTTTTCCAAAGCAGCAACAGGCTCTGGCGTGGTGCAGTGGTAGAATAGATGACCCCCAGAGAGTGCCCGAACTCAATTCTAGCAGGAAATCAACATGCATGAACGCACCAACATTCACCGTTGACCGATGGAATTTGCCACCAAAATCAACTATTAAAATGAGACAATAACTGTCTAAGCTTGCATCGCAAAACAACACAGAAAACTTCTGTCACCATTCTTGCCAGCTGGTGCTACTGTAGCAACACTCACTGCACACTCCTCTATGCTCCAGCAGCTACTGTAAGCAACGGCATAGGAGAGGGGAATTTTCACAGCAGAGTAGGTAATACTGAGCCAAAAGCGAGAAAGAAAGTGTATCAGAAAAGTCGACGCACTTCTCAAAATACACTCTTGTGTTCTCGCATCACGAGAATGCAGTTGGCGATCCTGTGACTTCCTTTTTTTTTTTCACAAGTAAGCATATTAAATGCCGTTAACCTAGAATGCAGGCACTGAGCCTCTCCATTACTTGAGCTTTCTTTTAGGTAAGCATCAATTCCCATGTCGGCCTCTTCAACAGTATTCTATTCCAAGCTTCACAGCATGCCTTGCTTGCTCTTTGCTTTAGTGAGGATGCTTTCAAGAGCAGCAGGAAATCGTCTTACTGTGGCAAACTCTCAGCACAGTAAGAAGCAATTTATACAATCCAAGACTAACTATGTCTTGCAGCAATGCCCGGGTACCTGAGAGTCAAACCTACATGCTAGCCGATGCTCTTCGATACATGGCAATGTCGTGCTGTTACTTGTGAATCTAGCTTCACATTTACTGCAATTTGCACAGTGTGTGACTGAGACATCTGAATGACCCAGCATGTCTACATGAAGCCTGCTAGTTCTTGTCAAATTGGTGGGAGCAGTTAGATCTGTTATTAGTACCACTTTTCTCAAACAGTCCCCCCATCCTGGCTACCTACCTACTGGGAGTGATGTTTATATTGCCCATTCAGAAGAGAACTTCAAATGAATAGAATGAAACTGCCACATGAACTTTGAATGCTGTGTATGGCCAGTAGGGAGTCTCTCTTCTACAGTCTTTTCTCTACTACATCGAATATCGCAACTTGAAAATGTCTTCCACTCCGAAGCGCACAGTGGAATGAATGCGTTTCAGTCTAAAATCACATGTAACATGAAGCGTATTTGCACAGAACTCTTTGGCCAATCTCCTGCCCGGGGAGAAGAAAGAGGGAGAAAAAACAAAAAGAGGTCGGTCAGATCTTCCGACTGGCCAGCCGCCCTACCCTTGGTTATCTTGTTATTGGCATGTATTCCATTATCACAAAGTGGCGGCTCAAACATCTCTGGTTGCCAACTTAATGGCCAGAGCATCCCTCTTGATCCTGGCCTTGTTGAACAGCTCATCCGAGACCACAGGAAGTTGGCACGATGCCGGATGAGTTGCGGTGATACCTTCAGCCCAGCGCGGATCAAAACGATCCCCTTTGGCTTCGCAGATGTTGTGCAACACACAGCAGGCCAACACCAAGTCTCCCACACTGCTCAGGTCTCCCTCATACTTTGCCGCCAGGCACTTCCAGCGGGCCTTCAGCTTCAGAACGGTCTGTGAGGCATAGCCAATGGCTCCATTCAGGGCACTGTTGTACGTCCTCTGTGGCTTGGTGGCTGCGATGTCGTATGGCTTTAAGACTTCGGGTCGAAGCGGAAACGAGGGGTCCGCGACAAGGTACGCAAATGAACCGGGCGTCCTGGAGTCGGTCGAAGACGATGGCGAGTCTTCTTCTGAAGCAGTGAGTTCAGGCACGAACGCCCAGTCCTCAAGCCTGCCCGGGCGGTTGGGCGTCTGGCCAGCCCTGGCTGCTGTTATCTGGCCGTCTCGACCAATCACAACCTGAAGCAGGCAGGCATAGACGTCCGGCTGGCCCGGCACAGCATACTCGGCCTTGACATAGTTAGGTGGGCTGACGGGAATGTAAGTGGAGCAGATGACACCATGGCAACCTGGAAGTCCGTAGACTTCTTCGAAGAAGCTGGGCGTGTTCTCGCAGGGCTTGATCACCTGCGGCATGACGTGCAGTATGACGGCCTGGATGGCTTCCTTTAGGATCAGGCAGGCCGACGAGCGACCCACGCCGAACAGCTGGCTGAGGACCTTGTAGTGGCAGTTGTTCGATAGGCGCCAAAGGTACACGGCGACCTTTTTCTCAACGGGCGTTGCTGGTCTCCAGGCCGTGTCGTGAGTCGCGATGTGGTCGCGGAGAAGCTCGCAGGCGTGCTCGAAAGTGGCGCGGCTCAGATGAAAGTTGTGAAGCCAGTCCTGCGCACTGAAGTCGTTCGATATGACGTGCTGCCAGAAGTTGTCGCTGCGCACGCGCGTCCACAAACGACGTCGGCGGCCGCCCGCGCCACCCCCACGACCACCGAGCCCCGTCCTCTGCGGGGACCTCGGTTCCGGTGTCGGAGACCTCCGAGTAGCGATGAGGGCCACGAGACGGCGATTACGCTGTTGCAGCGCCCGCATGCCGACGCTCCTGGCGCTTACGTCGTAGCCGCAACAGCATCAATCCTGCGGCCACGACCCCAAAAGTGGCCATGTAGAGTGTGCGTTCCCGCGCGTCCATGGTTCCTTTGGTAGTGGGGCTAGAGTAGTTCCGGAGAACACTAGCACTTCACCGTAAGGACGCACTCAGATGCCGTTTATCATCCGCAAGCCCGTAGCAGCGACAGCACATTGTGCATCGGTGAAGGCGCAGCTCGCCTTTCTGGGGCAATCGTCAGAATCGCAGTTGTGCCGCCAGCTGCGTGCGTACGTTTCGTTTCAGCGAATCCACCTGGGTTACATCACAATCTCATAAGGCCTCGTCCTGAGCACGGTGAAAGGCTCGTGCGCATAATAGTCTCCAATAGTCCTCCACTCCACACAGTTCACCACGATTTTGACATTTCACGATTGACACACACGCAGAACACTTGCATACACACCACATACACAGTCGCACTGATACATATGGCGCTAGCGAAGCATCAGATGTCTTTCGGCAGTTTCGGTGAGTGAACATGCCTGAAGAAACGTACTAGCCCTAGCCGCTTTCCGCCCCACGGACCTGTACCGAAGCCAGCTTTGCCCCTACATAATCTAGAACACTAAATTTAATCAACTGGGTCGTTTACAAAACGCATTCGCTTCGGCACTGACCACTAGCTGTAGGGGTAATGCTCTGTGTTCCACACCGACTGCATAATCCGTTGATCTATTTGATTGTGAATGTGACTGCATCTCAAGTACAACGTAAGGAAATTCGTACTACAGAGCACCTATATACTACCATTTAATTGCACCACCCTCAAACGTGAAATAGTGGCCTGATTTTGGGAGCCGACAAAGCCGCAAACGCTATGCGGAAAACGGCGGTTGAAACGCGCAGCGCCAATCACGGCTGGCAACAAAGAGTAGCGAGCACCCAAAGCAAAATCGTAAGCTCCGTTGATTAGAGGGTGTCTTGCGTTTGGCCGAGTGTTAGGTGTGTAGGCGGCTTTTAGGATCGCGGCTTCCAAGTGCACCGAAAAAAGAAGAGCAGCGTGAAATCCGCGCCTCGACGTTCTCGGCTGGGCGACGTGTTGCGACCGCGAGTGGCGGTCTGGCACCACCTGCGGCAATCCGGAGAGAGGGCCCCGGCTACGACAAAGGCGCTGATGAACGTCGCGGTGGACGGACCATGCGAGAGCCGCGAACCTCGTCCAAAGGTGCATGCCTCGCGTCGGCGGTGTCGTTCGCCAGACTGCGGTAGTGTTTGTGCCGAGCGGCTATGAGTTCCTCTGGGGCTTCGGGAGAACCACGCAGCCTCGCTGTTTACGGTACACGCTCGCGTAGCAGACGAAGGGACGACGACGACTGACAGGAACCGGACGACTGCGACTGGAGTGACTTTCCCCGAAACGTCTCTCGAAGGTGAGGTGGAGCGCGCGCGCTCCTGTGGATCCTGTTGACAAAAGTGAAACCTCTCAAAAAAACCGTGCGCGCGTGTTTGCGAGCGGCGGTGAAGGAGGCTGGGCAGAGCTCGTCACCGTGTTTGTTTTTCTTTTCCTGGTATATCCCACCGGCACTACCGTCGTGTAAACGCCTAAGGGTAGAGGAAAGAAAACGCAAGCTCAAATCTGGAGGTGGGGTGGGGAGGCTGCCCACTCCAGGGCGAAACTCTGAAGAATTAGGGGAAGGGGGGGCACCTCCCTTGGCATGTGTGCGGACGCTTTGCTTTGCCAACTTCGACAGAAAAAAAAAAAAAAGAGAGAGAAATCGGGGTCAGGAAGTCATCGACTAGCGGTCGGATGGTGGACACCGAAGTCTCGTTTCGCCGTCTCCCCAGGTTTCCTTCCGGTCGCGGTTCAGGCGAGGGAGCATCGGTCGAGACGAACGACTCTTCCACGCTTCGCTTAACGGGACATCCTCATGCGCGTTTTGTTGTTTCGCTTGAAGAAACCGCAGCCCGGTGAGCTGCCGCTAACGAGCGAGCAGCTGTCGCAGCCCGTAATTGACGGGCACCGCGCGATTCTCTCGCAAGAATCGGCGCCCGCACGCGGTTACCGGGTCCTGAGGCCGCGTTTTCCGCCGGTGACGACTGGCTGGCATCTCTTTTCGGCGCGCCCCCCCGGGAACAGTGCAGCTTTCCTCGTCGCTCACTCTTTCCTTCGTTTTCATTTTCATTCTGCGAAGGGGCGAAAATGCGCGAGCCTTGAGGAACGCGTCGGGAATCGTAGACGCGCCTTTTGACAAAATCCCGCCCGGATTTCTCTTTGGCTCGCTTAGACAAACACGCCGTAGGCAATCGCGGCGTTCCTTTCGTTTGTTGGGTTTCGCGGTTTTTGGCCGGGCGGCTGGCGTTCCGCCGCAGTGAATCACGTAGAGCATCTGCCCGCCTTCCGGTACACAACTACACAGCTTCGATCTGTGCTGCTTCGGCGATTTTAACGCTTCTCTCTCTCTTTCTCTCTCTTTGTAGTTACGAATCGCGCCGAAATGCCACGGCATTGCTCGCTTCACCTTGACACCGACTCGCTTGGCCCCTGCACCTACTATCGCGAAAGAGCGTTTTTATCGCCGGGGTGGACATATCTCAAAAGCAAGCCCCATAATCGCATCTTCCACTGTGATCTGACGCTGACAAAACAAAATAGATGGGAGGGCACGATAGCGCGACGTGAAAGAAAATTGACTGCGATAGATCTTCTGCTGCCTCGGGAGCCATGGCACGTGCGAAAAAATGTATTCCACATTTTACACTGCTTGTGAAGGGCCTGAAACACAGTGTAAGGCTCATGCCCCCACACAAGGTACATGATTGTGTGTTTCTATAAATGCGGCTCCTTGATTTTATGTGTGATGTTAGAACATGGGACTTTTTTTTTGCTTTTTTAGCATCTGCCATCGCAAGTGCACACGCTCTGTTTACTCTAGGTAGTTCATTGTGTGTCATATTAATTGGCCTATATTGCTTTACTCACATAAGGCATTCAGAAGAAGGTTGACGTCCGTGAGAAAAAAGGACGACTTAAGTTAGACAGATCTTGCCTGGTGAGCTTTCAGTCATGATCGAGCAGGGTCCCGACGAAATCACTCGGTCATGATTGGTCCATATGGCATGTAGAAATTGATGTCAAGTTAGTTGGTAAGTCGTCATAGTGAAGTAATCAGGTGCGATGTACCACTGCCTCGTTAGGCAGCTTTAGAATAGTGTATGCAAGCTTTGCATTAGCATGTGTTGCCATTGTGCTTGCGTCGCATCTTAACCTCTTGCGTGCCCCCCTTTAAACGACGGAGATTGCAGGCACCCTCGAGGATCAGTGTCCTTGTGTACACTGTTCTATAACTCCCTATGAACACATGCATGCACTCGAGACCATACCCCATGCTGTTTGTCAGGTATGGTCTTAAGTGAATGTGGCAAAGCTGAGTTGCACCTACATAGTTAATCCGTGTGCACAAGATGCAGAAAGAAGGCAGTGGCGATTGATGGTCCATTGTTTGACAGCGATGTTTGTTTCATCATGAACCTTTACCAACACACCCAACTGGCAGTCATCCTAGATATTTGTTTACCTCAATGATTGCACAAGAACTGCCGTTTGGCAGCACTGTGCTCTGTGCTGGATAAATATTTAGAAGCAACCGATTGATGTCGCATTGTGCATAGGCTCTGTTGTGCGTGAAGCATGAGTGGGGGCATCCGTTGTTACCGTTAGTTGACTGCTTAGCTGAATGCAAAGGGCATGTACTTTTCAACGTTGGCCGCCTCGTCCAATAGACAATTAAGACAGCCTGAATACTGAAATTCCTGCAGCCCCGTAGAACAAACCACTCTGAATGATTATCTGTGTTTCTGTAATGTCATAGTTAACATTTTTTCTGTATGAATGGCCTAGTTGAGTTACAGGAACCACATTCCTTATTGGTTTAAATCAATGGTTTGACGAAGCATCATCTGGTCGGGAGGAAGTATGAAACACAAGAGAAATGAAATGAAACGCCACGAATGACAGTCGGAAACAAGAACGTGGCATACAACGCACTTGCGGAACGCATGGGTACATCTGATCACGAGTGGGCCAAGGCAACGGTCATCGTGAAGTAAAGAAACAGTTTCTAAACCTTTTCATTTTGGTTGGCGCCATTTCATTTGGCTTGTATTTCATTCCTAACTGGCTTCCATCAGAAAAATCACTCTTTTATGACAGCGCAGTGACAAATCACTGGAGGAACTGGAGTTCTCACAGGCTCGGCCGATGAAATGTGCGCCTACATAAATTCATACCTTTGCAAGTGACCGACTTGAAATTGTCCTCAAATCGGGGCAACCGGGAGGCACAGTTGCCTTGAGAAGCAATGCTATGCATGTGAAATTTGGTGGCAGAACCTTTGACAGTTAAGCAGCGTAATTTTCGTCGCAAGCACGTACAGATTAGAAGGACAGTTGTATTGCATGTTTCTCACGTGGCTTCTCTAAAACAAATTGTTTTCCGAGAGTTCGCAGCGATTAGTAGCAAGAAAATGCATTATGAAATGTCCGGCTGCTGTAATCGTTTCGTCAGCTATCCAGACAATGGACTGTATTACGCTTTGTCATCAATTAGTTCAAATCAAATGGCTTGTTGTTCCTAAGTGACCAAGGACACTTAGTATTAGAGGAAAGATGGGCAGCAAAATCTCAGCAAGAAAAAAAAAATTTATGTTCGTGCGGCGATACCGATTGCTACGCTCTCGGGTAATGACCATGCATCAAAACGATGGCAATTTTTTGTGTAAATAATTCACCGCTGCTGATTCACTTGTGCAATTAGCTGTTTCCTTGATTAACAACTGCGTAAACTTTCACCCCCACTAACAACTCCTGTTAGGTTTTTCATGGACCGCTTTCAACATCAGTTTAGAAAGAGCAACTGAATATTGCAATCGGGGAAAGCATAACACCGGTGAAGCTAAGAAACTGTTGGATTGGCTTCTCGACTTGTTACCGTAAATTAGACGCTAGTACGCATTTGTGGCAAGTGATTTTGTAAACTCTGTTCCTGGAGTTCCAACAGAAAAGAGAATTAATACAAACATGCACCAACATGTTTTTATGTGAGCTGTGAGCGTTCTTGTCAAAATATATGTCATTATTAAGTTCTGAAACACATTTATTTACATGGCTGAGCTAAATCAATCGAAATTAAGTAATCGGTAATTTGCATTCGCTCATGTTTCTTCTGTCGTGATTCAATTAGCATCATTTGCAACTTGACTATGGGCTCCAGCGAAGCGTCCGAATTCCCAGCTGCTGAGAAATGCTGTTGTTTAGTCCTTTTTGCCTCTCTAGTAAATTTGGTTCTGTTCGGTACTGCAACGCATTCTGATCACTCTGGGCGGGCTTCTGCAAGGAGCGATGAAAACCAGGGGCTCCCAGTTTGAGTTAGTCATTGTGGATGCCAATGCGGTCAAATTATCTTGAGTTTTCACCCATAGAAATAAATACACAGGGCTGTATCGGGACTAGGGTGTCAGTTTGAATTAACTGTTTGAATTGACAAGCTTTTACTCTACAAATTTGATTTGATTTATCAGCTTAGTGTTAGAAGCTTGATAGAAGCAGTCAACTTAGCACCAGCTTTGTGTAATTTGTAGTACAAAAAGAATTGTACAACTGTGCGTTGTGCTTGCACATTTAATGTATCATCGTTGCTTGTGTAATCTTTCAAGAATCTCAAATTGTAATTTCTCAGACTGAATTAAATGGTACCAAAAATGAATCGAGGATAAATTATTAGACCATCTTGAATCACCATATATTGAAAATGATGTTAATGTCAGAATATTTGCTATGTTTTTAGTTTTCTGGAATTGCATTTCACCTTATGAAGTACACCCTGCCAAAAGCCTGTACAAAGCATTATAAACAAATCATTTTCTTCTTAGTTCCTAGAGTGTTAAAAATGTTTAAAAAACAGGGTTATGAGCATGTAGGCATCTACATTTGAGACAACTACCGTATGCCATTGTGCTTTGGCTGAGGCAATGGCATTGTAAAAAGCACTGTTATGCTTAATAATGTTGCTGTTGTGCTTGCGCCAAGTTGACACCAAAACAATATACGACCGCAGCAGTGATAGAAAATTAAACAATACCAGTTGTAAGTGTCATATCGGGCAATCATTTTATTGCCAAGGAATGTAGTTTTGCTGCTGAATTCTTGCTGTCAGAGCAACTCTGCTTGCCTGCATAACTTTCCATTATTGAAGCCCTTTGTGTCAGGCACGAAATTTACACTGGCTTTAAGTTTTGTGTTTTTTCACACAGAGCTTGCCATGTGGGTAACTGTTTGATATTCACATTTTTAAAAAGTGGTTGTTCAATTTGAAGACCGAATGGTATGGGAAGTATTCTCACTTATTGTTTAAAAGCTTCAAATATTCATTTGTCTTTAAGGATCTAAATGTTTCATTCTTTTTTAAATGCACTACAGGATGACCCCTTAAAATTATCCCTGGCTACTCCTAGTAGACATCATGAGCAAACTACAAACGTGGACTATGAGCAGGAGCTTCTACCAACTATGCGTTGAGCTTAAAGTAGCCTCTTCTCTTAAAGCAGGCCTTCCTTGCCACAAGCGCTAGGCAGTCAATCCACGATTGTTCTAAAAAAATGAGGACCTGTGGCGACATTCGTAATATTATGAAGTCCTTATCGTGATGTACATTTTTATTTATTTATTTACAATGTCCTCGGGACAGAGAAAAGCATTACAGAGGTGGCGGACACAATGGACAATAAAATTTCATGTTTAGTTATTCGATGTTCAAAATGTAGTTTGTGCGGTCTTGACAGGTAATGCGCCCGCCTTGTAGGCAATGAGAGCAGAACAGCGTTCTCCTCGGCATTGGTCTTTGTAAAAAAAAAAAAAGAAGTCTTGAATCGGCTCTGTCATAACTAATTTTCTATTCCTGAATATCTGCGAATTGTTTTCTAAAGGAGCCAAATACTGAAAACTTGGCTTTGCTTGTACTAACATCACCTAAAACGAGGAACATATGTTTGATGTGTGATATTGCACAGACATTCTGGCACGGGGGGGACAGCGCTTTGCTGCTTTTGGACCTTTCTCTGTCCCTCTTTGTGGATTTGTTAAATATAAACCAGCAAATAGCCCAATTTGCATCGTTCAAATAGACCTTTTTGAAAATTGCAAGGGTAGCTTTCCTGTTATGCAGTTTGAACAACTAATGGCGGCTAGTGACTTACTGCAACCAGCCTGTTCAAGTGCAGTTTTTTTTACTTAAGGACATGGAAAATTTGTCAGCTCTCTTGTTATAAACGCTTATAAAGATAAGCCCGAGCTCATTCAACTATATCTGCGTCTTCGCCTGCATCATGACAGGTGCCGTCGTTGGTTGGGCAAATATGCAGTGCAGAGAAGCGAACTTTCGAATTATGAAAAGGGTCCATTACTTATGAAAGGCCGTATCACTTGCGCTTTCTTCGTCACCTAGAATGTTTTCTGTCTCATACACCAATCGGTATGACAGTTTTTCTTCGTGTCCATGTTGTTTGCCATGTTGAACCATTTGTGCTGCTCATTTTACTTCAGAGTATCAACTGCCATGTTAAAAAACTTTGGTTTTCAGTTGGACAGCATCTGTCATTGAGATCACTTTTTCCTGCTGATACAACTGATGCCAACATCACTCGACAGATTGTAGTGAATGGTGCGCAGCGCTTCGAAGCAGACAGTTCGCGCGCTTGTTCACGAATTGCTGCCCGCACATGTGGCTTTCACCTGCTGTTTAAGACTGCTAGCCTGTCGTATTTTAGGGAACTTTATTGTCCTCTGTCCCCAGCTCGCTGAGACACATTTTATGGCTCCTTTGTCAAAAGGCTGTCAGGGGCTGTAACGTGACTCGTCGTAGCCTGTTTGTCATCGAGGTTTCGAGCCTTCTGCGCAAGAAATGGAGGGGAGAGAGAGGTGGTGATAATGAAGGTGAATCAACAATCGTATTGTGTCCTCATGGTCGAGATTGTCTAAACAGCTGCTGCAGGCGTGATCTTCTCGGTGTAGGTCAAGAGGGTGTAGTTGTATGTCGTGACATGAACATTTAACATAAGTGTCCTGCAAGTGAATGCTCTCACAGAGGCGCGCCTCTGAGGTTCTTAAAAACGATAGTCTCTCATGAATACTTGAACGCGGAAGTTTTGGTCTGTCTGTTTGTCTGTCAGACAATTCAGTCACCTAACCAAAGTTTAAGAAAGGAGAGAAGAAAAAGAAAGAAAGTTTAAGCACTTACCGAATGTCTAGCCATTTTGAACTGGTGTGTTCATATTTGCGAACATTGTCGATCAGAAGCAAATATTACGCATATATGAGGCAACATCAATACTTGATAGCTAGGTGACTTGTCTTCTTTACTAGAAAATACTTAGATACGTGACTCTGAAGATTCTAGTGATTCTTATGATGCACCGAAAATTTGACACTATGCACGAAAAATACCGCTGGACAGAAGACTGTCATCTTTTTTATGTGAAGTATTTCAAAGGACTAGTAAATGCTCTACGTGTAGTATATTAGAGTACCAGTAGTAACAGTACTAGTAATATTCTCGTAAGGCATGAAGCTGGCAGACGGCTAATAGTGCTGTAAGCTCACTTGGAACAGTGCGAAAATCTTATTCAGCACAGAAGCATGTGATTGGGACCACGATCAACATTCTGCCTTGATTTTCGGCTTTACGGGACAGAAAAACAGTATAGCAAATATGCATTGATAAGGTGTCACGTATGACACACTTGATGACAGGCAACCACGCTCACTCAGCCACATCCCGACTACCCGCTTCCCGCGTGCACCTTTACTGTGCACGTGACACTAGCGCCACCTCGTTCCTCAACCGTCAACTACACACAGCATCAGACATCCACACACAACCGTACTCGTGCACAACTTCGTTCCTTGTCAGTCAACCACAGCCAACCCCCCAGCACACTCTCTCATCCCTCAGAAAGGTGACGCTTTATATTACAGGCAATAAAAATGGTTTGCTGAGAACTGTCGCTATAAAATAAAAGGCATTAAGCCTAACACTTTATATATAGGACAAAAAGTTGTGACACAGATAATGCAGTAAGCAGTGCGTCCCTGGAAAGAACTTATTGGCACATAAGGGTGTATTGAAAAGATTTGAAAGCATCTTGTAACAAGATATTAAAGTAAAAAAAAAGGCATTTGAGCATTTCTTTTTTCATTAGCTCAGGTTTCCTCGCACTGTTGCTATTGTTAGATTGAGTAATAACTGTAGTAATAATACAAAGTGTTGTCCTGTGCTTCCAAGCTCATTAGATGAGGTTGTGGCTTGACAAGTATTATTAGACCCCTTGCCTGGTCAAAAGTGGTCTATCACTGCTTGCACATTGCTCAGTGTTTCTGCACAAGGTAATTTTGTACGTCCACTATATTTTGAAACCACTTCTCTGTGAAATTAGCTTCTCGTGCATAATATTGCCATGTTTGAGATGATGCACCATCCGGTTGTTCGATAAGGAGTTGTCGAAAGCATTACTGGCCACTTGTTGTGACATTTAGTTCTTCCCCCATATTGTTATGTGCAATCTTTGTATACTGGACAAATGCATATCATTGGTTTTGTCACTTAGTTCTAGGAGTGAGTAAGATTCGTTATTTTTTTTGTGATTTAACTTCAAGACTATAGCACCAGCACTGCTTAAAAGTTTTCCTTTGCCCTGAAGTGGGCGCTGTCAGGCTGTTGATGATGATGATGATGTAATGGGCAGTCAATACATGAGATCTCAACAGACGTAGCACTGTACGCTTTCTGTCGCAATCGTTCCCCATCCGTTGTATACAGCCGTGAGTCAACTGCGTGACACCCACGTTAGCATTCTTCTTTAATGTCGTTTTGAAGGGTGAATGAGAAAGCTTTCTTGCAGATGGACAACATACCAGATCCAGAGAGGCTCCGGAGGCTCCAGGAGCTGGAGCAAAGTCTCCTGGACCACACGTCGGAGATCCACGTCGATGGCCTCCTGGTGAGACGACTTCTCCGTGGTTCCCGCTAATCATGTGAAATTGAAATATGTGCCGAAAAAGTAAACAAAGTGGCAACGGGACATGGACTTTCCTGCATCAGTTACGCATCGTTAAAAGAGCTCATAAATTGGTTCTGTTAGTGAAGGATTCTGACTAAGATACACTGTAAAATTTCAAGCAAGCACCCCCCCCCCCCCCAAATGCAGTCGAAATTGCTGGCAAAGGGGGGGGGGGGGCACTTTCTCGGAACGGCACCGAAATTCAATATGGCGGCATAATTTTTGTGCCAGATAAAAAAAAAAACACAGTGCACATGGATTAAAATTTAGTGTTTGCAATCTATATGGTGTTTTCGCCTACCACATTGTTCGTCCTGTTGGCGGGGTTGTCTATTTCCACCGTCTGATTCATGTTGGCCATGTTATAAAAGGTGTGGCCGTTGCGCCATCACAGTGAGTTCGCAGAAAACCGAAAGGCACTTGCTGCCTCCAAACCAAAAGTTCCTCGGGCGTCTTCTGGCTCTCGTTTCTAGCACAGCGCCTTGGAACGGCGAACCGCTGTTTCATGTGATTTAAGTAATGGCTGGAGGCTACGAAGTTTCCCAACTGCATGCTATTGGCAATTTCGACGGCCTCTTCGGAAAGAATCCGGTTGTTGACGGCACGTCCTGCACTTTTTGGCGCTCAAGGTACTCGAAGAACGCATCGTTCACGTGTTCACTGAACACTAGTGCTCCGTTACTGAACTTCCGTCAAAGTTTTGCCTTCCCGTAGATTAGCTGCCGCAAATTATCGAAAATTCTCCTACTTCCGTATCCGCTTCCAGTCGAGCTTGAAATGTCAAGTCGTTTGGTTCACGTTCTTTCCGTTCTCTCAATGACATCAAATAACCTCGATTTGCTTTGCCACTGTGTAGGACAGCATAAGCACAGCTGACCTTTCACTGCAAACACAAAGCAACAAATGGCGCAGAGCAATCGGGCTACAGTGTAAAGCAAGATTAGATGGGGGGGGGGGCACTTTTTGGAACGGTGGAGGTATATGAAATCGGCAGTGAAGTTGGGAGGGGAGGGGGTGCTTGCTTGAAATTTTACGGTATGTGTGTGTGTGTGTGTGTGTATATATATATATATGTGTGTGTGTGTGTGTGTGTGTGTATATATGTGTGTGTGTGTGTGTGCGTGCGTGTGTGTGTGTGTGTGTGTGTGTGTGTGTGTGTGTGTGTGTGTGTGTGTGTGTGTGTGTGTGTGTGTGTGTGTGCGCGCAAAAAATGGACATCATGAATGGTGCTGTCTGACTAGTGAAGTTTCGCAATGTGTTGTTATGCCTTTGTTTTTTGTCTTGTCACTATAGTCGACTCTCGTTAATTCAAACTTGAAGGGACCTCTGAATTTTGTTTGAATTATCAATAAGTTTGAATTATCAGAAGTTCTCAGATATGTGACTGTGGGGTGAGGTGACACCACACATTGCGATTTGGGATTGTTTTTATCATATCTAAAAATTTTTTGAAGCATTTTTAATCCCTAACTGCACGCAGTGAACAGAAAGCAGAGGTGTAAGGTCCACAAGTTTATCAGCCATTTACTCCTCATTAGATCTCTTGAAGAAATCGTGAACTGCCAACTGCTTTTTTGCTATATGTACCTTCAGCACAAAGCTCTCTATATCAGTTGAGAGGTATCGCAGCTTACCATGCACGTACTTCATTTCAAACATTGTTTTTATTTTTATATTGTTAGGATTTTTAAACACCTGATTAACCGATTGATTTGTGGGGTTTAACGTCCCAAAACCACTATATGATTATGAGAGACGCCGTAGTGGAGGGCTCCGGAAATTTCGACCACCTGGGGTTCTTTAAAGTGTGCCCAAATCTGAGCACACGGGCCTACAACATTTCCGCCTCCATCGGAAATGCAGCCGCCGCAGCCGGGAATCGAACCCGCGACCTGCGGGTCAGCAGCCGAGTACCTTAGCCACTTGACCACCGTGGCGGGGCATGAATTAACCGAATCACGGAGTTTGAATTAAGAGGCTTTTAAATTCATTGAAAGAATAGAGGGCTAATCAAAAAATTGCATTTTGTTAGAATTGACCGAAAGTATGAATTATCAGAATTTGAATTATCGCGAGTCTACTGTATAAGCAAACTAGAGAACAGGAAGTGCTGCAGTCCAGTCCAGATTTAGATTCCGCAGTCACTTGCCTTGTTTAGCTTGTTAGCAGGGTCATTCCCCCAAGTTCTTGCAGCCAAAATGTGCACAGTCTGTCGTCATGGGCGTTGATGTTGAATCGAATTGAATTTATTTTCCTTGAGTGGGACATGCACAGATGCAGCAGCATAAAGTTGCACAGATCGGCAGCTTGATTGGGCAGTGCGCCTTGGGTGTCGCAGCAGGAGTTTACGGGCACTTTTTACACACGGGACTGCTTTTCACTATAAGAGGCAGGAATTTCTCAAAATTGACGGTAGGATAAAGAGATTTTTCACTGATTGTCAACATTGTATTTGCCTTGTTACATGTTGTAAGGAGGTAACATGTTCATCAGTGTAAAAAAAGAAAAATGCTTTGCTCGGTTCACAGGATGCCATCCAGGCTCTGGTAATGGACTGCAACAGTCCGGCTCTCCGGAGGATGAAGAACATCGACAGCTTCCTCAATCGATGTAAGTACCTCAGTTTGTGTCCTTCAGCAATAGGGTCTTTGAAATCTGCGACTCTGAGTACAATCACTTGTGACATGGCTAAGCTGGTCAGACTTGCCTTAAAAGAGGTTCAAGCTTGCAGTGCTGGTATTTAATCGTAGCTAATAAGCTGGCAGCTACGTGGAAGTGGCGGAACATGTGCGTACAAGATGTAATGATAATTTTGGGGCTTTTACATCCTAAAATCATGACATAATTGTGGAGATGCCGTAGTGGAGGGTTCCAGAAGTTCTGGCCACCTTGAATACCTTAACAGTCACCTTAAACCTGGGCACACGGACCTCGACCATTTGGCCTGCATAGAAATGCAGTCCGTATTCGATCCAGAAACCTTTGGGGTCATCTGTTAAGCGTCGTAACCGTTAGACCGCTGCAGTGAGTGCAGACAAAACCTGATCACCTTTTTTAATGTGCCTGTGTTGGTGCTAAATGAGAGCTTGTTGTAGCTAACACAAAGGGCACTTAAACAGAACAGGCCCAAATTTGCACAGTGCGCAATATGTTAATCTTTGAAGTAACCATCTATCATACCTGGCGTTCGGGTACTGAAGAACAGCTTAATTTGGAATAATAGAATGGGTATTTGATTCAGGAAGGCTCTGAAAGGATACAAAGGTTAGACCAGAGGGTTGAAGTATTATCAACATTAGGTCGTCATGCCATTTAGTGTTAGGCGAGTATGAGTACTAGCAACTGCTAAGTGCCCTCAGTTCATCAGTAAACTTCTGTGTCACCGCTGTGTCTCTCATGCCTTTATTCTGTTTTTGTGCTCCCCTTGTTGATTTCTTTCTCAGTTTTTTTTCTTCATACCAATTTTTTTCACTGATCAGATGAGAAAGGCTGTAGCCAGTATATCGGCATGTCGAATGAAGCCAGATGACTTCAAGGTGATCAAGACCATCGGCAGGGGTGCTTTCGGAGAAGTCCAACTGGTGAGTCTAACCTCCCATGGCTGACGCAGCTTTTCTGCATTATCTCGCTCTTCGTGTGATGCAGTTCATTCGGACAGCAATAGAGTTTGTAGAAAACGCACTCATCATCTTCTACCTCCATTATGCTAAGCTGGGGTCCTTATCACAAGAGTACGAGTTTCGGAGATTCCACTTTCAGTGCGTGCTGATAGGTCGGTTGAGAAGAGGTGGGCAAGTAGTCACCTCAACCATTGGACAGGCGAGACGGGTACGTCTTGCACAGCTCTCAGTTAGCAAACACACAAGGTTGTGTGTCACGTGAAGCGACTGTTGGAAGTTTAGTACCTACCTTGCTTGATGTCTGTGTCGTCTTTTCCTTTTTTTTTTTCCCATATGTGCCGCGCTAATACTAGCTAAGTCCTAGATAACCAACTCGCTCGAGCCACAACACTTCCTGAAAGACTGTTGATCATTACCTCAGTGTACCGTCACTTGTGGTAGTTTCTGGAAATTTGTTGGTATTGTCAAATCATATGTAGTGGGAGTGACTAAGGTCAAGTGGGATATAAGGAAGGAAAAAATTCTCATCAAACCGTCTGTACTATGATGATGACGTAGCACAATAATGTCGGTACTGTGTGTACCGACATTGGTGAACCGATATAACACCGGGCACTAGTTGATAAAAAAATCATTCTCACTTGTACTAGCTGATGTATTTGCCTTGTAGCTTCACGTTGTGGACAAGTGGGTGGCAATTTTTTCTCTTTTGCGTTACGAAACTTTAACCAGAGGAGCTGAAATGAAGCATCAAATACTTACAGTATAGCGATAATGACTGTTATGTACGATCACTCGTAATCATTGCATCACAATACTGCGAAACTAGCCGCTAAATGCAAGGCTGTAAGTGTTCGTCTAGTCCAAGTTACTCCGATACCACCTTTTTTCACCGCAAATGTTTGCTTTTTTGGTGAAAATAAAGTTCTTTGATTGATTGATTGATTGATTGATTGATTGATTGATTGATTGATTGATTGATTGATTGATTGATACAACACGAACTGAAGACAGTGGAAATGAAAGCACGTGCTGCACATAGCCCTAAATTGTGGCATTTCAATTTGTCGGGGCTGCACTTCTCTCCCTCATTGTTTGAAAAGCTTCTCGTTTGTAGTAGATAATCTTGTTAAGGTTGCGCACAGGAAGCGAACACTCAAGATTATTGCAGAGTTTGTGTGATCATCACTGATAAGGCTGGAAAGTTAGACGTGTGATGTGTAAAAGACGGCACATCTGATCGATGACTGGTTGATCCACGGCCAATGCTCAGTTAGCCGCTGTCAGTGCCAGTGTGTACCGTGGTGATCTGATTTTTCGTTTACTGGCCACAAGTTCGGCTAAATCAACAGTTTCATCCTAGGCCTACTGACCATGGCCTTTGTCAGTGTCACCACTACGCGACAACACACTACGATCTTCGATGCTGCTTTGCAGGTGCGCCACAAGTGGACCAAGCGGGTGTACGCCATGAAGCTGCTGAGCAAGTTTGAGATGATGAAGCGCTCGGACTCGGCCTTCTTTTGGGAGGAACGCTTCATCATGGCGCACGCCCGCTCCCAGTGGATCGTCCAGCTGCACCAGGCCTTCCAGGACGACCGGCCGCCTCTACATGGTCATGGACTACATGCCCGGCGGAGACCTGGTCAACCTGATGAGCAACTACGACGTGCCCGAGCACTGGGCCCGCTTTTACTGCGCACAGGTGGTGCTCGCAGTGGACACCGTTCACTCCATGGGATTCGTCCACAGGTATGGAGGGTGTCGTTAGGCATGTGTTTGCCGATTGATGGTTTGATAATGGATGCCCAAATTCCGGTGGAAAGGGTCTACAACACTTTTATAACAAAGAATGCTATAAGCAGTGGTGCAAGCATTTGGAAAGGACATTTACTGCTCCTGTTACACATACAACGCCAGCCGCTCAATATACGAAATAGTACCAGAGATCTTTGAGATTACCTGTTTTAAAAGGGCATTTATTTATGTAAGTTCAAGCACCTGCTTATAAATCATCTTTTTATTTTTATTTTCACTCAGTGCAGTGCTCTCACTGTTCCCGTTCTTAGTCCAACACTTTCTACGATTCATACTTGATCGCAGCAGTCATATCAGTTTGGATGTCTCTTCAGTTTCAGTAAAATAAGGCCGCTATAAGAGGTGTTGTTCTTGAAAAGATGCATGCCAGGCCTTGAAAGGGCCAGAAAGCCATTAAATCTTTTTGTCTTTGAAATGATCACAAGCAAACTGCTGCAAGTGCATCACCCACACAAAAATAAACGTTGAAGCTCTGTTCTTGCTCTGTAGTTTTTTTTTTAAAGGGACCATAAAAAGAAACAAAGACTTGATTTAGATTGATAAATTGCATTTTGAGAACTCCAGTGCCGTAAGTTTCGCGGCCATAAGTTCATTATTACTGGAGAAAGTTAAGGCTAAAGTTTAATTCTTAAATTTTGCACTGAAATCTCCGCATATGATGTAACAAGTTACAAAATGCAATTTTGATATTTTTTGCAACATTGCCTCCATGAAATTTTCTGAAGCTTTGTCTGCTAGGTCTATGGCACCCACAGATGACCGTGTATTTCAAGTTTATCGATTAGAAGCTATGTAGGACCGAGTGGACGCCTTCAAAATTCATGACATCACGGTGTTTGGTATGAGAATTTAGAGGTGGCGTGTCACTCGCATTTTTCTTTTCACGTGTTTTCTTGCTTACCAAGCAATGTGTCACGACAAGTGACAGGATTTTCAGGATTGTGAAATTGTTCTTGACTAATATGCAAAAATCGTTTCGCTCTTTAGTGTCCTTCTAATGTGCCTACTTGCTTGCTGGCACGTTTTTTTTTTTTTTGACCATGCTTACTCTTTCTGTCGTTTGCAGGGATGTGAAGCCTGACAACATGCTCCTCGACGCAAGGGGTCACCTGAAACTGGCCGACTTTGGGACTTGCATGCGCATGGATGCTGTGAGTCGTTCTGCCAAAGTAGCATGATGAACTATGCTAACTGGTGTTGGTGCATGTTATATAAAGCGACGTAAACAAATGGGTCACAAAGAAGACATACCGTATCTACTCGCGTAATGAACGCACCCAAACTGCAGTCATCAAAATTTGGATTTTTTTGCCCCGCGTAATGAACGCACCCCCTACATTCATCCGCTGCAGTCCCGCTAACCAACACATGGCGCCTCCTTGCCCATTAGATCTCTTCTGTTCTTTATTATTATGCCAACCCCCGTCGGCCACCTCGGCTTGCTCCCTCCCCTCGTTCGCCCACTGCCATGTGCCATGCTGTTCTTTTTTATTTGCGCACAGCACTTCCCGTCTTTTTTATTATCTGTGTACCCACAGCAAGGTTCACGAACGGTCTGAGTGTAGAGACATCACAGCTGACAAACACAGTGTGAGCGAAGTTCATGAAACTGCCCGCGCCAATCGACGGTCGCTTGCTGAAAATACGAAACATTAAGGCCCAACCACATGCAGGCGATTTTGGAGCAATGACGACAAGATTTGCCGTCGCCATGGCTGTCGGAAAGGGCCATTCATCGCCATCACGTCGCAGGTTTCTATAAAACCAGAAAAAATCACTTGTTGCCCAAGAAAGATCATGTCTATTTCCGCAACATGGTAGCATTTCTGATTCTCGCTTCAGTTGCAATTTGCTTTTCTTGTTTATTATCCACACTTATTTACATTTTTTTGTTTATTTCTTCAGTGATCTTGATCAAGCTGCTCATGATTATGCAGTTTTTTCTGCTAACTTTAAGTATTTAATTAGTTTTCCTGTAACTCATCCTGTTCGTGAGATAACTCAAGTTCACCCTCAATTGTTTAGGGCCACCATAGAAAAAAAAAGTGCTTAATTAAAAGTGATATTAACGATAGGTCAACATAGACTTATGACTAAATATTGAAAGTATGTGAGAGTTTTTTGTTTTTAGGCTTTCTTTGGTTATCTTACAGCAAAGTGAACTATCCATTTTCTAAAGTAGTTGGAATTGTACTTACAATTTTGATTAGTAATTAATTAAAAAGGCTTGTGCTTTGAATTCTGCTCCCATACTTGCATTCTACACACATACAGGTTTCCATTGCAAAAAGAATTATTGTTGTACCTGCCCTAGCTGCAGAGATATTGAGGCCTCAAAATCGAACAGTCGTAAATCTACTTTTTTGAGAAAAAAAATGGAAAAAACTGATAACAGCTCAGCTTCTTCAAAAAGCAACAATAATGGTGCACATGTTTTGCAGTCCTCATAAAGGTGCTCATAAATTTGTAGCAGAGCTTTTAACACAGGTGCCGGCAAATTATTAAGAAGACTCAAAGTCGGTTCCCCATTTTGTTGCAGGTTCTGCATGTTAACAGCACCAAGAATCTGGACAGTTAGAATGACATTACCAAAGAATTACCACTTTCTGGTGCGTAAACATTTGCCGAGAGATAGAAAAATACTTGCAAAACCAAATATGTCAATCTTTAAAAAATGAATTTTTTTATCACTTTTTGGTCCCAAAGACCAGCCTGCCCCGTTAATACAGAAACACAATAAATAGGCTACCTTTTCTGCAGTAGGTAACTTCTCATGTGGACAGTGAGGCGGTGGCCGTATTTTGTTGTTAATCTTGTTTTCAACGGTTTTCGATGCTTTGTTGGTAGCTTGCTGCAATGCTGGTTACTTGCTACAATGTCAGTGGCGGCACGGTTGCCACGAAGTTGGCAAAATGCACCGTAGCGCACATTTCTGGGCGCCCCTCGAAATCACAGCAGATACCTTTGTTGCGGTTAAAGGATTGCAAGAAAAGGTAGCCAGGAAACGTTTTATGGCATGTGCGGGCAGCACGGGAACAACTTGCAGAAGATAGCGCCATCAACCAACGAAAATGATCGAAGTGCAACAAAGAGGCCGTTACCCAACAGTCTACGCGTATGTCAATTGTGAAAGGCTAAGCGACCTAACTTTTTTTTGCATTAACGCATTTTCGCTCATCTCGAAAAAATGTTCATAAAATTTGCCTCGCATAATAAATGCACCCCCAACTTTGCTCTGATTTTTCAAGAAAAATAGTGTGTTCGTTACACGAGTAAATACGGTATTATGTGCACTGTACTCTGCGTCTTGTTTATTTGCAATTTTTCAAAAAAAAAAAAAGCTGAAAACGGAATATGGATTGAGGGGCTTGTTCTTGTGTCTTAGACACAACCTAATGACTCCGTGTAAAGCAGGAGACTTCATTCGTGCTGCTTCATAATATGAATTTATATTGCTGCATGTTTTCCCTCACAAGAGGAACATTGAACTTCTTTTTTTTTTTGCTTGAATGTGAACTTTTTTTGTTTGCTTGAATTGTGATATCCGCTTATGTTGAACGGTCATATGCATATCCTGTACGGGAGTTAAGGAAACAGAGTAAATATGCAGTGATTCGATCGTCTTGTGGGCTAATTAGTGAAAATTTAATAAGGGGTAATTTCAGGATAACTGAACAGATGGACTGATATTGAGAACTTTACAACTTGACGACTACTGAAATTACAATCCATCTTTGCTATTTTCCTGTGTAGTTCTCTTCCACATTGGGAGGGTCTTGATAGAGGCCAAGAGAACCGGTATTACTAGAACAAAAGCCTCCGAGACAAGGAGGCGTTTCAGTGCCTTCTCGCTTGGTGAAGGGCGCATGCACTGTGGAATCTTGAAAAAGGAGCATTGAAGAGGGTTCGTTTATCTCCTTGCTCTGTGAATGACTCCCTAAACAGCAATGATGGTGAGTTGTCAGGGTGTATAGCACTCCTATAACAACTTTTGAGTCGTAACAAGTTGTGGCTTTCTACTTTTTTTTTTAATTTACAACATTCAGCTTAAAATTACAAATTATTCAACACAGCAGTTGTGGCAAGCACACAGTGATAGCGGTGTCAACGGGGCTGCCATTTTTGTCAGTTGTCCTTTGTATACATACGCATGCATTGGATGTGGGCAAGTTGATGAGCATGGCCCCTGTTTATAATCAAATGCCCGCGTGAAATGATCGATGCAGGTCAGGCTTAGCCCCGGAATACGCTAGACATACTCGATTAGAAACTTCGCGGTTACTGTGAGGTGCTTCTTGTTCTCAAACACAAAATTTTCACGCAACATACTCTGATATTTGTGCTTATTTGTGCTAACCTCCAAATTCGCCACACCCTTGAAATGCCTCCTTTTGAAGTTCACCATGTCCATTACCTAAATTCCTCTCTATTTACCAAGCCTCTAGTTTAGGCCCAGCATTGGCCCAGCATTTTTGTGATGTACTAATATGTCAATACAAATGAAGAAAACCAATCAATCAGTCTTATGTTATGACTTATGATTTCTGTTATTACTGGCCAGGAAAGTCTCGTTTCACCAGCTATCTGGTCGCAACGTGAGTGCTATCTGTGCACATGCTGTCCTTTACTCTCTCTGTGTCCTTGTTTGTATTAGCACAGTTGGAGCTTTCAAGAATGAACATTAACCAACTAGCCCAACTTTGTTTTCTTCTCCAACGTGAGTGTCAGTTTGTCCATATTATCTGGCCAATAATGGTCCTTGTCAGAATTGTTCAAGCACTCTAAGCAAGCACATAATTGCCAGCTTCAACCTTAGTCGACAGTTATAGTTTAGCATTAGCGTGATAAGCATGGGTTATGGGAACAGCATTATTGTGCCGCAAACGTTCGTTGCAAACAGTGTGTAATAGTTTAGAAGGGTAGCATCTATATGTGCACAAGCTGGGTTGGTGGTGTCACTTATTCATTCATTCATTCATTTTTATTTCCTTAATAAGGACCCCACTGGGGGGTATTACATAAGGGGTGGATACACAGGAAAAGAGAACATTTGAACACGTTAATTTTCGCAGCACAGGTGATTTGCAACATTTGTTGCGAAGGATGATGAGTGATGGGCGGAGGATGGTGGGGATGATGTGCGAAGGATGATGGGTTTATTCTTCCACTTATTGGTCGAAGAATAAACGAAAAAGAGGGAAAAGGAAAAAAAAAAGAGAATTCTCACCTGTTTATATGTGCAGCAATACCGCTAATTTTCATAGTTATAATAAAAATAAATATATATGAACCAGGCTCCAAAGCTGCAAATTTTTATTTTGCAGATTTGTTTATACTGATCTTCTAGTTAGGCCTAGGGATGTTCGAAACGGGAAGCTGTTCCAAGAGCTACGCTAATTTATTCCTAATACTTGGTTGTTGAGGCTACTTTAAGGCAGGCAAAACTGTTTTGCACAGTCGCTGCCTACAAAAGAAGTGCATCGGTCCACAACGATGCTGAATTGAGTTCGAAACAGGCATCCAAAACTGCCGCCATGTTTTACGTACTCTACGTAGACCACACAAACACTCTAACGCTCAATATGAATAATAGCATGGGGATGATACACGCAACAGGCTTTTTGTTGTACAGCACATGCACATTTCGATCCCACTATTCTGGTAAGCCCACTATCCCGCCAAGCCTGCTAACCTATAAGTGTCTAGTGTGCAATTTCTAGAAGCATGCTTTCTGCCTTCTTTCAGGACGGCCTGGTGCGGTCAGACACAGCAGTGGGCACCCCTGATTACATCTCGCCCGAGGTACTCAAGAGCCAGGGTGGCGAGGGCTGCTATGGGCGCGAGTGTGACTGGTGGTCTGTGGGCGTGTTCCTGTACGAAATGCTCGTCGGGGACACGCCTTTTTACGCCGACTCTCTGGTCGGCACCTACGGCAAGATCATGGACCACGCCAACTCTCTGTCCTTCCCAGAGGACGTCGAGGTCTCTCCGCACGCCCGGCGCCTCATCTGCTCCTTCCTCACTGACCGGTACAGAATTGTTTTCGAATGCAGTTCTTAGGCGTCTTTTCCAGCATTGAGTGGCATTGCCGTTGTTGGCTGGTGTCGGAATAACTGACAGAGCGAACGAGTACAAAAGAGAGCAAACGCAGAGTCTGTGGATATCCCGGAGTCTGTCGAGCCACTGGCCTCTAACCTCACTGGCTTCTTGATTGGAACTCATGCATGGCTGGCATGTACACTGTGGTGGGCTTAACTTTTTCAACGCGGCTGTGGGCATTATGCTTGGTTTGCAATGCCTGTGGTACACAGTGTTGTGCATAGCACTTGAACTCTGGCAGTTTCTGTGGCAACACTCAACAAATGTCACATCGCCACAACTTGTGGGGTCTCGAACTGAGGCACCATGCTTTCAGGGCGAACGGACACAGCAGATGCGGTCAGACCAAACCAAACAAAGCATTTAAACTACTATTACATCGACCGTATCATCATCCAAATGAAATACTTCACTAGTGATCAATGTGCTAAATACAACCTTATACAATACACTCAATCAACATATCAAATACAGTGGAACACTGTTATATCGAACCCACATATATCGAATTTTCAGGTATATCAAATTCGCAAGTTATCCCCTTGAAATTCCTTTGTGAAGGTATAGGAATTCGCAAGTTTATATGGAACGGTGTTTTTACCCGTCTTCAGGTATATCGAACGTCGCGCGAGCTGGAAGGTGCGCTTTGGCATTTGCCCCCCACCCCCGCAATCTCGACGGCAGCGCGGCTCTGCGCGCGAGTTCGAAGGTGCGTTTTTGGCACTCGCAGCAGCGCCCAGCGACCTACGTGTGTCATCACGCCTCTGCCAAAATCCGAAACGTTTGAAAAAAAAAAGCAAAAGCGAGAGGGTTCAGACTGCGCAATCTCCAACTTGCGGAACGGCTTTTTTTTTTTTTTCGTTTCCTTTTTCATGCTTTCTCTGCTATGCGTCGACTCGGAGAGCAGGAACGAAGGAGCCGAGATCCTCCTTCTTTTGCCTTTTCTTTTATTTTTTGTTGCTGTTTTGCGAGGTGTGATCAGCCAACCACAGCTCGCGCCTTTTCCTGTTGCCCTCGCAGGTAGCCATCGCCTTGCGAGCGCTTTGTTGCTCTCAATCGATGCTGCGCCGTGCTCCCTTAAGGGCTGCAGAAATAAGAGTTTTTTTCCTTCTTCGCCGAACCACTACCACCACCTCTCAAGTTGTCATGTCGCCTACGTACCACCGCATGTGCAGCATTTCTCTTTTGCATGTGTGATGAGCAAAGCCGTCGCAGACTTCTTGAATTGTCCACTTCTCATGTAGCTATGGCCAGCGTCAAGGAGTGCAAGACCCTTAACTTTGCAACGAAGTTGAAGGCTATTCAGCGTGTTTAAGTGGGCGGGAAATGTTCGACCGTCGCGGACAACTTCGGAATACCACGTAGCACTCCGAGTACCTTGTTAAAAAACAAGGCAGATATCAAGGCAAAGGCGGCGGAGCAGCAAACGTTGGGAGCCTGTCATGTGCGCGCTTCTGCCCACAGGAATGTAGAAAAGGCACTCCATGTCTGGTTTTTAGAAGTGCGCGCAAAGAACATTCCGGTGGATGGCCCGATGTCAATCGCCAAGGCCAAATTATTTGCCGCTCTACTCAGTAAAACAACTTCGCCGACAACAGCGGGTGGCTTCACTGATTTAAGCAGCACTACAACATCATTGGCAAAACAATTTCTGGCGAAAGCGAAGCTGCCAGCAGCCAGGACAAAGCTGCCAGCAGCCATTGGATGGCGAAGGTGTGGACGGAAATCTCCGCAGAGATCTTCAATGCCAGGCGAGACATGAAGACGGACACAGTGGTTAACTGCTTCCGCAAGGCAGGCTTTGAGACGGCGGAATTTGCAGAAACCGGTGAAGACGACGACAACGAGTGCATAGACGATGTGTTTCGTAAGTTGTGATAAGATCGAGACTAGCATCTTCAACATTTCAAAAACTATGAAGCAGGCCAAGCTTAGCAACTTTTTTTCACGTAAATAAATCATTTTGTTGCGGCATGTGTGCAGAATTAGTTGTCATTCTTGAATGCACCTATTGTAGGTGATGATCAGCTACAGGTTAGCTCTCGGGGCCTCTATTTTTTTATTTCAAAATTTTCATATATCGAACTGATTCGCGATACCCTTCGAGTTCGATATATCCATGTTGGACTATACAAGGTAACGCAAGAGCAGTTTCGCCAACGCTCTACTCACCACTAGGGGCCCACGAAAGACGACCTGTGGAGACGACCGTTTTTGCGCCAGCCGCCAGATGTGACTACTGGCCCTACCTTGCTAATCCCAATGATGATGGTGAATCCTACACCACCAACCACTCAATAGTTGTTAACCCCATGGCGCACACGTGGGACATGTGTGCGCCATGAGGCGCTAACTACTTTACAGGGGGTCTATAGTACTTTCCTTGGCATAAGCGTCTGTTAGTTCTCATTAATACTGTTTCTAACAAAGTAAACGAGCCCATAAGTATACCTTTTTTTTCTTCATTCGTAGCGAGGGTCTCGTTCTGGCAGACTTGGTGCTTTCAGGTAGTATGTGAGAAATTATTCGTCGGCTGGCAGCTCGTAATAAGATCACGTGCTATGTGACGTCAGTAGGTAAAAAATGAGTGTCCCACACTCACCGCAGTTGCAACAGCTGGCACTGACTGATGCTCTTCACCTTTAATGCATTTTATATACCCCATAAAGTAAATGGGTGGGATAGCCGCCGTGATAGCTCCGTTGGTAGAGTATCGAACCCATTATTCGAAGGTCGCAAGATCGTTCCCTGCCCACACCAAGTTATCTTTTCATCCACTTTTCTTTCTTCACATTTACACTACAGTTACTTCTAATATATCTCCTATAGTACTTTCCTTGGCATAAAGGTCTACCAGTTCTCATTATTACTGTTTCTAACAAAGTAAACGAGCCATTAAGTTTACCTTTCTTTTCTCCATGTTTAAATTTGGTTGATCAGCAAACTTTTCCATGTGTTTTGGTCATGCAACTAACTTTTTCAAGGCCTGTTCTTTTATAAAAAGTTAAAGTCCACTTTGTCATGTGAAAATAGCCGTGATACTTGGGCCAATTGGTACGTGTCCAAGAAAACGTCTCTATGGAAAATAGTTGGACCATAATGAAGTTTTGTATGGTGTTTCCAACTTTTGTAAAGTACTTAGGCCTATGTTAATGTCATTTTTTTGTCTTCTGTTTGTTTTCAAACTGACGGTTTCCTTCAAGCAAGCAGTTGATTGTGCACTGTGCATAGGCTGTGCATTCACTGTGCATTGTCAACATCAGTTCTCCATGGGGGACCATCTGAGAAAAACTACTGTTTCCTCTCTGCTTGTCACAGGAATTACCGGCTGGGTAGGAAGGGTGTGGAGGAGATCAAGGCACACCCATTCTTTCAGAACGACCAGTGGACGTTCGACAACATTCGGGAGGGTAAGAATCTCTGCCTTTCTTTTTCTTTCTTTCTTTCGTGAATTTTTCTTTTTCGTAACATTACGATAATTCTGTTGAGCAAGGACTTCGCCCTGTAGCATTCAACTGTACCTGCCCTGTGCAGATTGTTGTCAGACCACACCTGCTAGTTATCCATAATCATTCAAGTCTGCACATTTTTCAAGTTTCATTTTTTTGCAGTGTCTTCTCTTTTTTTCTTTTTAAAGTTGGCCTTGATTCCATACGGTGTAGCATAACTATTACTTAATGCAGTACGGAAAGGAATGGCAACTTTATATCTTTTGTTATGAAAATTTATTGAGTGGTCTGGTCAGCATGCAATTAAGGCTGGTGAAAGAAAAAAAGAAAGTTGAAAATACAGTTCAAGTAGTTTCTGTGATGCCTAGCTAACTTAGCGCAGATTATTAGTAGCAACCCTACAAAGCCAGCCGACAGGACAGTTGAAAGGTGATTGTGTGCGTTGGCTTCGTGTGGCGGCCCCTGTGAAATTGCTGTAACATTGCTGCGAATCCAGTTCACAGACTTCTTGCACAGGAAGTTATGAAGTTGTTCTCACTGGAAATTATATGCACCTCAAACTAGCACAGAAAACGACACAAACAAAGGAAGGGGGGCATGACGGACATGGTCAAACTGAAGTTTCTTAAAGGGCCAGTAAACAACCCTGAGGTCTAAAAATTGTTATCAAAGAAATATGTGCACTTTTGCTTTGTGAACATGCTACCACAATAGTTTTGTGTGTACGTGCTATACTAAGGAAGTTACTGGAATTCGAACATCAGTTTCAGCTGGTTTCAAGTTTTCGTGTGGCCTTGCCACCCTCGTCCCCCACAGGGAGGGGAAGGCGTAGCCCATCGTGCTGGCTCGTTTAGACCAATCGACTAGCGTCGTGCTGCGTCAAGTTGCCAATCGGCGACTTTTCTTCACCGCACGTAAAAGGAGGTTAGGAAAAAAGCGCAAGAATTGTTTTTCGAAATGGAGGCAGTGCACGGCGCGCATCACTGTAACATTAGGAAAACACAATCGCGGTGGTGTACTCTACTGATTGCCGAGCTTCTTTGGGGGGTGTAAAAAAAAAAAGCTGCAGCCTGTTAGCTGGTCTTTTAAAAGCAACGCCTGACTGTGCCATCGCAGCCGTGCCACCCGTGCTGCCTGAGCTGAGTGGCGATGACGACACGAGCAACTTCGACGACGTGGACCAGGACGAGACACCCGAAGAGCACTTTCCCGAGCCCAAGGCCTTTGCGGGCAATCACTTGCCCTTCGTCGGATTCACCTACTCGGGGGACTACGCACTTCTCTCGACAGCGCATCTTCATGGTGTCGACGGCTTCAGCGAGGTACGCTCGATGATCCGCCCACTCTTGTTTGTGAGGCATTGCTCGTATGGTCAGGAAAAGAAGGCAGGAATGGAGCTTACCCTCTAGCGTAGTGTTTGATACGGTTACCTTGAAGGAAAACTGACGCTTCGACACTGTTGTATGCATGTAAATGCTAACGTGTGTAGGATTCGGATCGTCATCATTTGCGAAAAGCCCTGACACTTCGAAGCCGCTTCCCTTGCATCAAATAGTTTGTTTCGTGCTGATACACTATGTGATAAGCTGTATTTTTCTCAGCATTATACACAAACTACTGCTACTTTCTTTGAAAACTTAGGCTTTGATGTACACTATCATGAAATGGGAAGAGTAGCGAGTGACTGCCAAAGTTGGAATGGCAAACGACAAGGTCAGCATTCACTCTGCAACAGGTTGTCGTCTGTTCATTTCTTAGCCATTTAATCATTCTTTACAGGTGAGTGAACTTTGATTATTCTGTATTGTTTTATGGCGAATGTGATCCTTCAATTAAGGTCTTGTTGCAGAAAAGCTTTATTTACGCAGTCGTGTCTGTTTGTTGGCCTAAGCCTCGTTCGACTTCAGCCAACACAAGCTTCGTAGATACATATACCGTCATTGCCATTGTGTTACAGCACCACCTAGAAAATTCTCATGTATAGTGGCGCCAGATTTCTTTCTACGTGTTATTGTGAGAAACTCTTTGCGCCGAAGAAAAGGCCAGCAGCAGGGTTGCCAGTTACGCTTTACAATAAGCAAACTTGCTTCATAATTGCTTCATACTGCTGTCCTGCATTGAGAGCTGTTGTCCTGCATTGAGGGCTACTGTCCTACTTTGAGGGCTATTGTCTCACAAGAGTCGCGAAAATCTTTAGAAGTGTTCCGCATTCTCTCCTAATCGTTATTGGGTGGTGGCACCTTAAGTTCAGCCGCACGTGGCTATCCTGTATCAGGATGTGTTAGCTGCAAGCACTCCAAGTGTTAATGACTTCTGCAGATACAGCTCAAAGCAAGTAAAAGAAGTGGTGTCAAGTAGTACTTCACAGGCTCTGAATCAGTAACGTCTGGAAACTAAGCCACAGATGTTTTGTGAGTGGTTGTCAAGTTGCGAAGCTTTAAGTGTATGGTTTGTTATGTGGGAGCATACTTCAGTGATGTACAAAATAGTTTAGTTTAAACATACGTGTACTGCAGATTCCCCCAGTCTGCTAGTCCCACATTTTGCTAGTTGCAGTGTAGACACTTTAGGACCTAAGCTTCTTTTTTCAAGTAGCTTGAAGAAACTTCCAGTCACTCTTCGGGTTTTTTTCAGGGGCTTATTCATGTTCTGTGCCAGTGCATTTGTTGAAGACTTAGTCTAGTTAAACATGTGTTACAAGAGTCAGTGAGTAACTGCACTGCACTGACAAACCAAACATTGTGGGCTCTCGGTGTGGCGAGCGCCACGCCATGCACTTGGAGGGAATGGACACAGCAGAGGCGGTTGGTACAAACCAAACAATACACACCCATTTATTTAACTACTTTTTGAACAACTGATATCGTCCTTTGAATCGATACATCAATTGTAATTAACACTGCTAGGACATCGTTACACAATAACACGACAAACAGCACAACATGACAAACACACTAACACACCCAAGGCGGCGTCGCCAACGCTTGACACCACGAGGGCCCCCGGCGCGCAGGCCGCGGTGCCACGCGCCGAGGACCCACACTAGAGACAACCGTTCGCGGCAACCGCCACACGCAGAAGAGACTCGCTCAACTCTCGCCCGCAGCCGCCACCAAGACTTTCTTTCGCCAGAGGTCACTGCCAATGCTACCAACCATGATGATGATAGTGGCACTCAACGTGAACACAACGCTACCTATCGCCCAGTAGTTGTCACCCAAAATGCGGCTTTTGGGCGAGACACATTAGCCACGCAGTGCAAACAATTTTACAGGGGCAGTCAGCACCCCCACATCCCGCCAACCTTAAGTCAAACCATATTCCGAAAACAAAGAAATTAGCTACACAAGCTTTAACAAAAAAATGACATCACATGTTTCTTCATAATGTCCTTGCACCACGACACCGCCGCCGGTCGACACTGCTGCACTGTCCGGCTCGACTTCACCTCAGTACCGGTCCCGCAACAGCAATGTTGCCGTCCACGCAATGATCTGTCACTCGCGCAGACCCGTCTTCCGGTTGCGACCAGCACTCACGAGGGCACCGGACTGCAGGCAGTTGCGCAGGTCCCAGGCATCACCATCGCACGACCTCACGATCGCATTCCTGGTCAGCGGCACTGACGATGTGCAGAAAACAGCCAGCCATGCAGAAGACAGCCAGCCGTGGATTACATAACTTCCACTGCGTACATTCCAAAACACTCGACAGAAACAATGGAGCATGGCCTAGGGAAGAGAGCTTCGGGCTTTTCGCCCATGTGGTACGATGGTCAGTACTGCTAATACATCGGCGGTGGCCGAGACGCCCAACTCAAAAGTGAAACGAAGGTCACTTTTCCCAATTTGTGCATCGCAAGATAAAAAAAATGAGAGGGAAGCATAGAGCAAAATGCAACACCTCAATGCCACTGATCTTCCTGGTTGTGCCACATGCGACAGGCGGCTGTGCAGTGTCTTAGGCCAAATGAGTCACTTGGCAACAACTGGTATTCATCCAGCCTAGGCGTAGAAGAGGCAGCCGCGAGGAGACATCTACTCTGTGAGGCAGCCCTATCGCTCGCCGCACACAGCAGCTTACCAAGCGATCAGCGTCCACCGTCCCGGACGGTGTAGCGACGGCGTCGAGCCACAGTGCCAGACAGCAACGACGCCCGGCTTCCTGAGCCCAAAGAGGTAGAAGAAGGTATTGACAGAAAATCGGACCACCCACGAGGCTTCCCTACTCACTCGCATCGGGCCTGGCCTACAATTCACGTGCTCTAAGCTTTGCTCACCTTAGGATGCAGGCCGCATGGCTCTCGTACTAACTCAACAGAACAATGTTTTTGAAAAACTAACAACAACAAAAAACTTGCGAGCAGAAAAAAAAATAATAAACTCAACCTAGCGACAAGTTCAAACATGTCACGAAACCAATCTCCTCGCTTCTCAACAAAGCACACCATCGACGCTAGTAACAAGAATCCGCCCCTCCCCCACCCCCCACGGCCTACTCTTCCCCGGCTCTAACAAAAGCTTATACCGAACCGCAAAAGCTGTCTTCCGATACTCCAAGAGCTCCACGTTGGGCAGCCAGTGTGGGGTCTTGAATTGGCGAGCGAGCGCTACGTCCTTGGAGTGAACGGACACAGTAGACACGGTCGGTACAAACCAAAGGGCACACATACATTTATTACACATACTACTTTTGAACTACGATATCGTCCGCCGAATCGATACATCAATTGTAATTAACATGCTAGGACATGTATACACACTAACACGACAAACACACAACATGACAAACACACTAACACACCCAAGGTGGCGTCGCCAACGCTTGACTTACCACGAGGGCCCACGGTGCGCAGGCCCGCGGTGCCACTGCGCCGAGGACCCATGCTTGAGACACCTGTTCGCGGCTACTGCCACGTGCAGAAGAGACTCACTCAACTCTTGCCCGCACCCGCCGCCAAGGCTTTCTTCCACCAGGGGTCACTGCCGGCGCTACCACTGTAACAACCATGATGATGATAGTGGCACTCAACGCGAACACAACGCTACCTATCGCCCGGTAGTTGTCACCCAAAATGCGGCTTTTAGGCGAGACACATGCGCCACGCAGTGCAAACAATTTTACAAAGAGAGTCGGCTCCTCCACGACATACATTGAGCAACATTGACGCTACTCTGCAATCTATGTTGAATAGTAAATATGCACCTTTGTTCATAGTTGTGGATACCTTCTCATCTATATTCATTGTACAATACACGTAATTTTTTCATACACTCAACTCTCACTTGAGTGAATTTCAAGGAATCCTGAGAAATAGTTCACTTATCTCAAAGTTCACGAAACTGAATATTCATTAGAATACGGGGCAGCATAGGGCACTGCAGTTGCCTAGTCAAAAGTGGGAAATGCAATCTATTTATATAAGAAATCTGTAGTTTTCGTTCGGACTGTTGTCCTTAAAGCATAAGAAGACGCAGAGCTGCCCAGAGATTGTTTCTGTGCACTGCCTGTGGCGCAGCTTTTGCTGTGACACGAAGTCTCGCAACATTCTTATATATCCTAAAGCCTTAGGTAGAGATACCCCGTGGCTGTAGCTCCTCATAGCGCTGCATACACAAATAATGAAAGAAAGAAGTGAAAATTTGCGGCATCCGTTCTTTTTTTTTTGTTAGACACAATACTAACGAGAACAGACTGATGCCAGAGAAAGTATAGGGCATGTTATTACTAGTAGTAATTGTGATGTAAATGTGGAGAAAGAAAAATACACGGAGAGATAACTTGCCACTGGCAGGTACCAAACCTGCGACTTTCGAATTATGCTCTACCACTGAGCCTCAGCGGCGATCATCCCCCCATACACGTTGTGGGGTATGTATGTGCATTCGACTTGGCGAGAACATTGCAGCTGTGACATTGAGGTCAATCTGTTCTTGAGGCATGCCCATGAATCATAAGGAATGTAATGCCGTACTGCACTGCATGTGTAACTGTTAACTGATTGAGCTCTGAGAATAGGTGCTAATGTTCGCAATTTTTCGAGCAGAGATTGTGTTTAAGCTCTACTTCTTATCCACAACACTAACCATGGCTTGAATTTGCACTTATGCATTCTCCGGTTCACAAGTGGTGATGGCAATCTTTGTTCTGTGTTTGTTTTTTCTTTCTCTCCAATTCCCTCCTGCCGTTTCTTCATTTGCTCCGGGGTCAGACTGACAAGGTGTGTATGCCTGTTCTTACCGCATTTGGTATAGTTTGCCTCGAAAAAATTCAGCTTGTGCTTGGAATATATAAGTGATGGCTGTGAGCTCTCAAGCTTGCACAGCAGGATATCATGCTGGTATGATGTCACAGTTATGCTACCACATAGAAACAAGTCATGACTAGCACATTTGTCACACATTTGCACATAGCTCCACACCTGCAGACAAAATGTGTAAGAAAGCTTGACAGCCTGGAAATATGTAAACAATGGTATAAAGCATCTATGAAAATATTCTTCTGTGTAGTGAAGCGACTGCTGCGAGTGGAGCTTATGTTCTTTCTTAGGTTGCAATAAGCTGTAGTTGTTTCTTTGTGGGTGGAGCTCATGCTTTCTTAGGTTGTAGCCAGCTTTAGTTGTGGCTCTGTGTGCGGAGAACATGTTCTTGCTTACGTTGCAAATGGCTGTTTTCGCTGTGGGTGAAGCATGTGTTTTTAGGCTGCAACTGGCTGTAGTTGCCGCTCTGTGGGTGAAGCCTATGCTCTTTCTAAGGTAGCAATCTGCTGTAGCTGTCGCTCTGTGATCGGAACGTATGTTCTTGCTTAGGTTGCAATTGGCTGTAGTTGTCTCCGTTTTCACTCTGTCTTGGAAACTGCTTGCCATGCAGGGAAATGGGCCAACACCAGATGTTCTTCAGGAGGAGATTGCGAACCTCCGCGAGGCCAAAGAGGAAGCAGAGCAGAAATACAGGTTGGCTTTATTTGTTCATTTAATAAAAACCTTTGTTGCAGTTTCAAGTGTTGTCAAAATACATAATGAACAAAGTGAAGTGTCTACAAAAATTTGCCTTCGTTATTGTGCTGGTTGATGAAAAATTTAGGGTTGTTCATCGGTGAAATAAAGGCATTAGGCGGAATTTCAGTAGCCTGCTATCTATCGGCCATTCTGTCAACTAGCGAAAAACTTGGCATCTATCGGCTGTGCTGTAAACTGCAAAGCGCTTGACTAATTGTTACAGCATGATAAACACATGGAAATGCAGCATCTGGGATGATGTGTCTCGTGCATCTGTAAGGAAATGAAAATGTGTGAGTCATCTCAAGATAATGATTTACTCTCTGCAAGTTCTTAAATGTGTTCTATTTACCCTGTTAATGAATGCATCCACGATGTAATGTTTACACCATGTGATAGATGTCCACCATTCAAGTCGAATGTAAACTTGTTTTTCATCCCTTCATATCTTTATGCATTATTATTCTTTGAATTATCTTCTTGGTTGTTGCTTGTTCCTTATTTTTATTTCTCTTGAGAGGTCTTGCTACTTGGAAGGTTATTAATATAGCATGAGGAGTAATATGTGAAGAGTGAAATCCTTTTTCTTTGTGTCTCTTTAAGATGTGCTTGCATTGCTCCTGGCGTTATGCAGGCACACGCTAAAACAGCTGGAGACCGTGTCAGCACAGAACGAGCAGGCAACTATTCTGGTTTCCGAGAATCGGGAGCTCAACAAAAAGATGACGCTGCTCACACACGAGATTAAGGAGGTGAGGCATCAGTTTCCCATGTAGTTTTGGTTGCATGTGTTGTTCGACTCATAGGTTTCCACTTTTTTTGGGAACGCGACAAACAGCAGAGCTTTAGCTTTATGTGTACGACAGTGTTTGTATTGATCCTCATTCTTAAGTTTGTGTATCTGTTAATTACCCTAAATAACAATTTGTCTCGACACTTTATACACTAGAACTTGTTAGTATGACCCTTGTTAAAGGGTAAAAGCGAAACAATAAGTCGTTTAGATTGATAAATTACTGTGTGAAAACTGTAGTGTCGCAAATTTTACCTACGTAAGCTTATTGCTGGCAGAGAAAATCAAAGTCGAAGTACCAGTTTTTAAATTTATGTCTCTGCATTATTTAATAGCATCAACTGCTTCTGCACTAATCTGGATGCATTTCGCCATCACCAGTTACCTAGGATTTACTTTAGAATCAAATAGTGACGCACTTGCAAAATCAGTCAGGAAACTCTCCCCATTCATAGTTTCAAGGTGCCTGATAAACACACTCGGAACAGGACTATAAAGCAACGAAAATGGATAGTGGAGACCTCCTGATTGAAGTTTCGGACAAAGAGCAATATGAAAAACTATCCAACTTGAAGATTTTTGGTGATGTCCCCATCACTGTATCGGCATATCGTTCAATGAACACTGTACGAGGAGTTGTAACGGAGGACAACTTAGTTGATTGATGCCGAACTTCTTGACGGCTGGAAAGAAGAAAATGTAATCAATGTCCAGAGAATTAAGATGCAGGGAGATGGCAAAAATATTTTAACAAAACATATTATCATTACCTTTGGCTCCAGCATACTTCCCGAAACACTTACAACTGGGTACACAAAGCTCCGTGTTCGAGCCACACATACCTAACCCTCGTTGTTGCTTCCAATGTCAGAAACATGGCTACGACTCGAAAAGCTGTTGTGGTCGGCAGACCTGTGCTCAATGTGGAGTTTCTGGCCACAATTCTGGAACCTGCCAACAACCAGCGCATTGTGTGAACTGTGACGAAAACTGTGCTGCCTACTCACGGTCGTGTTTATTCTGAAAAAAAGAAAAAGAGATCATCACGTTGAATGTGAGGGAGAATACCTCATTTAAAGACGCAAGGAGAAGAGTTTCACTATTTTATGACCCAACCTATGCTGATGCGACTCATCAGGCGGCAGCGTCGCACCAACCCTCGCCATTCTTTGGCCTACACAGAGCGAGCCGTCAGCTGCGGCGCCTGCCCTTAAGGCAGCAGTCATTCAGCCTACTACGCCTACCCACGAACAGAGATCGGAGACTCCAGCATCCTCAGGTCTCGAGGCCTCACCTTGCCAGTAGAGTCCCAAAATCTGAATGACCAGCTCGCACGTGCGGGCATCTAGGGCCTCTGAGGAGGCAATGGACACAGTGGTACCCTTGGTGCCGAAATATCGGCGTTGCTCCTTGGAGCGCGCCAAGAAAACTTAAAGGCAGTTAACAGGCTCCGACGACAGCCCTGCTGTTTGAATTTTCACTCCCTGCCTAAACAGTCACTTCCTCTTTGTACACACAGCACTACATTACTTTCATCTTTAACACAGAAATTATACAATGGAACATCAGGGGTCTTCTCAGGAACCTTAAAGATGTCCAAAAACTTTTACACAAACAATCACCAAAAGTGCTGTGTGTACAAGAAACACTCTTAAAATCCAAGAACACTAATTTTTTACGCCAATATGTTACATTCAGAAAGGACCAGGACGATGCTGTGGCGTCATCCGGTGGTGTCGCCATTATAGTTAATCAAGGCATAGCATGTACACACCTACCACTACAAACATCCCTTGAGGCAGTGGCTGTTCGAGCAGTTCTTTTGAACAAACTCGTCACCATCTGCTCTCTTTACATACCTCCACAGTACCGCCTTGGAAAACATGTATTCCAGTCCCTAATATACTGAGTTACCAGAACCTTATCTGGTTCTAGGGGACCTGAATGCACACAGCGGTTTATGGGGTGACTGTCGATGTGATGCACGAGGTCGTCTCATCGAACAGTTCCTCTTTTCATCAGGTGCTTGTCTGTTGAATAGAAAAGAGGCAACATATTATAACCTTGCCAACAAAACTTACTCCTCCATAGACCTCAGTATCGCATCTCCTTCACTTGTAGCATTACTCCAATGGAGAATTATGACTAATCCCTATGGAAGTGACCATTTTCCTGTCGTTTTGAGTTCACCAACATCATGCGTATGTCCTTCACGAGTTTCCAAATGGCTGACATGCAAATCCGACTGGGAACAGTTTTATAACATTACTCATTTAAGTTGGACAGACATATGTGGACTGAGCATAGATGAAGCTGTGCGGTACTTCACAGCTTTCCTTATTGACGCAGCAGCCAAGTGCATCCCGTAAACATCTGGACTGCCCGGCAAGTGACGCGTCCCATGGTGGAACACTGAGTGTCGTAGTGCGCAAAAAGAGCAGAACAGGGCATGGAGGTTGCTTCGGAACTCACTGACAACCGAAAATCTTGACAGCTTTAAGAAAGTACAGTCTCAAGGCAGGAGAACGAGTCAGCAGGCCAGAAGAGAAAGATGGCAGAAGTTCTTATCAGGGATCAATTTATGTACACTGGAGGCTAAAGTCCGGAACATGGTTAATAGGATAGCAGGAAGACAAGTACACTCACTTCCACTCGTAAACACACTGGGTGGCAGCTTGGAAAATCAGGCGAACTTCCTCGGTGCACACTTCGAGCAGGTGTCCAGCTTATGACACTCTACAGACGCTTTACAGAAATACAAAACAAGAATAGAAAAGCAAAACCTAGAACACAAATGTACAAATCACGAGGCATACAACCAAGCATTCAGCTTAGCTGAGCTCCAAACATTACTGAACTCCTGGAGTAACTCCACCCCAGCTTCCAACCGTGTGGTGTACGAAATTTTGAAAAAAAACCTCCTAATCAAAACGCAAGAACCTTACTGGGCTTGTACAATACTATCTGGTTCTCTGGCGCTACCCCTACTTCCTGGATGGAGGCTATTATTGTTACCATTTTGAAACAGGGCAAGAACCCTTCTTTAGCTTTGAGCTATATGCCTATTGCACTTACAAGCTGCCTGTGCAAACTCTTCGAAAAAATGATAAACTGCCGATTTGTAGTAATTTAGTTGAATCAAACAATTTGCTCAACCAATTCCAGTGTGGGTTTCGAGAGGGTAGATCCACCACTGACCACCTTGTTTGTATCGAGGCACAGATCAGAGACGCTTTCGTCCACAGCAATATTTTCTTTCTATGTTCCTCGATATCGAAAAGGCTTATTGTACAACATGGCACTTTGGAATATTAAGGGGGAGGCTACCATCAGATACCAACTTTTTTGTTTATTGATATATCTCAATACAATTTTCAGGATAAACTAATAGCAAAAGTATTAGGACCACTACAAAATTTCATGAAGTTATGTTCACTGGTTCACCAGTTACGGCAGTATGTCAGAATAGTGCACACGGTTCACTTATTCAAGGCCTGGAGAACTTTCAAAAGATGCTCGAACTGTGAAATTAACAATGATGATTCTCAGATTACCTCAGGGGGTAACAGAGCTTTTTGTTATTGAATTTCCTTACTGAGAAGATTTAGCAGACCATCAAATTTAGTGTTGGTGATTGGGATATTATTAATCAAGTTTTCATTAGGTATTGTAAATAACAGACACAATATACTAAAAAAAATGAGCTTGTCTCCCCCTAAAAAATTTATTCAAGTGCTTAATAAAGAAAGACTTATGAATATAGGATGAGTGATTTCCCCAGATATGGCTGGAACAAGCAGCCTCAATAGCCAAAAAAAGCAGTTTTGAGAAAACGGCATTTAAAAGTTTTGGGCACATATGCAAATCTAAAACAACCCTGCAGCATAACTGGAGGCGTCCTTTGGCACTCTCTTTCTTCGCCGCCATTTCGTCTTCCCCAAGGATCTCTTCTTAGTTTTTTTCAAGCGCAGTGAATCTTTCTTGGCTGCCCGTTGAATGGCCAGGTCGCGCTTTATTGATCGTGCTGCATTGCCTGAAATTTTCACTCTGTCGTTGGCATAGCACAGAGTTTTCTTTGAACAGCTGCACATTGTTGATCCACCGCCTCTTTCTCTTTGCACGTCAGAAAACGTGTTCGCAAGTGCACAGTTGACGACGCGATCGCACTCTTGGAGGCCGATGAAAAAGAGAGTGTGGAAGCCCCTGTCGATAAGCGCGAGACACCAGGCGCCCTTGCAACAACAAATTTTGGCACTGGTGGAGCAGGAGTCCTGCTCCACCAGTGCAAATAAATTTTGGCACTGGTGGAGCAGGAGCAGGAGCAGGAGGCGCGTCGATGCTACCTCTCTTGCGTAAATGAAGAAGCTGCTTCACATGTACTGTCGGCGCGATCACCATCGGCGCACGTGCGAGCGGAGAGCTTCGCCATGCATACAGCCTTCATAGATTGCTTGTTTGCACCGAACACTTGTTGGGTCTTCTTTTTGTTGAACGCATCGTGAGCGAATGCAACAACAGTCTCGTAAAGACAATTGAAAATGTTCTAATGAAGACGTTCGAAAATTGTTTCATAAAAATGTTTAAACGGGGAAATTATGCATATATAGACGATAGCTGGCAAAGCACTAAGAATACGCCGGGGATGGAGGAACAGCAGACGACAGAGAGCCACATTATGTGCAAGAGTACTACGTCATCGCGCGCAGCAGCCAATCGCAGTTGCAGGGTCCCTCTCGTCCTTGAGGAGAGCGCGCATCGCCAATCCCAGCGGTGCATCTCCGCCGCGAGAAACTTCAAAGCTCTCGCGAGCCCTCCAATTGTGAGCAGCTTGTTCCTCTCCTGCACTGCCGCCGTCGCCGCGGGTGGCAGGAAAAGAAAGTGCTAGAATTCACAACCAAAACACCAAAAGGGCGGAGCTCCATCAAGCGGTCGAAAAATTGCGATCGCGCCAAGTCTGGCTATTTTGAGCGCTCCCGTGTTGCTCGAGGGCTGCGGCGGCTTGTTGTAAACTTTATTTCAAATAGTTTCACGATTAGTTAGACGTTGATATTTACAAAAAAAGTAATTTGTGACACGTACTGCCCTAATATGTGGTTTCCCAAAAATAGACTTTTTCACAATTTTTCCGTTTTCAATGGCCGCGTCCCCCCTTAGAGACCTGGCCCATTTGGCGTGCGTGGCAGAATGTTTACCATAATCGAGATTTACTTGTTAGACCGGACATTCCGTGTCCGAGTGGGCAGCGTTCTTTCACAAACATTTGTTCAAGAAACAGGAGTGACGCAAGGTGGTGTACTTAGTTGCACACTTTTTATTATCAAAATGAGTTCTTTGCGCTTGTAGATCTCTCAAAATATGTTTTACTGCACATGTGTCGACGTCCAGCTTGGTTTAAGTCTTGTAATCTGGCCATGTGTGAGCGGCAGGTTCAGCTTGGTTTGAACAAAGTCTCCAATCGGGCAGAAGAAAATGGGTTCCGACTAAATGCTCAGAAAAGCATGTGTGTCTTGTGCTCCAGAAAAGGAGGCATTCATTCCGAACCCGACATTCAACTGCATGGGCAACGTGCTTCTGTTAATACTGAACACAAATTCTTGGGCATAATCTTGGACACCAAGCTAACCTTCATACCACACATCAAGTATCTAAAAAAAACAAGTGCATAAAAGTTACGAACGTTCTAAAAGTGTTATCACGCACTACGTGGGGAAGTGACATCAAGTATCTAAAAAACAAGTGCATAAAAGCTATGAATGTTCTAAAAGTGTTGTCACGCACTACGTGGGGAAGTGACAAAAAATGTCTGATGAATTTGTATAGAAGCCTCAGATGTACTCGCCTAGACTATGGGTCAGTAGCATATCAGTCTGCGACACCTACTGCACCTAAAATGCTTGATCCTGTTCATCATTTAGACACCCGCGCTCTACGGGTGCTTTTTCGCACTAGCCCCGTGGAAAGCCTATACGTGGAATTGAACGAATGGTGGCTCCACCTACAGAGACGTTACATGTCTTTTAAATATTATCTTAATGTGAACACAGACTAGGAATACCCATCACATTCAACAATTAATGACATGCCAAGTTCTGCTGTGTTTGAAAAACGGCCTTCTATGAGATAGCCCTACTCACTCCGTGTGAGGGGCCTAGCGAAGGAAACCGGTGTGCCACTTGAACATCGTTTGATGACTCCCGCAGTGTACCTGCGATCGTGGCAATGGCAGGCGATAGACTGCGATTTGTCTTTCTTGGTGGTTATGAAGCACACGCCAACCGCACATATTCAGACATACTTCCTAGAACTACAACATAAATACACTATGTCCTGAGTTCTTTACAGCTGCCTCTAAGTCCAGCACTTCTGTGTCGTACGCAGCCGTCGGCCCATCCTTTTCGGAAGCTGGCGTTCTTCATTCTAATAAAAGCATTTTCACCGGTGAAGCTTATGCAATACTTGCGGCTGTTAAACACATCAAATAATAATACAGATAATAAGATACTTATAATATATACTGATTCTCTAAGCGTAGTAAAAGCTCTGCAAACTCTTAAAAAGCACAAAAACCCGATCCTTGTCTCGCTTTACTCACTTTTATGCCCATTCTACTCATCCAAACAGCATGTTGTAGTCTGCTGGGTGCCAGGACACCGCGAAATACAAGACTACGTTCTGGTGGACCAGCTAGCTGGATCCGCCAACAAAACTGCTAGCAATACATCGATACCAGTTCCTGCACTCAAGTTGAAAGCTTTTCTAAAACGAAAGCTCAGGGGTTATTGGCAGAGCACATAGGAAACACACACAGGTAATAAATTGCATGTCATCAAGCCGCAACTTGGTCATTGGCCGCCAGTATCAAAATCACGCCACACAGAGGTAATACTTACAAGGTTAAGAACAAGACATACATACACTACACATACATTTCTTTTGTCTGGTGGCGATCCACCTTTGTCTGATATATATGGAAAAGCACTCACCATACTTCACATTTTAGTCCTGTGTAAACAATTAGACCCGCTGAGAAGACAACACTCTTCATTACCCTACCGACAACAGATACCAATTCATCCTGCAATTTTCGTCGGTAGGGAACCACTTTTAACACATAAATCGTTGTTGGCTTTTCTAAGAGAAGTTTGTACCTTTCATGTGATGTACCCGGCCATTCAGTAGCACGACCTCTCCAAAGAGGTCTCCACTGCGGTGGTTGCACTGAGCAAAGCACTTGCCTCGTGGCTCTTGGTCGCAAAGGGTGTGAACAACCGAGGCACTTGTGCTAAGGCCATCTATGTCCACCATAATTTTTATTATCACAAACTCTCATTGCCCATTGACAGTATACACACATTGCATGACATGGTCATGATTTCATTACTCCTATGTTTTGACCCGCCTTAGCTCGAGAAAATTTTAAGGCCCCTCTACAGCCACCTATCGCAATCATTGTCCACATCTCTAGTTCCATGCACTGGCGCTCTTTGACCATCGAATGGCCCTTGCGCCGAAAAATGCCAAATATCATCATTACCTTGGAATCAACTTGGATCACCAATTATCGCCCAGAGACATTGCATGCCTAAAAGGTTATGATGCAAAAAGAAAAAGAAGAAGCAGAGAAAGAATGAATGCAAAAAAAGGTGCTGGCATTCCAGTCAAATGAAGTGATAGGAGTCGCCATTGCAATATTGTTGAGAGGTACAAACCGTATGGCAGTGACATACAACATTAGTTGCTGCCTTGAGAAAGACAAGCCTGCATGTCAAATTTTTGCATCCAGCAATGTCTCTGGTCAAAGGATTATCCGTCTCCTCTCACAAATGCCCCGCGTATTTTTTTTTTTTTATGTGGAGTGATGGCACTAACAGTCGATAAGCTGTGTCAATTCATTGTACGATTGCTGTACAAGGAAAAATACTCATCGAGAGCTTTAGCCGGCATGAGTAGATGACGCAACCAGGCTTCGGATGCTTCAATCTCGCAAGTTATCTTCAGCTTTGCAAAGGCTGTGCATCATTAATGGCCGGAGGAGCGCACCTTAATATCCCAAGCAAGCACCCCCTCCATTTCTTGGGAAAATTTATATGTGCCCCCCCCCCCCCCTGTCTCTGTTTTCCTTCCCCCCATTATGACGACAGTGAATGCATAAATATTCAATGAAGTATTTAACTAGAAGCATGAGTGTTCATTCCTTATTCTTAGCGGCTTTTCCTCTGCCATCATGAATTTTGATACGCGACTGAGCGAAAGCCCCCTTTCCAATTCTTTTCGGATATTTTTTACCTGGGGGGGGGGGGGGATGCACTATCTCGAGCTTTTAAAGTACTTGGGCATTGCGAAGCCAGCGGGATCTGGCTTGTGAATGTTCTTGACCGTTTATATATACATGTAATGACTTCACGGGCCGTCCTCATTTTCTTGTCCCAAACAGAGCCAGCGAAAGTATGAGACAGAGTGCGAGCACCGGCGTAAGGCAGAGATCAAGCTGCAGGAACTGTGGTCCAAGCTGGAGTGTGAACAACAGTCTCGGTCCCAGCTGGCCTCCGCATCTCAGGTTGGTTCCTCCAAGTAGAGTTTGATGCAGGAGATGATCGCTAAACCTTCAGACTGAAGCCATGTAGCCAAATGTTGCGTTAAATATCTGAGTTGAATAGGCATGGCCTTTTCTGACTGAACAACTGGCTACTGGGGCTCAAGTTTCAAACAAGCGTCACATTTCACGGGGCATTTTTTTTTCTTAATCTCGCTTGCTTTGTGTGTAATAAATCACGTTGCCTAGAAACATTCCAATTTTAAGAAATTAACGATGAAAAATCTGTGTTGCCGACAGAATGAACGCAGAAAAAAAAACTATGAAAAGAAAGCACCATCTCAATAATTCGCCGATTACGTCTTGGGCCACCTACATTCCTTGAACCACCTTTCAAGTGTTGTAAGCGCCACCCATGCCCTCTTTCTTTCAAGTAGAGCAACCGCAAAGAGTTATGTTGATTCCGTACAAAACTGCAACTTTGATTGCCCGCAACCGCTGCCAAAAAGCAACAAATTCTCTTTAAACTAAGCCTGTGGTTCGGCATTTTGTCGTGGGAAGTTTGTACGAGACAACATCAAGATCAGGTGTCAAAAAGATTGTGCTCAAGCACTGATTCAAGAACAGCATGCGTGCAATGTTTAGTAATTAATAGACACAAAAGTCTGCCGAGCTTGTCCAAGCCCTCGTAGACGGCAGCCAAGGCAGAAGCTCTCATTGGAAAGCTGAAAAGCTTTAAAGTTCGCGGACGAGGTAGAAAACGCGATATCGACGACACTCTTCCCGACAGGAAACTCAAAGTGAACTTGATGAGGACGCGATCGCAAGTTCCAAGCGGAGCGCGTGTGGCCGGTGCAAAGGTTACTCCGACGCCCAGGCAACCACCCTTCTTCCTCACTCGACAAGCCTGCGCAGTGCTGGCACCGGCTTTTTTTTTTTTTTCTTCGCCCCAGTTAATAAGAGGGCATTGAATTGCAACCGTGCCAGATACGGTTGAGAACTGGCGAACTACGCCAAGTTCGGAGGCTGCTTATCATGCACGGAAATTGATAAAAAAAAACTGATTTCTCGTGACCGATCTTGGGGTGCTCTAAAATTATGCGAGTAAATACATTATGTATTCGTTCTAGGGTTACCTAGTCTTCAATGAAGAGAAAGCGAATAGCGTGTAGACTAACTTAGCGAGTTATCAAAACAAGTTTTCATTACGAGTTATCAAAACAAGTTTTGATTATCGTGGTATCTTCCAGACAAGTCTATTGTTTCTTTATAGTTGTGGCCTCTTGAAGCACTGCAGTTATGTGCTGTTCACATGTCTTGCTCGATAACGTACTCGTAAAAGTTGTCCCCCTTGACTTGGGAGCTCAGCTGTAGTAGCCTAAGCCTCTCGTATCCATTGTTGGCCACCACAACATTGCTTTGTGCATGCAATTTGTGCGATCTTCGTGCTCCTTGGTGTGCTATTTGTTCTGAACTAAACGGTTCAGAACAAATCCAGGACACGTTGCAGTCCTGACAGGGACGGTGCCTGAAAAGTTGGGACTGTCCCGTAATACCCAATATGGTTGGTTACCCTAGGTTGGTCTGTGTATGATTGTTTTGTTTTGGTTTATAGTTTCGTGCCACATGATGCGTAGGTGAGATTCTCTCCTGCTCACAAGCCTTTCTCCACTTTGCAGTGTTGGACGTGATTTGCCATTGTGCATGTTTTATTTCTTCCAGGTTGCATCGGAGAAGGCGTCTGCGCTCGAGAAGCAGTTGTGGGAGCTGAATGACAAGCTGAAGCAGGAAGCCGACGCAGCACTAAAGCTGAAGAAGGCCAACGCGGAGCTCGCGCTGACCGTGGCAACGCGGGAGCGCACCTGCCAGGAGCTGCAGGAGACGGTGGGTGCTCTGCGCGGCCAGGTGGGCTCCCAGGAGCGGGACCTTTCCAACATGCAGATACAACTTGATCAGGTAGGCCCATGTTTTGGTACCATTCATTGTTTTACTTTCGGCATAATCATCATCGTGAGCCTTTGAGGAAGAAGCAAAAATACTAGACAGTATGACCTATCACTTGGCGAATGCTCCTCGAGTCATTTTTGCCACATTACTACCTATTGTCTAGCAGAAAAGCTTAAAAGGGCTACCAGCTGCCTTCGAATAGACCACATTTTTTCTGCTATTTGTGCAAGTGCCATATGACATACAAATAAAGTGTACTCTCCAGCCACTTTTAGTGCAAAGTTTGTAATGTTAAAATTGAAGTGTAAAAACTAACCTGACGTTTCGGGACCCATTCGGTCCCTTCTCCAGGGCAGGCTGTTCAGCCGGCTTCTATGCTAGCGACTTTTCTTGGTGGTGTCCCTCTTCCAACCTCCTTCTTCTTGCCGTTCTTGTTGCTGCGGTGTTTTGTTCACTGATCCTGCAGACCGTGCACATTTATACTCAGTAAAGTTCCACTTGAGCAGTCAATATTTTCAGGTGTTGTGTGGATATGCCAGGACTATTAAGAACTACCTTTTTGTGTGGCTACCTTCTGTGTGGATAGCCCGGGCGTCGTCGAGGTTGACCCTGGCGGCGTCAAAGTTTGCCTAATTTGTTTGTGAATAGGTTTTAATATTTATTTTCCTTTTTCTGCGGCCTTTCAAGTTTTACCATCGCGCAATACAAGTGTTGTATTATGGCGGCTTTTGCATCTTTGGTGGTGTTGTAAAAAGTCGTTGAAAATTGACCGAGCGAAATTTGTATTTATTTCATCGCAACGAGTAATTCACTGTGTCATTGTTAATTATAACTACTGAAACAGGGTTGTTGAACAAGCAGGGGTTGACTCGGCGAACGAGAGCTTTATTTAGCGCAAGGGCTAACTGAACGCAAGCCTGCGATCACAGCAAGTCTTCTTCCTTTTCGATACTCGAGCTCCATGCCCAATGCCCTTGTTACAATCACCCCCGGCCGATGAGGGAGCCATCCTGGCGACCTAAGGACAGGTGTACACAGAAGGGTCATGGTATGGCTTGAGCCGAGAGATGTGTACGATTTCTTGTCCCCCACGGCGCTTGTCCGGAGATGCATCCAGCGGCTCGACAAGGTAGTTGACAGGGGATGTTTGGCATACAACTTGATAAGGGCCATGGTACCTCGACGAAAGCTTGTGGGAGTGTCCTGGAGAAGTAGAAGGAATCCATAACCACACCAGTGAGTTCGGAGCAAAGCTCATATGCGTGGTTGACGCGTCGTGGCGATGTTTTTCGCGCGTCTGGTCATGTGACGTGAACGCACGAGCAAGCTTCCGACATTCTTCAGCGTGTGCTGCTGCTCGAGAAACAGTAGTCATCTCTGAAGGGTCCGGTCGATAAGGAAGAATGGTATCCATTGTTGATGATGGCTCGCGTCCATAAAGAAGGAAGAAAGGCGAAAATCCTGTGGTGCTTTGCATTGCAGTGTTGTAAGCATATGTCACAAAAGGGAGTATGCTATCCCAATTTGACTGGTCGGATGAAGTGTACTTGGCCAGCATATCCCCAAGTGTACGATTAAAACGCTCTGTCATCCTATTAGTTTGCGGGTGATAGGCTGTGGTAGTGCGGTGTATGATGCGACACTCGCTCAACAACGCTTTGATGGCATCGGAGAGAAAGACGCGGCCGCGGTCGCTTAGTAACTCCCGAAGTGCTCCGTGCCTTAAAACCAGGTTTTGCAGTATAAAACACGCAACGTCTTTTGCGGTAGCAGAAGGTAACGCAGCTGTTTCAGCGTACTGCGTTAGGTGGTCGATAGCGACAATGACCCAGCGGTTGCTACTTGAAGTATAGGGAAGCAGACCGTAAAGGTCGATTCCGACACGATCAAAAGCTCGTGCTGGACATAGCAACAGGCTGCAAGGGACCTGTGGCATGTTGAGTGGGCATTTTGCGTCGCTGGCACGTAAGGCAAGACCTTACGTAACGGCGAACGAAACGGTACATACCGCATCAGTAGTACCGCAGCTGCAAGCGAGTGTATGTTTTTAACACACCAGCGTGGCCACATTGCGGATCATCGTGGAACGTGGCACAGATGTCAGAGCGCAGATGTCGGGGGATGACGAGCAACCACTTACGGCCAATCGAGCTGTAGTTTCGGCGGTAAAGCAGGTTATCCCGAATAGCGAAGTGTCCTGCTTGACGGCGAAGCGTCCTGGAAACTGGAGCGGGCGTCCGGTTTGAGAGAAAGTCCAAAAGAGAAGAAATCCAAGCATCTTTGCTTTGCTCGGAAGGCATGTCCGAAATGCTGATGGCCAAGGCAGCACTAGTGGAGATAGGCGAGCCGACAGGCTCTGAAGCCAATGGCGAACGTGACAGGGCATCGGCGTCGGAATGCTTCCGGCCAGAATGGTAGATAACACGGATATCGAACTCCTGTAACCGCAATGCCCAACGAGCGAGCCGACCATTAGGATCTTTTAGTGAAGATAACCAGCTAAGCGCATGGTGGTCTGTTACAATATCAAACGGACTTCCATATAAATAAGGCCGAACTTTTCCGATTGCCCAAATAATGGTGAGGCACTCCTTTTCAGTTACACTGTAATTCTTCTCGGCTTTACTGAGGGTGCGGCTGGCATAGGCAACGATGTACTCGTCAAAACCCTCCTTGCGTTGGGCCAGTATGGCCCCTATCCCGACACCACTAGTGTCTGTATAAAGCTCCGTTGGAGCAGACGGATCGAAATGTCGGAGTATGGGAGGCGTGGTGAGGAGCCGTCGGAGTTCCTGAAATGCATCATCACACGCCTGCGACCACGCTGACAAATCAGAACTTCCGGCAAGAAGATTGGTCAAGGGGGCGATAATGGAGGCGAAATTGCGGACGTAGCGCCGGAAGTAAGAACATAGGCCGATGAAGCTTCGAAGCTCTTTGATGGTGGTTGGCGTTGGGAACGCCGCGACTGCATTAAGTTTTGTAGGGTCCTGGAGAATGCCGTTCTTGGAAACCACATGGCCGAGAATTACAAGCTTGCGAGCACCGAAGTGGTATTTCTTCAAGTTAAGTTGAAGTCTCGCCGTGGAAAGGCACATAAGAACTTGCTCGAGGCGGCTGAGGTAGGGTCGCAAAGTCGCTTGAAAATACCACAATGTCATTCAAATAACAGAGGCACGTTTTCCATTTCAGACCTCGCAAGACGGTATCCATCATCCTTTCGAAAGTGGCAGGCGCATTGCAGAGGCCAAAGGGCATAACGGTGAATTCATATAGTCCATCCGGTGTTACAAAGGCTGTCTTCGGGCGGTCACCCTCTGCCATGAGCACCTTCCAGTAGCCGGAGCGTAAATCTAACGAAGAAAAAAACTCTGCTCCTTGTAGGCAATCCAAAGCATCATCGATGCGCGGCAGAGGGTATACGTCTTTGCGCGTTATCTTGTTGAGTCGGCGGTAGTCAACGCAGAACCGGATGGATCCGTCTTTTTTCTTGACGAGAACAACCGGTGAAGCCCAGGGACTGTTGGAGGGCTCGATGATGCCATGTTTCAACATGTCGTCCACTTGTTCATCGATGACACGGCGTTCAGCAGATGACACACGGTACGGGCGCTGTCTTAGCGGGGCTTGTTGACCGGTGTCAATACGATGAACGACCGCAGAGGTTCGGCCTAAGCCTGACTGGTCACGATCGAATGAAGAACGAAAGCGGAGAAGAAGATTTATAATCTCTTGGCGCTGAGTTGGTGCGAGCTCAGAGTCGATGGCATCCGAGAATACGTCCAGAGCATCATTAGGCGCGTTGGTAGGAGGGACAGCACAAATTGGGAGCGAAACCGTTGAATCGGGTATAGTAGCCGGAAGAATGCACTCGCAAGGTTCGTAGCTTTCCAGGCATTCTCCACGTAGTAGGGATGACGGGCTGTCCGAGGGATTGCACACATAAATGGCAGCGTGACCATTGCGAAAAATGATGACGGTAAACGGAAGCATGATATTTCGATGGCACGCAGATGGGACCGATGGCATAAACAACACAGGCGATTTCGGAGGGGAGGCACATGACATCGAGACAACAACAGCTGAGAAAGGCGCAATGTCAACGTCAGAAGCAGCAAACACTCTACACGAAGCACCATCGTCGGGGTCATAGCACGGCGCAGATAACGCGAGTTCAGAACGAGCACAGTCGACCAAAGCAGAATTTGACGAAAGAAAGTCCCACCCAAGGATAACGTCATGCGAAGAACGGAATAAAACTACAAATGTGACGACGTACATCGCACCTTGAATGACGACTCGTGCAGTGCACAAAGCTGAAGGCTGAATATGATGGGACGTAGCTGTCTGCAAAGATAGGTCGGTAAGTTGCGTGGTCACTTTCTTCAAGTTTCGGCAGTTTCTCGCTAATTACAGATACGGCAGCTCCAGTGTCAACAAGTCCGTGCACCTTAATGCCATCAATATAGAGTTCGATTTCGTTCGGGGGACAGCAGTTAGGTCTTGAAATTTTCGCTGCCAACGCAGTTCTTGCCTCCGTAACTGCGCCCGTCAGTTTTCCCCTCGCGGTGGGCTGTTGCGACGTAACATCGGAGAAATAGATCGACGACGAGGAGAAGGTGAACGGCTTGCGCCGGATGGTCGGCGACCGGGACGTACGTCTAGAGGTGGATCGGCAGGAACGGGATATCGCGGCTGAGTGGGCATGGTGGACATGTAATGTGAGGCTCCTGCAGTGTCGTGAGAAGGGAAGCTGCGACGACGGCAGTGACGAGCTATGTGGCCTGGGATGCCACATGAAAAACATATCGGCCGATTATCCGGAGTGCGCCATTGGCTGACGGTAGGGGCACTGTTCGCTGAATAAGGTACCGTAAATGGTCGTGCAGGCGTCGTCGTCATATAAACGTTTTGACCTGTTTCATATACAGCCGGAGACGGGACGGTCAGCGAGCGGGAAGGTGGCGTCGAGGAATAAACGTGGCGAGTAGCTTCGTAGATGGCCGGAGGCGCTGGCGCACGTGGCCGAGCAACTGCGGCTGCATACGTTAGTGGTGCGGTAACAGTTGGTGGAGCCTGAGCTGGCGGCAATGCTTCGGCAACTTGCGATTGAATGACCTGGCGAAGCGAAGGCGACAAGGGTGCCATCGGCTCGGTAGTTCTTGTGATTATAGATAGCTGCCGGGCGACCTCCTCACGTATGAATTGCTTTATGGCTGGCATCAACGCAGAGTGGTCGGCGGTGTCATGGCGATAGTCGAGGGATGAGATGTCCGCGGTGTCTTGAGCAGCGCAACGTGTAGAAGCGCGCTGCCTACACAGCTCATCATAGCTTTGGCAGAGCTGAATCACCTCGGCGACCGTCTGGGGACTCTTCGCAGCCAGCATTTGGAATGCACCGTCGTCGATTCCTTTCATGATGTTCTTGATCTTGCCTGCTTCGTCCAGAGTCGAATCGACGAGCTTGCAGAGAAATAGCACATCTTCGATGTAGCTCGTGAAAGTTTCATCTGCTCTCTGTACTCTGCCCCGCAAGCGCTGTTCAGCACGAAGGCGGCGGACGGCAGGACGGCCAAAGACTTCCGCGAGGGTTTCTGCCAATTCCGACCAGGTACTGAAATCACTTCGATGATTTCTACCAGGTACTGAAATCACTTCGATGATTTCTGTACCATAGTTTTGCCACGTCGGTCAGGTAAAAACTCACATTTGTGAGCTTATCGGCTGCGTTTCACTTATTGTATGCGCTCACCAGTTCATACTCGGCAATCCAGTTGTCCACATCTTGGTCCTCTGTGCCACTAAATATGGGGGGGTTGCGCTGCCGGAGAGTGCCAGCGCAGAAGACAGGCACAGATGCGAGATCTGGAGTAGCGGCATGAGATGGCCCCAGATCAGTCATTGTAGGAGGTAGTTGGAGTGTGCGGCTGCGAAGTTCCAGGGTGAGGACCAGATGTACCCCGCACTTTCACCACTTGAAACGGGTTGTTGAACAAGCAGGGGTTGACTCGGCGAACGAGAGCTTTATTTAGCGCAAGGGCTAACTGAACGCAAGCCTGCGATCACAGCAAGTCTTCTTCCTTTTCTATACTCGAGCTCCATGCCCACTGCCCTCGTTACACTACGTTTAAGTGTTCAGGGTCAACAGTCACGTTCTTCTCCACCAATCATGTCATACAAGACATTTTTTCTGATGTCACAGGACATTCCCACATGTGAAGGAAACTGGAAGTTTCACCTACATACTTTAGGATACTGAAACATCCCTTTCTGGATAAGCCAAATAGGTGTGTCTATAGCTCCCTGCGACTCTTGGTAGATCAGATTGTCTTGTCCTCCCAACACAGGAGAAGGCAGCGTGGTCATCGCGCGCCCAAGAGCTCGAGAGCCGGCGGCAGGCGCTCCAGTTGGAGCTGGAGAGGGTGCGAGAGCGGGAAGCCCACGCGCTTGAAGAGGCCCACCGGTTCTCGGCGCGCGTCCTCGAGCAGGAGAAGCAGCGTGCCGTGCTCGAGCTGGAGTTGCGCAACGCCCAGAACCGCCTGGACCGACAGGCCTGCCCGGACAAGAGGCCCGGCGGAGGAGGCGCCGCGGATGACGAGAACAGCGCAGAGGCCCTGACGGCCCGGCTGGCCGAGGAACGGCAAGCGCGCCAGCAGGCAGAGGCCGCCGTTCAAGACCGTGAGCGGCAAATGTCCATGCTCAATGTGGACTATCGACAGTTGCAGGTGGGCTGCATGCCGTTGGTTTATGCCAGAATAGTTTGTACCAGTGGCTGCCACTGCTATTGTGGATGACCCTGAGCGGGAACTGTCCAGATACGCATAGATATGCTGTGATTGCCGGCATTATTGTTGGAGTATAATTAAAAAGTCAATACAGTCTGCTCTTGCTCATGTGACCCTTGTTAACCTAATTTTTCAGCTTGATACCTGTTAAGTGTTCCAATAATTGCCAGTACACTTCTTTTGCTTTTTCAATGCTAAATTTTTTTTACTTTTTATTTATAGTCAACAATTGTGTCGTTTAGCTATCTTCTCTACTATTCATTTTTGCATTTCTTATTTTCACCTGCAATGAATTCCTATTGACTAGCTGAACTTTTTCATTGTTCAGAACATGTTTTTCTGGTTTCACGTGGAATTTTTCAACCCAAATGCTTTCGCGCTGAAAATGTGGCCACTGCTTTTGTCGGCTGCTCAACCGGTTTTCTGGTGTGTTCACAACTTGAACCATGTTCTTGCTGCTTTGGTTCAGACGCAGCTGCAGCGGCTGCAAGGTGAGCATCGGCAGGAGGCGGAAAAGTCCCAAGCCCTGCAGGCGCAGCTGGACGAGGAGGCCCGCCGGCGCTCGCAGCTGAGCCAGCAGGCAGCCCAGCAGGCCCAGGAGGTGGCCCGGCTGGCACTGCGCGACCGGCAAGCTCAGACAGCCCTGGCCGAAGCACGCCAAGCACAGCAGGCAGCCCAGGAGGAACTGGCCAGGATGCAGACGTATGTACCCTCTTATTCATTTTTAAGAACATAGTGGAGCGATGGCGTAACCTTATGTTCTCTAGCAACCACCAGCACGGGTACAGACAAACTCACAACCTCTTCGTGCTACCTGGATGCAGCTGCGCTACTGTGCTTGTGCCATGATGTCATTGGAGCGCTGCTGCATTCGATATCACACGCCGCCCGTACACTGCTTCACCAGCTGTGCATCGCTGCACATATGCACAGTGCACCTGCACTCGTCCTCCCCTCGCCTTGATGCTGCTTGCGCCAGCTCTGTCAAGTCATACATCACGTCTCGTCAGCTCCGCTCTGCCTTGGGCACCTAGTGCAAGCTCTGGCGGGCTCCTTTTTTAGGGGCGAAGCTCCTTAAGGCGTGGGTCTGTCCATCCTCGACGTATGTATGTAGCCACCTCTAGTTTAGTTCTTACATTGTTTACTAGATGGCGTGGCTACCTCTAGTTTAGTTTTTTTATTGTTTACTGGATGGCGGGGAGCGTTGTAATAAAATCCGTTCACTGTTGGCGCGCGCTCGGAGTTGCCCGATGGATAAGGCCGCAGAGCGGCGAGCGCGCAAGGCGGTGGCAGCTTAGTTTTTCGATTGTTTACTAGATGGCGGGGAGCGTTGTAATAAAATCCGTTCGCTGTTGGTGCGCGCTCGGAGTTGCCCGATGGATAAGGCCGCAGAGCGGCGAGCGCGCAAGGCGGCGGCAGCGCGTGCTCGCAGACAGAATATCGATGTGCGAGACCGTGAAGCAGAAGCGCTCCGTGAAGCTGCGTGACGCCGCCCCCAACATCCTGCCGTACGAGAGCGGGAGGCCAAAGCGTGTCCTCTGGCTGCGCGCCGCCGCCGCCAAGATCCCAGCATTCGAGAACGAGAGGCCCAAGCGTTACGGCAACGGCGCGAGGACCCTGCCGTACATATACACACACAGTGTTTCTCACGTCTTTCTTGATGATGTAGTGGGCGAACTTTCACTCAACAGTCACGGTTTTACCGATGATTTCCCCTCAGGAGCTTCGCCCACTCATCATCATTCACCCAGTAGATATGCTGTGATTTTTTTTCATTGTGACTACATTTATTGGTGGTGATAGCGATATGCAGTACCCTCTGAGCATAGCGGGGATGTGAGGGCATCAGTAGTGATAGGGTATGTGGCGGTGGGGCCTAACAAATATGATAATTCTTCATTATATTTATGCTAAGGGCACATTGGGCGTTACACAAGGACACACACTTATCACAAAAACAATAAATGTTTCATGCACACAACAAAAAATTACAGTGGTGTTGGTAACACGTTTACTGCAGACACTATTGCTTAAAGAAATGTGTGTACAATCAGTCTACAAAGGTTGGAATGTGCTAGCGAAAAATAGAAAATGTATCTACAGAAAGCATGGCATAAAGAAGTATCTACACAAATTGTCCACAAATGTGATAAAAATTTTTCTCACCTGTCAAGTAACTGGTGTGTCAACGTAGCAGCTAAGGCGTTGGCTGCTGAGCTCATGGGCCTGTTGAGTTCCCCAGTCGCAGCAGTGTCATTCCCATGGTACCAAAAGGCAGGCACCCACTCACAGAGATATGCATGTACACTAACTACCTCCAGGTGCCGTATTTTAATTTGGTGATGTCGTAATCACACAGTATCATCATGCCTTTCTTTATTCTTTCTCTTTCAGGGCAAAAACTGTGGGCGAGCTACAGATGAAGGAACTCCAAGACCAGCTTGAGGCCGAACAGTACTTCTCGGCAAGTGTTGTTGGATCTGTAAATGCATTTCAAGAACAGAACATATGTGCAATGCAGGTTCCCTGCTTCCTTTGTGTGTGTGCTACTGCTTAGTGAACGGAACTCAGGCTCACAGAAATGGTCTTCTTTCGACAGAATCGACTTTGCAGCATAGTAAAACAAAAGGCAGCTATGTAGTTAAACCTCGTTTATAAAGAGGGATCTATTTAGTCCTGGTAAAGCTCCCGTAGAAGTTATGCACCGAAACCTCGATTATATGACACAACTTTATGGTGACCCCACCTCGTATGATGCCTCTCTGGTACTGCCGAAGAAAAAAGTAATACTTAGTCAGATCCAACATGCAACCAGTTTTCATAGCCTCAAAATAAAAAGTCACCCTTATGTTGTGATACAACCTTGAATGTAAAGAATCTATTATTACTTAAATGTGTCATTATGTTTACAGGAATGCAATGATACAAGCACTTGCATGCTTGTATGTTCACTGTGAACGCATTTAACTTGTGTGTTGCTCTCATGAGCAGATGGACAAAGGTCTGGCATGGAGCAAGGAGAAAGTTGAGAGGGAGCGTTGCACAGTATGACTAAAACAAAGAAATAAATAAAAGCAGTAGATGAGGCACGCACAGGCCGAGGTTAGCATGCTCCCTTCTTACCAGAGTGGGAAGGGCTTCTCACGCTTTTGCTGTGCACTGCAGACGCTGTACAAGACGCAAGTTCACGAGCTGAAGGAGGAACTAGACGAGCGGAACAAGGCATTCCAAGAGTTGGAGGAACGGCGCCAGGTGCTCAGTCGGGAACTCGAGATGGCCACGGTGCGTGCAGACTCCCTGGAGCTTCACCGCTCCGTCCTCGAGGACACCGCTGCGGGACTCGAGAAAGACAGGTGTGCAGGGCCTTGCCTCGGCAAGCCATATTTTTCCTTGTAACTGCAAAATAGCTCACTTCAAAGAGACAATGCAGTGTCGTTGTAGTTATGGCTGTGAACAACAGCTAGAACGCATCCAGGCCTCCGTTCTGTAAATCTTTTGCATTTCCAAGAACCATACTATTTGTCAAGCCCGCCATCAGTCCACTTAACATGATTTTAGTCATGTTTATAGGCATTTTTGATGGGCTAATCTTGCTCCAGTTTTTTTTTGCGGCAGTTATGTTTGGTTGCCTAATTTTATGCCAGTTTCCTCAACATAATCATGATAGGTGGGCTAATGTGGGGCTGGATTTCTCAACATAATCACGTTTGGTTGGATAATGCTGTGCTGACTTTCTCAACATAGTCATGCTTGGTTGGCTAATGTTGTTCCGGTTCTTTCACCATAGTTATGTTTGGTGGGCTAATGTTGCGTCCCGTCGCCTGTTTTATAATGCAGGGCGGTACGCGAGCTGGATCTGGAGCAGCTGCAGAAGCAGCTGAACGCCGAGCGGTCCATGCACGAGGCGGCCCTGGCCAAGGAGCGGCAGGAGCGCCAGGCCGAGGAGGCGCGCCACGAGCAGCTGCAGAAGCAGCTCGCCCAGGAGCGCATGCTCAAGCTGCAGGCCGTCAACAAGCTGGCCGAGATCATGAACCGCAAGGACATCGCAGGTGGCGGCAAGGGCCGCGCGGCCGGAGACCTGCGGCGGCGCGACCGCGAGGTGCGCAAGCTGCAGCAGGAGCTCACACAGGAGCGTGAGAAGTACGCACAAATGGTCAGCCGCCTCCAGAAGGAGCTCGCCGAACTGCAGGCAAGTCTCCGTCGCGTGTGGATCGCGTGTTAACCATTGCATAGTTTCCCGCTATCGTTGCTAGAGAGAACTGCGGGGCTGATATTTTTCAGCCACCGTGGGAACGGTGGGTAAATGCATGGATCTGCGTAGTTTTTGCTCTTTGCAATTTCAGATGCGCATGTGGCTTTCTTTACTGTTGTCTTGGCTTTTATTTCGGATATAAAAATGGCTCTTGGCAAACCTCGTCAAGTGGTTTGAATTGGTCAGTCTAAAGAGTCAAGGTGTTGAAGTGGTACTGCTGAACTTGCGCTGAGCTTTGTCTTGTGACAAAGCAGCTGTGGGCTACATGGAGCCAAAAGAACGATGCTTTGGCAAATCCGTGCTCTACCCATCATTCCCATGCTAGCTAAAGTTCTATGCATCACAGCTGCCACAGACAACAGCGCCACTAGTGTGAGCCATTGAACACACTGCTGCTGTGTTATTGGTGATGAGTGACACTCATGTTGTGGCGTGGTGGGGAGCAAGGTAGGAGGTGCACATATGTGCCATCAGTAGACAAAAGGCAATGTTGTATGTCTCCCAGACTCGCTTGGCCAGAATGATGGCGAATGGCATTGGCTCTTGGAAATGTAGGTTAGGATTTGAAAACTGCCTGCCCAGTTTGGTTGGTGTCATGAAGTATGAAGCGTGGTCTTTCTTTGCCACATAATATCTTGGTTGATTCAGGTGACATCGAGTGCAGCAGTGTCAAATGTTTACAAAACCTCTATATTAAATACGTCCTACATCCAAGAAAAAATATGGGCCGATCCCAAGGTTTATTGCTGCACTCTTGCTGTATCTTTGGGATCAGGTATTTCTTTATTTATTTAACAATACTGATCTCATCAGAGATTATAGCAGGGAGCGCATATAAAAACATATTTGTTTACACAAAATCATAATTGTTAAAATTACAATATGACATACAAATAATAATTATACATTGCCATAATAAGACCAGACAATCAAACAATTTTAGTAACGACGAAAACATGGACTAGATTACCGCTAAAAGCAAGTAGGAAAAGGTATGCGTTGACTATGGGCATATTCTTTGTACCTGCTTCACTCCAGACCATGCACAAAGTAGCAATAGCTAGTTGGGTCAACACAGCAGCTAAGCCACGATTTAAGCTTCTGCGTTTACTTAGTGGTGTATTCACTTGCTAGTTAGCACTAGCTAGCGTTTGGTGATTGATGGTCAATGTTGGCTATCTGCTGTTATAACATGATCCATTAGATTTATAAGAGCTTGGCATTGTTCTTGCTCTGAAACACCACAGCAAGAGATTGTTTTGGGTCATAACACATATGATTGTTATGTAGGAATGATTGTAATTCGTTACACCGTCTCAAGCAACAAAAACGAGCGATTGCCACGTAAGGCTTAGCCCAGCACAATTTCTGCAGGCAAGTGCTCACGAGGAGGGCCAGGCGCGCATCAAGCTTCAGATGGAGCTGGACTCCAAAGACTCCGAGATGGAGCTCCTGCGGCGAGTGGCGTCTGCTGCTGCCCTGACGTCTCCGGATGCCCTGTCGTCCGTGACGAACTCCGGCGGAAGCGGAGCTCGGGACGGTGACCCCCAGCGCCTCGAGGGCTGGCTCTCGGTGCCGCAGAAGCAGAACATCCGGCGGCACGGCTGGCGGCGGCAGTACGTGGTTGTGAGCTCGCGCAAGATCCTCTTCTACAACAGCGAGGCGGACCGGGCAAATGCGGACCCTGCCCTCGTCCTGGACCTGAGCAAGTTGTTCCACGTGCGCTCCGTCACCCAGGGTGATGTCATTCGTGCGGATGCTAAAGACATCCCTCGAATTTTTCAAGTGAGTCACAGTAACAGCTTCTTCACAAAATGACTAAGTTGTGTAAAATTTATTAGTCATTATGCACATCATAGTTTCAGAATTTAATTCCATTCGTCAACAATGTTAGGAAACTTGAAACATGTTATTGTAAGTGTAATATACAAAGTCTCCTACCTTCTAAGGACACCTTGTTGACTTGTTAGGTGCAGGTGCTTAAAAGATTGCTGATTCGACACCTATTAATGCAGAGAATCAGACATTGCAGGCATTTTCCCTGGTCCTAGCTTTCATATACATCGGTTAATGGCATCAAGCTCTCGTTAATTCAGTCGTATTCGGCCTCAGCTTGGTTAAGGCGAGAGGCGGGCTTGAAATGGCGAAAAATCGCGAAAAGGTGGATTCTGAAAAAAGTGCAGTATCGTGAAGTTCAAACATTTAATAATCTCCAGGTGAAATCTGAAAGCTATATACACACCTATTTGTTCATTGCAAATACTTCAAAATTTTCAATAATTTAAATTCGAATCGAAGCAGATTGAAATACTCTACTATTCAAAATAGTTAATTGAGTGACTTGATGATTCATGATTATTTAAAATAAGAGCATGATATACTTAGACGCAGACAGGATAGACAAGGATAAGCGCTTACTACCAACTGAAAGTTTGATGGAAAAGCTGTGAAGTATATACTGACAGATGAGATGTTTCGTAAGCACATACAATAAGACCAAATTGCAGACCAAAATAGCAAAACCGTTAAAATATTTATGTATATCAGCACCACCTTACCAACATCCATTTTACCTTACACCAATTGCTTAACTCCTATGGCACCTGCGACTGTCCAAAAACGCTGGCTTCTTATCAAAAAGAGCTATTGACAGTGACGGTTTGTTCATGCAAGTCGAGTATTCACACGCTATGTTTGCAGCTTCAATTATAATCCTTGTGCACTCATCTTAGTGTCTATTAAATATGACTGTGTTGTCCCAGATAGCGCCGCATGACAAAACCGCAGAACAGCTAAGTCGCCGACCGATTTTTCGGACTCCAAATATTCGGACTTGTTGGATATTTCGGACTTCAATAATGCACCGTCAGGGGTTCCATAGGGCTAATGCATTTTTTTTTTTTTCGACCGGTTTTTCGGATGAATTCGCCCCCGAGAGTTGGATTTTTCAGACTAAATCGCTTGTTTTGAGCCATGCCTGGAACCTGTAAGGAGGCCGCGATGTTGGATTTTTTGCTGGCATGACTAAGCTTGGCGACTTATTTTTTAAATAACTTTCCTGCCTTGGAGATTGGAAAGCGAATGTCATATTTCAAGTTTCAGAGGCTGAGTTGCACGGGACCATTTTTTCGTCTTTGGTCGGCACAGAGGTCAGCACTGTCGTCATCGCACCGTACGGGGAGGAAGCAGAGTAAAGATTCCTTATTTTTCGCAGCAGTTGCTGTTTGCCAGCTTGTTCCAATCGTCATTTTGCACGTGTTCTGTCGGGTCGTGTCGAGACGTTGTGTGTGCTCGAGCTCGACGCCATGGCTCCTCCATCTGTACCATGGCGAGAGCCAGGTGGTGCGAAAAAGCGTGGCAACTGTAGGATCATGACGTTGGAGAAGAAGGCTGCAATTATCAAGTTAATAGAGAGTGGACGGTCCTAGTTTGATGTCGGCAAAGAATACCACCTGTCGAAGCACACGGTATCCGGCTATATCAAAAACTGAATGGAGATTTTGACAGCATTTCAGAATTTATAGAACAAGAGCCAGAAAAACGACAGCAAAGGCATTCATCCAGCCCTTGAAGATACTCTGCAGTTGTGGTTAAAAGAAGTGTTGGCAGAGAACTTGCCCGTATCAGGAGATTTCTTGAAAGAAAAGGCTGACTTGTTCGCACTCAAAATGGTCATTGAGGATTTTAAATTCAGTGATGGATGGCTTCGCGGCTTCAAGAAGAGGTATGGATTTCTGTTCAAGGAAGTTAGCGGTGAAAGCGGAGTGGTCGACCAGACTGTTGTGTCCGATTACCGTGTCACGAAGTTGAGATCCTTGTTTAAAGAATACATTCCTTCGGACACCTTTAACTGCAATGAGACAGGACTGTTCTTTAAGATGCTCTCGGACTGTACGCTAGCATTTTCGGGAGAATCGTGCTTCGGCGGGAAGCTTAGCAAGGAGTGCTTAAGGGGGGACATGGGCCTTGGGCAAAACATTTATTGCTACTGCTACTAGAGTAATGAAACTTGCAGGTAATATGTAATTTAATGTGCTGATTTCAAATATGCAACCAGTTTTTCTGTATCTCACGAAGAAAAAATTTTATACAACTTTTTCTGTTTTACACTTCTGGGATGACTGGCAAAAAATATTTTACAATAACCAAGCTAAAAATTATATTTATATATTCCTGAATGCTCAATGAGTGCAAGAAGCATAATTTCGTGTTTCTACATTTATTTTATCCCAAGTTATAAAAGTTCAAAAATTTTTATTGAGACATGAATTCTTTGTCTGTTGTTTGCCCAAAATTTCAAAATGTTTCAGGGTGAAGAAACATTGTATTATAGGCATATTGCACTCTTTGGAAGTCTAGCTATAAGACAAAAAAAAACCCCATTAAAATTGGATGATTAGAAGGGTAACAACAGCCACCCAGAAAATTGGAGACAGCCAATAAAAGTGTTTTGGGAAAAGTGGGAAAAACTAATAGACATGTGAAAAAAGCCTTTTATTCTCCTGGATGGGCGAAATTACAACAGCCAGTGGCTCAGAAGGCTCCTGGAGAATAATCTGGGTGGGGCTTTCCTCTTTGCCTCCGCTTTGCAGCTGCCTGAAAGGCTGCTGATGACCCCCTCTTCCTTTCTGCATTGATAGTGCGTTGGGAGTCCTTTTCATTAGCCCTTCGGCTACCCTTGGCGGTTTGCTCTACTTGGAGCTCTCGCAATATGCTTGAGCTGGCATTGTGGGTGCCAAGGTTGAACCTCATCACAGCCTCTCCAACTGCTGCCTCGACTGCATATAGTGAGGCATTTTTGTCTTTGGGCGCGAGGCTCCAAATGACTGAATGCAGTGCCTCATTAGCGTTCTGAGTTTGTCCTCTCAGGCACCGCTGCAGCAACTTCTTGTCAGCCAGACGCTCAAAAATGGGCCGCAGTGCACTGCTGACCGCTTCTGGCAAGTTGTACCTGCTTTTTGGTGGTGGTTCGTTTTTTGCCATGGCCGAGTTATATTTACACCATGAGTCAGGACCATCCGGACAGAAGTTATGATTGGGCTTCTCATCTGTCGACGTAATGTGATAGAATGTGGCCCACACTGCGTTGTGCATTTTATCTAAGTCTCCAGCAAAAGACTTGATAGCCCATCCATAATAGCTGGAGATCTTGGTGATCAGGTCTGCGGTCAGCCGTCCTTTACCACTAATGCGCTGCGCATCACCTGACTTGTGCTTTTGCACAAGGGTGCGAAGCGCTGTGCCCATTCGCTTCTGAATGTGGTTGGTGCACTCTTCTTTTACCACAGGAATAAAGCCATAAACTTTGGCTTCATCAATGGCAATGAATGAGCGGCTATCACCATCACAGAGCATGGTTGTATACCTGAGGCCATGCAGAGAGAGTGAACGTTGAAACAGAATCTTTGCTGCCTCAACTTCCATTTGGCCTGCCTTGCAGCTTGTGTTTTTTTGGCATAAGTGCTGTGCCTTCCATGCAGCATAATCTGGGCTATCTGGCTGCGGCCCACACTCACAGCCGAGGCAGAAATTGGAGAGAACCACGTAATCTAGCACATATTCTGTAAATAGCTCAATCACGGTGGCCAAACCAATGTGAGAAGAGTGTCCACGTGTGTGCCATGAGCCATCAAAACAAACAGCAATGTTACCCGGATTTCCAAAATTCAGGTCACTGTACAGCTGTTTCACTTCGGCAGCACACTTTGCCAAGTTCTCAGAGCATGCTTTTGCCGTAGCTGGGTTCAGCTTGGTCTTCAAATAATGCTGGTAGGTCTTATTGTGAAGACCTCTGTGAGAAACTCCAATGGCAGAAAAAATGTCATTTAGGGCAGTCTGCCCATTCCCCGTGCTTTGCACCGCCCGTGCAGCGAGAATATTTATTTCGAAGGGATTGCACGTCGCCGAGCCAGCAACTCGCCGCGAGCTCCACTGCGATCGCAGTTCACCGCAATTGCTGCACGACACTGTCAGTTTCACGGCGATGCCGTACTCACGCGTGTCCCTCTCAATAGTTAGATCACCACGGCACACACGGCAACTACCAACCTCGAACAGGTTATTTACAAGGTCCAGGTCAACAACCGTATACGCCGTGGTTGAACTCGGGGCACTGTCACTCGCGACGCACTTCATTTTCCTTTCCGTCGCCGATACTGACGCTAGCTGGGAAAGTCTCTGCTGCGTTTGTTGCTCGCGCAAAGCACAATCTGCACTTGTTAAAAAAGTCGAGTCCAATCTTGTGCGCTCAGGCCGCGCAGCTCCGGTGTCCTGCACGGCCGCTGCTGCAACCGTCGGGGCGAAGTCCAGGGCGTGCGCGTCAGTCGCCGCCTCGCGTTCCGCCGTTGTCGTGTTATCTGATGCCGGTCCAAGGTGCACAGCGGGCTCCGTCGAAGGCAGCGATGCATTTCTTCGCTTCGCAACACGCTTCCGTCGCGATTTGCCGAACTTGTGCGCGGTGCGAAATTTCCGATAACCGTTAGGCATGGCGCACGACGACAGACGACAATGGTCTCCTTCAAAATGACGGCAGTTCGTTTTCGCTGCAAGCAGCCGGAAACAACCATGGACCAATGAGGAGGCGCACTTTTGTCACGTGGCGGCTGTGGGCCAATGAGATAGCTAGGTTTCGTTTTCTTTTTTGTTTGATTATTCAGTTACAGCGTATCACTGAAAACTCGCGTTTGGCGGAAAAAAAAGGGCGAAGGATGCAGTTTCAAAGGAGGCCAAGATGGCTGCGCTCCGTGGCACGGTTGCAAATCGGCGGCGGCGCGAAACTGATCGTT